ATCCGCAAAGCGCGACTTGCCAACGCAGCCAAGTCCGAGAAGACCGACGCCGTTACCGATAACCAGGACTTCATCTCCCTCGGAATGGCTAACGAGTCGGAGCCTCCTCAGGATAACGCGCCAGAGGGTGCCCCGAGGGGTCCCAAGGCTATGGACGGCCTTGACCCGTCCATTGCTAGCCGCAAGCGAACCCGTGACGACGAGATTAAAGGCTACTCGAGAAAGACGGGTAAGCCTGCCAGCCGGTTCAACTCCGATGGTTCAGTTGTCGATCAATGGCGACCGCTACCAAACGAGACCGGCACGCCATGGCTTGAGCAGCCCGATCACCCCGAGTCATTCAACGTGGGCACTCAGTTAGTAATATCCTTGTTTCGTTCTCTATCACACTGCTAATAATTTACTCAGGCTACATAACGAGATTTTGAGTTTCTACCATTGGGCCAAGCCGCTGGAGTTTGAGGACATCGTACGAGCAGATCTTATCAACCGACTGGAGACTGCTTTCCGGCAGCGATACAGCAACATTTCAATCCGTCCCTTTGGTTCCTATGCTTCTGGTCTCTATCTTCCAACTGCTGATGTTGATCTTGTTCTTCTCTCCAACACCTTCGTGCGCACAGGAGTTCGAACTTTCGGAGAGAAAAGGGGACAGATCTATGCATTTTCCGCCTTCGTGAAGAACACCAACATTGCGGTTCCTAATTCGATCGAATGCATTGCCGGAGCTCGCGTGCCAATCCTCAAGTTTGTCGACAAGCTCACTGGGCTCCGCGTAGATTTGTCTTTCGACAATGACAGCGGTTTGGTTGCCAATGAGACATTCAAGAAGTGGAAAGCCCAGTACCCTGCAATGCCAATTATTCTGTCCGTCATCAAGCAGTTCTTGCTGATTCGTGGTCTCAATGAAGTCCCGACCGGTGGACTGGGAGGTTTCTCCATCACTTGCTTGGTAACAAGTCTTCTCCAGCACACGCCTCAGGGTCACTCACAGCCGAACTTGGGAAATATCCTCATGGACTTTTTCAACTTTTACGGAAAGCAGTACCGCTATGAAACCCAAGGCATTCGGATGAACCCACCGGGATTTTTCAACAAGGTTTACTTTGGAAATCCCGATCGTCTCACTATTGAGGACCCCAATAACCCAGACAACGATATCTCAGGTGGTACGAAGGAGATCAATTTGATCCTCAGAACCTTCTCAAGAGCCCACACTACCCTCCAGAGTCGCATCGAACAACTCGCGTTTTATGAAGATCACAAATCGAGCATTCTGGGGCCTATCATTGCGGCCAACTTTGATGAATACATTGAACAGCGCTTGCAACTCCAAAACGTATTCATGACGGAAGCGAGATTCGCACGCTACAGGACACCACCCCCGCCGCCGCCAGGTCCCCACCCCGAAGATGGAGCTTCTCCTCCTCCACTGCCTCCCGGTCCGCCACCAGGTCCTTCCTCGTCTTCAGCCCAGCTTCGTCAGCCAAGCCAACCAACCCAGAAGGCTAGCCAGAACGAAAAGGGAGAAAAAGCAAAGTCGGCGGGCACCCGATCAGAGGCGGAAGATATCTCTTCCGATGAGCGTTCTGGAGAGACAAAGTCAACCAAGTCCCGAAAGGGCGAAGTCAGGCGTGCGGTTTGCCAGGAGCGCGCTGCTCGGCTGAAAAGACTGAGGCCAGAACTGAAGAAGGTTCCAAACACGCTGAGTGCCCGTCAAGCTCGCCGTCACGCGGGCTACGAGACCAACGAGGAGATGGAGAAAGACCTCGATGCTCGTGAGAAGGAACTCAAAGACCAAGTGGAGTCGGAGGAGGCATGGAAGATGGTGATGGATGACGCTTGAGCTTATTACCGACGCCCGCAACGACTTTCATTTGCCTGCTTTCTTTGATTATCGTTTTCTGTATGATGATACCCCTTGCTTCGATCGGTTCGGTGATTTGCCCTGGGGATGAATAGGGAGCATATGGCAGTGGCGCAGTGGAAGGATTGGAGGTATTTTTCTTTATGTGTTTTCGATCAGCGTGTTGCCTCCCATCTTGGTGGAGAGAAGTAACAACTGGGAATTGGAAATAGGGATTCTACTTCGAGCCCCATATGGCGCAAGAGAAACAAATTCACTCACTTTCTAGGTTTATCTCGCGATTCCGGTTCCTCTCTCTCCTTCCCCAGCCTTTAATCCTGGGTCTCGGTTTGTCCCGATCGACTTGCACTTTTTGGAACACAAAGCCAGCCTTTTATTCTTTTGGACGAATGATGGCTTCCTGACAAGACTGCCGCCTGTTCTAGCCGATCCGTCGCCGGTTTTTGGAACGGCCTACGAACACCTAGTTGACTCAGAACTTTACATTCCTCGCTTGGGACGCTGTTAGTGATTTTCAATGGAACACGCCATCTATCGTGGATCTGCCCTCCCATGCAGTTTCATCCGCGTTGGTGTTTACTCTTCTTGCTTAACCCCTTCCCTTTTCTGCTCCGTGCCTTCCTTCTCATTCAGAGAGCGCTATATGCGATATCTGAGAGAGGATCGGAGGATCAGAGCATTCAGTGTGGGACTGGGTGGGCGGAGAATGTCAATGAAGTCAACGTTGGTGTTTACTGCATCTTTAGGTGATGTTTTGAAGCACTCTCCTCTTATATGTCTATGCGCATTTGCAATCCCTGGAGACTTTGGTGACCAATTTCGAGCAATAGCTGCTAACATTCATTTAGTTGCTGGATCAAGGCTGGAGGGAGTTGTCATTCAACATCACACTGGCTTATCCAGTTTATGTACAATTTCCGATATGAACATAAATCACAACAGCAGAAGCTCTCCCAATTCAGTAAATCTATGCAAGCTGCTTCTCCGCCTCTAAAGGTGGTGTCAGCATCGGATCCCTCCCAGCTCCATCAGATGAAGATATATTCGTCTTCTCTCCTGTTCTTTCTTCCGCCTCAATCTTCTGCACAGCGGCAACATGCTCCTCAGATAACGAGTTCACAAAGTCTGGCGAGGGACTATCCCAGACATAGTCAACCCATTCTGTACCCAGGACATCGCGAATTTCCCGAGCCAGTTGCAAGATGTGAGCACCGCGCGCATGGGACCAGGCCCGGTCAGTAATGAGACCCTCCTGTGGCGTAAGAATGCTGGCATTGGAGGCAGTAGGAACAGCACTGGCGGGGACATCCAGGCTAGGAGTGGAATAACCGGCAGATTCGAACTTAGTATTGAAATACGAGCCGTCATCATCTTCAGTCCAATTCTCCAGTCCATCAACAATACTATGCCACACACGCAGAGTCTCATCCAGCTCGGCGATATTGCTCACGCCCATAACACTGACACCCAGCCTCTTCCCAGTCCCAATATTAGCCACTGACAAGAACCCAGGGTCCGCATCTACAGCGCGCGCAAGTGGTGCGCCAAGACCACCAGCCCGCGCACCAACACGAAGCCATGACTCTAGCGCGAACCGAATCGCAACAACTTCGAGTTTCTCGCCATGACTTGATGCATACTCCGCGGCACTATGGATGGCACTGCGCAAGCCATTCGGCGCAGGATGGAAATCACCCATTGAACCAATAGGCACACCATCACGACGGAGCAGACCCATTCCCAACGGCGAGGCATTAGGAACGACATCAACGCCTGCAGCTAGAAGCCGCGGCAAAGCGCGCGAGTGTAATCTCGTATTCTGTAACGTGAAATTGGCATAGGACATCACGATATCCAATGGCTCGCCGGTCTCCCGTAGAATCATTTCCGCCAATTCGCTCAATGTGTCAACCGGGTAGCCGGAGATACCAATGTAATGGAGTATGCCCTCTTCATCGCGGAGACGGCGCAGTTCCCGTACGGCAGTTAGGACTTCAGCGGGTGTCACAAATTCCACGTCGTGGCAGTATACCACATCGAGATAGTCTGTGTGAAGCCGGCGCAAACTACGGCGCACACTGTGTCTGATCCATGGTGGGGAGTAGTCAAAGGATGCGCCTGCTACACGGCCGACCTTTGTGAGGAGTTTGTATGCCTGGCGCGGGAAGTTGGCTTGGACTGTATCGGTTGCGAGTGCGCGGCCGAGTAGTTCTTCGGCGGGACCGTAGTAGGGTGATGTGTCGAAGGCACGGACGCCGCTGCTTAGTGCTCGCTGTACTAATTCTGTTGTGGGGAGTGTGTAGGGGTCGGCGTTGTATTGGGAGTTGAAGGTTGCCGTACCCATTATCAGCGGCGGGAGATCCGCCGACAGCGGGTTGGAGGGACGCATTTTCTTTTCTTCTCGGGTAATGTGAGGTCAACGGCGATTGAGACTGGCACTAGAGTCTTATGTATCCTGGGGTATTCGGGGAATAAGTGGTATCTGGGGGCTAAGCCGCTCTCAGGCGAAAAAAGTAACCCGGTCTCCGCTCCGGATGGCGCCATGGCGGGGATCGCGATCCCCCTAGATCGGGATGAGTGGCCACGACCCGATCGGTCGTCGAATATCATCGATCAAGTGAAATAACCCATTTTCGTTTGAGGTCCTGATGGCATGTAGTCTACGAAGGTTACTCCGTGGTGATATGAACAGTGTTGGATGGCGGTGGCAAAAAAAGCCGAGTCTGTGCTGAAGACAAAGTACGAAGAAACAACAGTTTAGATCGGACAATCGGACATTAAACAATTTAATGCAAGTATATAGCTATTGTACATCCTTTCCGGGTGAGAGTGGAGAAGGGGGTAGAAGACACAGATGATATACACAGACCACGAGGTCGAGAGGATCGGATCTGAAGGTGTAACTCCATTCCGACCAGAGGTGATGTCCGAGAGGTTGGACATCAAGATGAAAGTGAAAGACCCAGTCTAGAAACTCAAGCGTCTTTCTCCAACGGTAACCCAAACGCCATGCTATGCCAAATCGAGAAAGACGAGCAGATCAAAGAGCGAAGCCATTCGGAGACTTCTATCGCAAGTAAGGAGGGAGCTCCCAGGTGATTAGGGAGCGGATGGAACACAGTGGATGTGCTCTTCATTTGTCCTTGTAGACCTTGGGGTTCCAGCCTTCCTTCAATTCCTTGTCGTGCGCGGCTTTGCGCTCGGCCTCGCGGAACTCCATCTCTAAGCGCTCGCGTGCTCGCAGGATCTTGCTCTGCAGGTAGAAGCTGCCGCCCTTCTCGGGGTTGTTCAGGTCGAAGAGCTTCTTGAATCGGCCCATAACATGTTCAAGGTTGTGTTCGCCACTGGCTGGGGGTTTGACGTTCAGGATCTTGCAGGCTTCATCGAGGGTGAGGCTGGAGGTGGTGAGAGAACCGCCAGATGCCTTCTTCTGGGCAGCGTATTTGCCAGAGGCTTGGGCTTGCTTGTAGGCTTCGGCGAAGGCGCGGCCGAAGACGCGGGCTCCGGTTACCACGACTTGAGAGACGATGCGGTGAGCCTAACAGGAATATGATTAGTTTGTTCTTCCATTTTTTGTATCCAAAGCCAATTAATTGACAGACTTACCATGTCGAGAGGATATGAAGTGCCGTGGTAGACAGGGTGTGGAGGTGAAGGAGAGAAGAGAAGGGAAAATTTCGGCTGCGGATTTTAGCGTCGGAAGAGAGCTACAGGCGTCTACATACAGGGACGACATAGACATCAGAGTTGGACTTGTTAGTTAGAATCATTTGTTTATTATAATATAATAAACTAATATACCAATATACTCGTTTCATTCATTTCAGTCATTTTCTATCAACAACTAACTATAGTAACTCGCTCACACCAAGTACCGAGAGTCACATGTCCATCTTCTCCCCGCAGATCTTCCTGGACCGAACAGCCATGAACTCATAAACATAAAACCTCTCGTCCGCCCAGAGGATGAGCTGATTATCACTCCATGACGTGTCCATAATTGGATGGCAGCTCTAGGTATGTTTTCATCCCTCAACGATGTGCACAGTTACTGATGCTAGACAGACGATCTTCCGTGGATAGATTCCATGGCACCCCCATCGCATGCGCCGGAGCATGGCCAGTCGGATTCCCAACCGCCGACGGTCGCTGCTTTCTCTCCTTCTACTATCACCGGCTCAGCCCTGACATCGCGCCAGCGTTCCAGCGTCATCGTGCATCGCAAATCTCCCCTGTTGGTGGCCACACCACCGGCCATCACGCGGGCCCTAGCCTACTCACACCCATACCTTCTTCCCCTGAATAAACTCGCTGGTCTTTTGACATGGACCTCTGGAGACCCATGGCAGAGCTTCCTGCTCGTGGCGACCTTCTGGACGGTGGTGCTCTACAGTGATGCCATCATTCTTTGGGCAGGTCCGATCCTGGTTGTGGTCGCGTTGATCCTCGGCATGTATGGGCGCCGCTACTCGCCTTTGTCGTCAACTATATCAACGGGCGAAAAGCACCAGAGGAAGGTCTCCCAGGACTCAACCCGCCACCAAAAGAGCTTGGACGAAATTGTTGAAACGCTCCGCATCTTCACAACCAGATGCAATATACTCCTCGAGCCTCTGCTCGACCTCACTGATTTCCTATCAACCCAGCGTACGCCCACATCGGCGACGACGAAGCCTGCATTGACGGCTCTTTTCATTCGCATCCTTTTGGTAACTCCTGTATGGATCCTTATGACTCTCCCGCCATTCTATTTAATAACTACCCGCCGTGTCGTCATGGCTGTCGGCACCATCGTTTTGACTTATCATTCTCGGCCCGCGAGAGTCTCGCGTGTCATTCTGTGGCGGTCACGGGCCGTGCGTCGACTCTGTGCCGCCGCCACGGGACTTTCAGTGGCCGACACCCCGAGCAGTGCACCAAAGGCCCAGGCTCAAGCCCAAGGCCAAAGCCAGGGCCTGAACATCTCTACTCGGCGGCGCGGGAATAACTCGACTGTACGATTCACATTTGTTGTCTATGAGAACCAGCGCCGCTGGCTAGGTATTGGATGGACCTACTCGTTGTTCCCGTCCGAACGTGCTCCTTGGACGGACGAACATATGAACGCAGTTCCTCCTAAAGATACATTTGAATTGCCGGATGTTAAAACGGGAGATGCCAAATGGCGTTGGGTTGAAGGGAGTGATTGGCGCGTCGAGGGTGCGGACTTCTTCAATTCGAAGTCCGAAGCGAAGGGCGCCACCGGCGAGGGATGGATATACTATGATAACAAGGTTTGTTGATCGTATCTCAGTCTTACAATTGACCACTCTAACAGTCTTCTAGTGGAACGATGGTCGCCGCGGTCAAGACGGATGGGACCGCTACACTCGCCGACGCAAGTGGTACCGTGACGCTGAGTTAGCCGAGCTATCACCATCAGGCACCGAAAACACCTCCGAAGAGACAATCTCCGGACTCACCCAAGCCCTGGAAAAGGAGACACAACAAGGGTGCGATGAAGATGCCGACACCAAGAGCACTACCCCATCCACTGCCTCCAAGTCCCGTCGCCGACGCTGGTTCAGCAACAGCAAGGAAAAGGAGAAAGACCAACTCGCTTCTCCCATTGACAGTGGCCGTGCCTCGGGCTCAAACGTCTCCGGCGCTGTTGATGGCCCAGGTCCCTCGCGACCTATCAGCATCCAAAACTCGCGCAAATCGTCTCAATATCATGCCCGCGAAGGAAGCGTGGCGACAAGTGACAGCGCCAGCTTACGTGAAAAGGAAATGGCCAATTCGCAAGACCATCTTGATAAGTGGTCAACCCGGGCTGCAGATGGAACGGAGCGAGCGGAGAGAGAATGGGGACTCAGCGATGACCTAAACATGGGATTGAGTTGATGTTGATCGCTTGTTTGCGCTTTTCCCTTTATCAAGAAATATCTAATTGTCGTCGTTCCCTGTCTTGGGCACTTACAACCTAAAACCCCTGCCAACCTTCTCAGCTTTATTTACTTTGCTCCCCTCTTCTTTATTTCGGAATTTGTATATCCTTATTGAGCGTGGAAATCATCCATAACATTTGGGGTTTCGTGTCACTCATGCAGACATCAAACATCAGACATAAAACCTATATCCTCCCGACTCTAATGCAACATCAAAATATAGAAGTACAAACATAACAACATGACAAATAGCAAGAAAGAGCCAAAGCCAAAATGGCATCTATGCAAGAATAAGCTCCCACCCCAATTCCTCAACAATATCCAACCAATGCACCTTTCGGTGATTACCAATCCCAGCAACTTCAGTGTCACGATCAGCATCCCGTCTCGCCCACAATATCCCTAATAAATCTTTCGCACGCCGGACATTGCCAATCCCAAAATTATCTTGTAGTTTTCCCAACGACCGAAGTACGACCTCTCGATCTGCTATGTTCTCGCTCTCACAGCCTGAGATGAAAAGCGGGAATGTGAGCGCTGAGTATTCGCAGTGGTCATCTAGTGGGAAGGTCTCCACGCGGGAGAGGCAGCGGTATACGGCGAGGGATTTGGGTGTAGAGATTAAAGGGAGCCAATCTTGTGCTGATAGTGATAGTGTTTCGAGTGATTGGGGATTAATAGTGTTATTGGGCGTTGCGGTGGTGGGGGTGGGGGTGGGGGTGGTGACGGTGGTATTTAGATGGTCTCTGTCGATTCGTTCCATGATTGAGTAGAGGTAGACGAAGCCTGCGTCGCGGAAACATTCGGCTACCAGTTGGAGGCGTGTTAGCGTTGCTGGTGATGTGCCTCGTGGGATTATGTAGGGAGTTGAAGTATGGGACCATGTGAGGAGGGATTCATTTCTGGTAAATAGTGGTTAGTGTGTTGGATGTTTACTTTTAGACAAAGAAGGACATACATAGTCGCGACGCTGAGGCGAAGAGCCAAGGTATCGTCTTTTAGAGAGGGTAGCTCTGCAATACGTGCGCATAGTTTGAGGATCTCTTCGGTGTAGCCGATGTAGATATCCAATTTTGGGACACCGATGTCACTATTTACAGTGACGTCAATAGCAGTGTTGCAGTTTCGATTACTGATCTGGGCCATGTTATAGGCATAGACAAATCTAGACTTTGTCAGCATTTGCTGATATGGGTTGCAGAGTAACACATACAGTCCACGTAGGAACTCGGCCGCGGCTCGATCCATCGAGGCAAAGCCTCCACGGGAGACGATCAAGCGCTGCAATGCATTAAGGTGAACAACCCACTGCTTAATGCTGCCACGTACGATCTCGTATTTGCAGAGCAGACCCACTGCTAGTAGAGCATCGTCGGGGAAAACCTCGGTTGGACATTTGTTCAGTGCAGATCGGAGACCATTGAGCGTCCCACTGTAGTAGTTTACCGCAGCCGTGTGTGCACCGAAGCCTTGGGATCGGTTCGCTAAGTGGAGGGCGGAGACGGCACAGACGGCTTTCATCAGCAGAGGGGATGACATTGCCATTGGAATCAACAATGACCGCAAAGGGTTGTCACCGCTCTCTAGGTTTGCTAGTAGCCGGGACCCTTGCTCCATGTGATATTGCAGATAGTGAGTTTCGTGAGTGGAGAGATGGTTGATGAATCCTTGAGGCCGGGGTATCACTGCCACAGGGTTAGGCAGACCTAGGCTCTGGTCTGTACTTTGCCCTTCTGCATCATGAACAGAGTTGTCATCCGTTCCAACTAGTTGGTATTCCAATGGTGATGATGGGGTAGACCAAGCCAAAGAATCCACCGTGCCAGGCGATGAACGGGTCTCAAGCCATACATCTGAGGACGGTGACTGTGCAGGCGAAGGCAGTTGGGGCGGTGAGGACGCAGTGAACCTTCGACGCTTTGGTGTTTCTCTTTGTGAGAATACATGCGCTGAGGGACCTAGTGGCTCTACCCACATGGAGCCATAGCCCTCACATGTCCGGCCTTGCTTGAGGCAATTGTTGCAACTGACCAAATTAGTCACAAAACTTAGAGATAAAGTCTAGACACGCACCTCGGCTTAGTCTTATCGCAAGCTTTCCGTCGTTTCTTGCAGGTTAGACATCCCGAACGAGTCCATGCCGTGCCAGATTGCCGTGTTCTGCCATTCTTCGGAGCGGATATCGGCTGACCGGGAGAAAACGAGGATGAAGGTTGCACCAGACCACTCGTAAAGGCATTCATCATCTCAAGGATTCCACAGATAGTATGGAGCTCTGACTGTTAGCGGCATACTTACAGAATCGCAGATATTGGACAGATTCGGTCAGTGCACGCGCTCTGCATTGATCGTTATCGATAGCCACTCAGACGCTAAACCACATCGGGACAATTTCACGCCGTTCCCCACATCCACGTGACACGGTTCCTGTATTCCACGGTCATGTGACCGTATACTCCCCACGTTATTGACGTTCGTTCCAGCGAGATTGGCGAGGGTGCATTTCGTGATGTTCATATGAGTATAATTGGCATTGCGATGGCCTCTGTGAGGCTACCGCATACAATGTACCCTATATCCCCAGGCCAAGGCATCCTGGTCATCTCCAACGCTCTTATCCTTTCCCAAATAGGCAAGTCCAGCCAGACTTATGTAACGCGATAAGGTGCTCCGGGGCCTTTGCGACGAGATATTTAAAATCCCATGGGGCTGCTCTTCCCCCTCATACTTCGTACTTCTCATTGCTTTTATTCCCTATCTTCTGACCTGTAAAGTGTCAGTTCCCCGAGACTCCTACTTCTATCTCCAAAGAGATACCCGCCACCATGGTGACCAACCACGGCCCTCACCCATTCGACCCTATCACACCCGAGGAGATCAAGCTTGCTGTATGCATCCTTGAAACTACATTCCCCGGCGTTGAGCTACGCTACAAGCGCATCGACGTCAATGAACCTATCAAGAAAGATGTTATCGCATATATTGAAGCCGAACGTCTACGGCGGCCCTTGCCTACACCTCCAGCACGTCTTCTCTACGTGCTCTTCCACCGTCTTGACACTGGTGCGTTCTACAAAGCCATTCTGAATGCCGATAAGCGTACAATTGTCTATGCCAAGGAGCTTCCAAAGGAAGTTCAGGTAAGTGGAGCCCTACTCCAAATTGTGCGGGGCCAGCTGACAGTCTTCTTCTATAGGGACCAATTGATGTCGACGAAATTGCAGCCATTGAAGAAATGTGCATGAAGCATCCTGCTGTTCTGGCCGAGATCGAGAAGCTGGAGCTACCCACAGGTGTCACCGTCTGCAACGACCCTTGGATGTATGGCACAGACAGCGATACCGAGAATAGACGCCTATTCCAGTGCTTCATGTACTTGGTTGAAACAGACCACCCCCAGAACAACCATTACTCTCTGCCTTGCAAGTTCTCGCCCGTGTTTGACGGCCTTACTCATGAATTGATCCGCATGGACTACCTCCCCGGAGGAGCTGATTTCGAGACCACCACCACCCAACCTTGGAAGCCTGTTAAGACGGTCCAATACGCCCACGATCTCTTGGATTCGCCTGTCCGCACCGACCTCAAGCCTTATATTGTGCAACAGCCTGAAGGCCCTTCATACTCTGTGGATGGCAACTCCGTCTACTGGCAGAAGTGGCGCTTCAGAGTTGGTTTCAACGCCCGTGAAGGTTTGGTTATCTACAACGTTACATATGACAACCGGAACCTTTTCTACCGCTTGGCGGTCTCGGAGATGACGGTTCCCTATGGCGGTAAGGAACATCTAGAGCTTTCACTCAAGGTTTGTCAACAAATCTGACTGACATGAACATAGATCCCCGTGCCCCATATCACCGCAAGCAGGCCTTCGATGTCGGCGACACTGGTTTCGGTATGAATGCCAATCAGTTGGCTCTAGGATGTGATTGCCTAGGCCACATCAAATACTTTGATGGTTACCGTAATGACGCGAAGGGCAACCCGTTGCAGTTGAAGAACGTCATTTGTATGCACGAACAGGACAATGGTCTGCAACATAAGCACACCAATTATCGTTCCGGTGCTGCTACTGTTGTTCGCAACCGCCAATTGGTCCTGCAGATGATTTGCACAGTGGCCAATTACGAATACATCTTCAATTATATCTTCGACCAGGCTGCTAATGTCGAATTGGAAGTCCGCGCCACCGGCATTCTGTCCACCGTGCCCTTCGATAATGAGAACGGGCAAACTGTTCCTTGGGGAACTAATGTCGGCCCCGGAGTTATGGCTCCCTTCCACCAGCATATGTTCTCACTGCGAGTCGACCCTGCTATTGATGGATTCAAGAACACTATCTACTACGAGGACAGCGTTCCCATGCCAGAGGATGAGCAGAACCCCTACTTGGTGGGCTATACCTCCCAGCAGACAGTGATGAAAACCGCAGGCACAGCAAACACAAGCGTGGATCGTCACCGTGTCTTCAAGATCCGCAACGATAACATCACAAACCCCATCACCTACAAGCCAGTAGCATACAAGCTCATGGCAGCCCCCAGCCAAATGCTCCTGGTCAGCAAGAATGCCCACGGCTTCCGTCGAGCGGAGTTCGCTACCAAGCCGATCTGGGTCACAAAGTACCAGGACGATGAACTGTACGCCGCAGGCGAGTTCACAAACCAGAGCCGTCGCGCCGAGGGCGTTGAGACCTGGGTCCAGCGCAAGGATAACGTAGAAAACGAGGACATCGTCTTATGGCACAGTAAGCAAACCAACCCTCTTTCTTCATGGGCCCCCACTCTGGTCAATTATAGCTAACAAAACCACCAGCCTTCGGTTTAACCCATAACCCCCGTATTGAAGATTTCCCCGTCATGCCAATGGAGCGTATCAGCGTCATGCTCAAGCCAGATGGATTCTTCACTAAGAACCCGGCTCTTGATGTCCCACAATCTTCTCAGCTTTTCAATAAGTCTTCCCTTCACCCTGAGGGAGAACGTGCCGCTTGCTGTGCTGGCCCTTCTACGTCTAGCAAGGCTAAGTTGTACAAGAGGATTGATTAGGCGGCTTTTTTGCTTTCTGTTGATCTTGTAGATACCCTATACCCTGTGCATAATGAAATGAACGTGTTGAGATGAATGTTGTAAAGTGAATATATGTTCTCTTGTTCTTATCCATGGACGTGATGCAAAGTTATATAAGCAGACGCGACTTAAGAAACGTAACATTGTCTTCTGTAGAGGGACTTATCATCATTTGATATCATATATAAGTGTCATGCGTCTACTGTTTAGAATGGGTATATCAGTCGCTTAGGGGTTAAAGGAGGTCAAGTCCAGTTATCTGTCGGTTATAAACTGCATCAATTGGACGTAAATGGTCCCACATGCAGATATATATATCCATACACAAGGACAGGTTTTACATTTCAAACTTAACATATAACGTCACCGACAAGGTATGCGAGATCTTCTTATTGCTCTAAGACCGTATACAAGATACGAAGATTCTTGAGCGGTACAAACATATGAAATTGTATAAATTTTGCTATTCCAATAGGAACCAGTAGTAATAACCGTATGTAAGACGCCAAATAAAGAATTCAGCAGAAAAACAAAAAAAAAAAAAAAAAACCAAATATGAGTATATTATTGGCAAAGTAAAAAGAAACCTAAAATAAATCCAAGAACAAAAATTTCGCCGAATTCATTCCTTCATATCAAAGCGGCATATCAGATAAGGGGGTCACCGACGATCAGACCCGGAGTTGTGAGAAGGCACATGGCTCTCAAACAGGTCCTCTAGGTAGGCACTAGGAGCGCGACCCTGAGGCGCCTGGTTAAGATTCAGTGAACTGGTCGAAGCGCCCACATACGACTGACGCTGGTTATGCGAATCATGATAAACACCAGTAGGAGGCAGCGAAGGCGACGACAGACCCGCTGCAGGTGAATACGGTACTTCACCAGCGCCAGCAGCCGGGGTAGAACTGCCAGCAGCAGCATAATACCCAGCGGGCAGGTATGTCGAACCGCGATTCCCCGTATTCCCCGTCGCATTGAGGCTAGCATGTGATCCGTGGGGACCACCACCAGCAGTAGGGGAGAAGAAGAGACCGCTGTTCGAGCTTGGGATGCGGTTGGGCTTGTAGCTTGCGCGAGTGGCGGCGCCGAGTTTGTCGAGGGAGACGTCGGCGGCTGGGGCTGCAGTGTAGGGGGTTGAGCGCTTCTTTCTGCTGCCGCGGAGGAGACGCTTGGATTCTGAGGCGTGGATTATGGCTGCGCGACGCACTGAGCGGTTTACTGACCATGCGATCATTGCGCGCCATGCGAGCAGGGTCAGGCCGATTAGGCCTAGGGCCGCGCCGACGGCGATGAACACTGTGCCCTCTGGCGCGGCGCTCTCTTGCATGTATGGGGCATTTGCTATCGGGGGGACTGTCACGATCGCGGCGGCTGTTGTGGAGGAGGAGGACGATGTTGACGATGTTGTTGTCGTGGAGACGGATGATGTTGATGTGCTCGTATCGGAGGTTGTGGAGGTTTCGGACGACGAGGTGGTGGTTGTATCCATGGTTGTCCCCGTCGACGAGGAGGATGTCGTGCTAGTAGTTTTGTCCGAGGTTGAAGTCGATGTGGATGAAGATGAAGTCTCGGTTGTCGTAGCAGCGGTGGTCTTGGTGCTATCAGTGGTGGAGGGATCGTCGGTGGTCCTAGCGGCGTCGGTAGTTTCCGTTGATGTATCGTCTGCAGGCACTGCAGCTACTTGAGCAGCGATGGCAATGACCAGGAGCAGCAATAAAATCATCGACGGCTGGGCTTTCCCAAGCCCTCGCGGTAGAACTCGCATGGTGACGGCCGTAAACAATTGAGCAACTGTTTCTCCACAGGGTGCGGGTCAATCGGGGTAGCCCGCTGATCTTCGACAGCGATGAAGTAGATGTTACTGTGAGGTTATCAACGACACCTGAACAGCTTTTGGCTTGCTGATGCTGTTTGCGAAAACGACTGTGATTCGTCTCTCTTGTTACTGGCTGATGCTGTAGGTTGCGGAGCCACGGTCAGAAGATTTTCAGATGAGGCAGAGCCTTCAGTACCTTTCCTGCATAAAAGAATGACGGCTTTTCGAGTGAGAACAACGAGCGTCTAGGGATGTCGAAGAGAGAATGCGTATAAGCGAGAATTGGGGAGAAATCAAACGACGCCAACGCTAAAGGAGTAGGCTGCCTTAGGCTCCAAAACTGTCAGGTGACAGTTCCAAAAAAAGAACTAAAAGACGCCAACTAGCAAGGATTGCATTTACATCGGGCTAACGTTCAGATTGGGAATGAAATATGATATATCATACATGAAAATACGAGAAAATTGCCCCTGATCACAAATGCATATAGCAATAGAAATGTATTCCAACCTACTCCTTCCAATTACTGCGACTTCTTTTGCACAGCAGCCGAGGTATCCTTCTCGAATGCAGCATAGGGGACCTGAAGGCTGCCGAGGGCATTGATGCCAATGTACAAGATCGCGAAGAAGAGGAAAGTAGCCATCAGACCCATGAAGATGCCTACCGAGGGGGTTAAATATGAACGTAGATTTGATGAGAAGACAAGCACAAACCTGGAGTGAAGTACTGATATTCCTCGAAGAGAGATGTGGACTTGTCTGACAAGCCTTCGTGCGATGAGTAGTCACGCTTAAGCTCCATGTGAATGGAGTCGTGGTAGGAATCTCCCTCGGTCTCGTAGATGACGGAGTCGGTCTCGGGGAACTCCCTCGGGGAGGTAAGATAGAGAATAGTATACTTCGAAGAGGAGGGGATTTGAGCAACGATATCGGAGAGGAGACCATCTGGCCGAGTCAGTAATCATGAACTGCTTCGGTACAACCAGTACATACCGAAGCCAGCGAGCTGCTGCGCACGGTCTGATCCAAGCGAAAGCATGGGGAATTCGATATCGATGATACGTGGGCCCTTCTCAAAGGACGAAGGATATGATCCGGCTACAGATAGTTGTCAGCTATGACGCTCGTGGTAGACTGGCCACGTCCATTGTTGGCCACCACAGCAACTCACAGGAACCGTCGATGGTGGTAGTCTGGGCCTTGCATTTCTCCTCCAGAAGGCTCTTAATATGCTTTGGTTCCACCAAGCCAGCGACCTCGTTAACGCTCATCTTGGACCGGATCGAGCTGTCCTTGCCAAGCATCTTCGCACCCAAGCGGGGCGCCGACTTGCGCGACGCGAAGTCGGTGCTGTGCACACCGGGTTGGTAGACGACGACATAATAATCCGACGGGCAGGTGCTGAGAGAGGATGAGAGGGTATCGAAGAGAGATGCTCCTGTCTGGATGTATGCGGAGTTCGCCAGGACACTAAGGGCGAGCAGTTAGTTGGCTGCAGCTGGAGAGGTCCAATGGAACATACTCAGAAGTAGAGGCGAGGAAGAATGGTGAAGTATCGCGGAAAGCGTTGACAGCAGTAGCCCCAAGGGCGACCAGCCCAAACCTGCTCAGATGCATTGTGCTGTTGGATAGGGTCAAGTTGATGATGTTGCCAACGGGAGGTGTCCGACTTGGCCTCGGAGGCGGTCGACAGCCCCGGCCCGCCTTAGCTTTCGCTGCAACTTTTTTTTCTTAGGCTGACAATTTTGACAGAACTACCTACGAAGGACTTGACCTTTTTGCTCAATTTTTCCGGATTAAATTCCTATTCACAATGGGCCCTCCCCAAAAACGACGCAAGGTCGCTCAACCCAAAGTGGAGGAGATCAATTTCAACACCGAGGACCGCCAGGAATGGTTGACCGGATTCCACAAGCGCAAGCTGCAACGCGCAAAACATGCACAAGAGGCAGCCGAGAAGCGATACAAAGAAGAGAAAAGGGCCGACAGGAAAAAGGTTCGTTAGTCTACAGTAATTGCCCGTTAATCTCGACTAACGTGTCTAGCTTCGTGATGAGCGGCAAGCCGACTTCAAACGGGCAATGGAGGAACATGCAAGAGTACTCAAGCAGATGAAGGAGAACGCCGGAGAAAAGAGTGAATCAGAGGATGAAAATGAGGAAGAATGGGATGGGATTGAAGAACCGCCAGCCGTGGACTACGAAGCCGAATATATCGATGAGGACAAATACACCACAGTCACAGTTGAGGAGATGGATCCCTCCCGCGAAGGCCTGTTGAAGTCTGTGAGAGGAGAGGAGTCGGACACTGAGGAAAAGAAAGAATATCCAGCTGCCGACACAGTGGCCGATGAGAAGTCCAAGAAGCCAAAGCGAGAGAGAATAGCCAGGAAGAAGAAGCGCAATTTCCGTTACGAGAGCAAGGATGTGCGCAAAGCAACGGCGCGAAAGCAACGCTCTGTCAAATCGAACAAGGCCAAGGCACGCCGGGGAGCTGAACAAGAAAAATGATATCATAGTATGTGTATATATACTCATGGGTCTGGAGCTATTGTTTGTTACTCAATTTACGGAGCACCGGTATCGCTATGTCCAAACAGCAATGAAATTGTAGGAAATGTCAAAGACACCGATGCACCATTCATGGTAAAAATATTGATATCGAAGCACAGTCTCCCCTCGAAGGTGAAACAAAGAGCAACACAAACAGTCACAGCATAAAGAAGAAGACGATCCTGAGGCGAATGAAGATCCTATCCAAGCCAGTGTCTCCCAACATCCTGCACCCATAATCAGCTTGGTCTAGCTTAGATGTCGGCCATTTGGGCTGCAAGGTCGTCGAGCTCCTTCTTCACAGTGCTATGTTCCTTGATTGCGTCCTCGTATCTTTGCTCGAGCTTGGCATGTTGGTCCTCAAGTGCCTGCACCTTCCGCTCATAGTGACCAGCCTTGATGTCGGTTTGGCGAAGCCTGACCCCAAATGTTAGTACCTAGTTGGAATTGAGGCGATGGGTGGTCGTACTTCTCATTTGTCTCCCGCAGAGTCTTGTCGTTCTCCTCGGCCTCCTCCTCGAGGAGCTGCACCCGTCGCTGAAGGGCCTCGTTCTGAGTATCGTGCTGGAGGCTCTGGCTGGCAGCATCCTTGGCCTCCTTCAGGGCGGCCTCGGCCTTCTCAACCTCTTCCTCGAGCAGCTGGTTGCGGTGGTTGAGGGATGTGATCTCTTGTTCCTTGGACAGGTTCTCCTGTTCCAAAGTCTTCACTCTGGCCTTGAGCTCGTCGACCTGCTCGTGAGCCTCATCGGCCTCGGCGCGGAGGGCGACCATGCGCTGATTAAAGACATGTTAGCAGGATTACCAGTACGGCGTTTGTGAGAAATATCGAATGATGCAAATCTTTTCATATGCACATGGTGAGGGGTTGGGTAGTTTTGGTGGACAGTTTGCAAGCTACCCCGCCAGCAGGGGTCTTGCGCAACATACCTCCTTAATCTTGTCCATTTTGAGGTTATTGAAAAAAGAGGGGGAGATAATATGTGTTTGTGAAAGTAATAGCAGTCAGGCTTTCGCTCAGCGAGAAACCGGGCGAGTGTGGATGGGGTAAGAGGATGATGGTCTGGGGAGAGTTTTGGGAGAGAAGGGGAGGAATAATGGCTGACTGAACAAGTAGACAGTACCGCCTCGTTAGGCCCAAGCTCCACCACAGCCAAAGTACCGTGTACTTACTGTGTACCAACAGTGCTGTGTACGGTCACTCCACTTCGGCTTTCAGCCACTCACCGCCTCGGGATCGCCGCGTCTCCACGGGCAACCACTCGACAACACCTGCATCTAGAACTCGTTCGGGCGTTTGACCACTTTACACGCTACCAGACGCGACTTATCCTTTGGAGATAGTGCATGAGAAACTTCAGCTTCAACTCGCCGCCATGTTGGCTCTTCGAGACCAAGAGAACTTGATAAACACCCACCAGACCGCCGCGGCCGCCAAGCCCTTGAATCAAAGCAAGCAGCTGGCACCCAAGACTCCAGGCAAAGGACCACTCAAGGTACCGTTGAACGATGAAAACAATGCCATAGTGTTTGGAAAGGGCACCGGAAAGGCCAAGGAGAATGGAAAGCCAGGCAAGGACGCGTTTGTTACGCCGATGGGTACGAGAACTTCACCTCGAGGAATTGATTGGACTATAGCTGACTTGATTGCGCACTGAAAGTGAAGAACCGCGCTCCTCTGGGTGCTAAAACAACCAATCTCAAAACCAAGAACAACCAGACGCCTGCTCCATTCGGTACCATCAAGACAAACAGAAGACAGTCGACCGCCCAGAAAAAGAAGGCCGCTCCAGTGGTACACCAAGCCCAACCCAAGGTCCACAGGGACTCTACTGTTGATGATATTCCCGACATTGAATATATGCCCCCTAAGCCCAGAGGTATGTCATGATTGGAGCTGCCAGTGTAGAAGGGTGTTCTAACAAGCTATAGATCTCCCGGATCTTCCAGATGACGTAACGTACGATACAACATTCCCTCAATTTCGACCCAAAAACAGGGCCTTGGGCTTGGAGAGTGTGTACGGCAAGCAGCAAGTCGGCAGTGATGGACTGACAGCGAAGCAACGCAAGTTCAAGGAGGATTCAGCCAAGTGTGACAAGATGGTGGATGAGATGATTCTGAAGCAACTCGAGGGTGTTAGTTTCGAAGGCTCGGGCGACAGTGAGTCCGCAAAGGCAACTGGGCGGCAGACCACGCGCTCGAAGGCACCTTTTACTACCCGACATAGTCGCAATATCTCTTCCCTTCGATCTCGCGAGGCAGCTGCTGCCCTTGCAGCACCTCAGCCAACTGCGGCTCCTCGGGTGGCCCCGGCCCCTAAGCCACGTTTGGGACTGGGATCGTCCCTGCTCATGCCTAAGAGACAGACCAGAGCCCCGACCAATCCCTCTTCCATGCGCAACACTGCTGCCGCCGTCAACTCCAACACCACTGTTGGATATTCCAAGGGTAGGAGTGTTTCGTCCACCATTCGAGAGAAGAATGCCGAAGCACAAAAGACCTCAAGCTCTGAGGCTTTGTCTCCTGAAACCTACATGCAGCTGTACGGACCGCCTCCGCTGGACTCAGATATGTGGACTCGCTGCAAAGCTGCTGGATGCTTTGACACGCCAGCGGAGACTTCCCAGGAACTCGAATCACTGCCGACTTTTGACGAGGATGAGGAGGCCCAGAGTTTCCAGCTCACTCTGTAGGAGATCTTGAGATAAGAGAAATTATGCAACTTTACTACTGTATGTTATTGTCTTTTTATCGGCGTGAAGCTCGGGGTCAAGCGACAAGCCGAAGGGTCTGGAAATGAATGTCACTGTATGAGTTTCGAGCCGCGGATCATCATGTTTCAGAAGTCTCCCGAGGTCCACTTAATCATCTGCCAAGGCACAGGGACCACGTAGACAGTACCGCACTGAGTACGGAGTGAAGGATACACCGTTAAATGAAGTATTTGATTATTCAAATTCGGATTGCATGATTTTTTTTTTTCCATCGAGGACCTGTTCAATATGTTGTGATAGTCACTCAAGAGAGAGAGAATACGAAGATACCTGATCCAAGCGAACCTTCAGGTTCTCCAGCTGGCTCTCGTTAATAACCAGATGGTTTTCATCGCCCAAGTCCTCCACTATGTAGACATGTCTCTCTTCACCATACTTTAGATTATGGCCTTAGATCGAGGGAACACACTCGATCAGCAACCTTGCCAAGGCGCATAATGTTAGTCTCGAGTGTAGCGAGGTGAGGTCCGCCCAGAGTAGACATGAAGCTGTCACTAATCCTCGAACTGCGCGGGGCGTGATAGGCAAGTGTGAAATGATTGGAGAAGCAGAGCTCGGAAAGGCAAGGGAGCAAAAGCCTCCTACCGCAGATCCGAAATTTCGGCCTACCTAGATATATTGGGAGTACCTGTAAACTTAACAGGAAATTCAGTATGTTCGTATATCCAAAACTATTTAAAAGAATCCCATTGTTCTGTGCTTCAGGGCTTAGAGGCCTTACGTCAGTGTCTGCAGTAGCGTAACTAACATTGTGTACCTGGACGGTACCAACTCCTCAGCTTACCCACGCACGTAACGCTAGGTACCAATCAGGTACTTCCAGGTACCTTGGTCTAGCTCACACCGCCCCCAGAACTGCCCATCTTCTTATTTACTCTGTGGCCTCTCCTTTTCCCTTCCCACTCCTCTCAATTGACGCCTAGCCATGACGACCATTCATCCGGACTCCACTGAGGAGTTCGAGTTTATTCAGACTCCGGCTGCCCCCGAGCAGACCAAGCCTGCCTTCGATTGCGGTGTACCAACCACCCTGGTAAGTCCACCGAGCTACCTATGTTGCATGAGTCCAGGACCTAATTTGCTCTGTTTGCTCTCTAGTACCCGGCCATTAAAAATGCTCCTGTTCCCGCCGACTCGCCCGGCAGCGACAGCTTCTCCAATGGCTTGATGATCTTCCTGGTCATCGTGGTGCCCTGGTGGCTGGCCCGCCAGGTTGGTGGAGGTTTCTACACCACCATCTTCTTCGCTATCTTCACCACCATCCCCGTCCTGATGGCCTTCTGGACCGTCTCTTCCTCCGTTTCTCCTCGCAAGACTGAGAAGGCCAAGTACTGTGGCCGCCCCGTCGAGCACTACCTGCACTTCCACAGCGAGCATGACCGCGCCACTTACCGCGGCAAGAGCAAGATCCCCATGGAGGTCTTCTACGAGAAGTACTTCAATGGCGAGGTTGACTTCAAGGGTGATGCCCTTGAGTGTCTCGAGTACCGTCACGACTGGGCCAACTTCAAGTTCACCATGGGTCTCTTCAAGCACTTCCTGTTTGGCTTCATCCCCGAGATGCTGATGCACACTCGTTCTCAGGGTAAGCCTATGCACGTCCGTTAGATTTACAGCAGTTCTAACTTGGTTCTTAGACGAGGAGCAGGTCCGTGACCACTACGACCGGGGTGATGACTTCTACGCTTGGTTCCTTGGTCCCCGCATGATCTACACCTCCGGTGTTATCAGTGATATCAACAAGGAGGAGACTCTTGAGGAGCTCCAGGATAACAAGCTGGCTATTGTCTGTGAGAAGATTGGCGTCAAGCCCGGTGACAAGGTCCTCGATCTCGGCTGTGGCTGGGGTACCCTTGCCAAGTACGCTTCCGCCCACTACGGTGCTCACGTTACTGGTATCACTCTTGGTCGTAACCAGACTGCCTGGGGTAACAACGGTCTCCGCAAGGCCGGTATTGAGGAGTCCCAGAGTCGCATTCTGTGCAGTGACTACCGCGATGCTCCCCGTGTTGAGGGTGGATACCAACAGATCACCTGTCTCGAGATGGCCGAGCACGTCGGTGTCCGCCACTTCTCTTCTTTCTTGTCCCAGGTTTATGACATGCTCGACGACAACGGTACTTTCTTCCTGCAGATCGCTGGTCTCCGCAAGTCTTGGCAGTACGAGGACCTGATCTGGGGTCTATTCATGAACAAGTACATCTTCCCCGGTGCCGACGCCAGTACCCCTCTCGGTTTCGTTGTGGACCGCCTCGAGGGTGCCGGCTTTGAGATCAAGGCCGTCGACACCATCGGAGTGCATTACTCTGCCACCCTCTGGCGCTGGTACCGGAACTGGATGGGCAACCGTGACAAGGTCGAGGCCAAGTACGGCAAGCGCTGGTTCCGCATCTGGGAGTACTTCCTTGCTGCCTCTACCATCACCTCCCGCCAGGGTGGTGCCACCTGCTGGCAGCTCACCCTTGTCAAGAACATCAACTCCACCCACCGCGTTGATGGTATTGCCACCCAGCATGGTCTCACCGGCGCTCGCCAGAACGCCATTGACCGCGCTGGTACCCTCCCCAAGGCCCACATCATCAAGAAGGACCTGTAAAGGTCTGAGCATCGTATCATGCTTTGATGCTTCTTTGAAGGCTACTAGATCCATTCGATTTGGTATGCTTTCACCTGAACAAACAATGGCAATGTATAGATGTAGTTCATGTATGGGTGTGTGGACACTTCAAAAAGTTAAGACATGCATGATATGAGCAAGACGATATGATATGGATGTGAAGTGAGAGCAGAAGCAGAAGCGAACGATTGATTATCAGAATCAAAAAGCACTGGAGGCAGATGGAACAGAAAGAAAGACACGGATATGTTATAGGCCCATTTGGCTGGTCCGCCTTAGTATTTTATCTGTGGCTGTGTGTCTCTTTCTCTTCTATCTTACCCAGTCGAGGGGCTCTACACGAAGTCAACGAGTCTGTCTTTGTGGAATTTTTTTTTGTAGATGTCAATGGATGAATTTTTCATTTTAGATCAACGAGACCTGTAGAAGCCTATACTGCTTACTGGTTCAAACAAAAAATTGTAGTCTGTAACCTGCTCTTAAATTTCATTGTTTTCAACGATGTGCTCTTACGATTACTTCTTACATCTTGAGACGCGAAGACCCACGACCGAATGCTGGTTAGCGTTGCCATTGTGTAAAGTTAGGGTTAGCGTCTCTTGGCGTGTTGTATAACATCACTACACTTGAATACGCCACTCCCGCCATCCCGTAATTATTCAGAAAATAAGAAGCCAGAAGAGATATTTTGATCAAGTTCATTCTATATATCTATATTTCCCGGATTTTATATCTATATCTTCAGTAGCTACACATCCTCTACCCGCTTCCTCACTTCCCAATACAAAACATAATAGCCCAACCACGAAGTAGAACAGGTACTCCCAACATCAAGACTTCACCAAAGGAACTGATCTTGCGAGATCCCTGCACTAGATGCAAGCTTCGCACAAATATCCTCAGCAACAACCCTATGGGATTTCTTACAGCTGAGCGTAATCTCAGGCTGGATAGGTGTCGGCGTAGCAACGCTACTAGCGGTGGTAGTGGTGGTAGTCGTATTCGTGGTGGTAGCCGCTTTAGTCGTAGTTGAAGTCGTAGTAATAAGATTCACGCCAACAATCGAGACACACACATAGTACCCCTTCCAGAGTCCCTTGCAGTCCATCCCAACAGCGGAGTTATAAGTGTAGGACTGTGACAGACTAATCCAGCTGTTATGTGCAATCGCGTTGCACTCGTTATTTTCTGTGACATGGTGGAATATATCGCAGTTGTCCACCATGCCGGTTAGGATCGGTGTGGGTGTTGCGATGCCGTTGGTTAGTTAGTTGCTGTCGCCGTTGTGGTACTGGTAGTGGTGGTAACTGCAGTAGATGTGGTCTAGTTCGTCGTTGCCGGTGAGCAATCTCCATTCAGAATATATTACAACAGGGGTCATAAATGTGTATACGGTGCCACGAAGTATTGAACAGCCTCTACACAAAAGCTGCAAAGTGAGTATACCGATTTATGGACTGTTTTCGCCCTATTCTGCCCTCCCTTTTTCACCTCTTTTTGGTCATTTTCGAATGCCTCAGATCAATCATGTAAGATTGTATAAAGGTAGGGTGTGAAAAGACTTATGGTCTATGACTGTGTCACCTTGCTTACTTTATAACGCATCATAGGTCGGCAAAATAGGAGTCCACTCGCTGGTAATACCGAAAGCATTGAGATATGCAAGACTACCATCACGCTCCGTCCGCACACTTTGTACCACACCTTTTGTGTCAAGAACAAACCCATACTGGCAGAATATTCCAGCCATTTTCGCAACGCGGATCAAGTACATATCCGCGTTGGAGACATTTTTGGCTTCTCCCTGAAAGGTTTTCCAGAAGAGGTTCTCAAGTTCGCGGTGATCATCGTAGTAATGCCACCCCTCTGAATCCATCCAGCCCAAAACATTCTCAAGTCCATATAGCGCGAATCCAAAAGGTAGAATCCTTGATTCCGCCCAGTCGACAATTCCTGTTATATTTCCAGTTTCGGGACTGATGAGTACATTCATCATGTTAAGGTCCCCATGGCTTAGAATGAAAGGGAGAGTAGCAAAGAGAGACGGGAGCTCCTTGCGGACTCTATTTATGTTCGGCGAAAAGCGGGATGGTAGGTCTCGAGCAAGAAGATCGAAATTGGACTGGAAGTCTGCAAGTAAAATGGTGGTGTCAGCTGAGGATGGTCGTTGATCGTTGTTCCATGATTGTGCAAAGAACCTATTTTACAATGTCAGCTCGTGCAGATAATTGCCACGAATTCGCTAGTACCTTGCAAGGTCCATGACCGTATTACGCTGTCGAAATAAGTCGTCAGGTTGAATGCCAACCATGATGTGAGGGATCCCTGAGAGATTCTCCATCTCGTAAATATGCAGCGGCCGTGAATCACCCAACGTGCCAAGATACCTGCAGCTAGCCACGAACTCAGGATGGACTGCCTTGGCAAGACAGATGTGTTCCATATCAATGGTAGAATCCGCATCTCGAAATTGGAGGATCTTTTGCTTCTCAGATCCCGCTGTCACGGTATAGCTGCATACACCTTGCATTTGCAACGGAATCGACACACCGCCAGTGCGAGAAAAGACGTAACCGTCACATTGCTGTCTAGTCACAGTACTGTTCGATGTGAAGAAGGCATCGATCGCGCTATCAAGGCTGTAAATATCATACGTCATCACTGTGGTAGTGGGATAACATGAGGCAAGAGATGAGTGAGAATAAAGAATAATAGTGAATCAACAGCCTGGATTCGCTCACCGCCATATTAACACTGCAACAAGCCCTATTGGTTTGTCAAGACTTTGCCATAGCTATCCTGCATTACATTAGTATAAAACTCTATATAAGTTCACCTCCAGGGCTATCTCAGTCAGCTTACTCTGAACATTGGATTGGCCGAACACCTGCGTGGTTGACACCTAGGCAGCATATGCCAAGTACATGTACGCTGCGCCCGGTCAGCATCACATGCGCTGGGCTTGAAGTACATCGCCGCACAATCAGCTACACTGAGTCTACGAAGTGGACATAGTGGAGTCAAGCGCGACTGGCATGGACCATGATGAAAAATTCACTATGTAACACTGCCTGGGCTGATAGGCATGTCTCAGATGGTGATCCATATATGTAGTACAGTAATAGTGTTTTGAAATTCTGCTGAAGTCATCAAAAGGAGCATAGATCGTCTTGAAAAGAGCCTCTGGGGCTTTGAGTTGAAAATAGTTTTGTTGGGATGATGTAGGGCTTGGTCCACGTGGGATCCACAGTTACATCACATTTAGTAGATCGATCTTAGCGTGTAAGATCGGATCTTCTCATCATTTAGTACACCCTCTCAAGTTTCTTTTCTTCTTTAAATTGGCGACATGTACGACAAAACAGATCAAGGTCTGCAGAAGTACTTGACTGATCGGGCATTGGGTCTTACCCACATGACCCTATCAAGCTCGGTGCAATTCAACAAGATGGTTCAGGGGAAGGAACAGATAATTGTTGATGGACAGTCCCTTGATATAGGCTCCGTCTTCGCAGTTGCAAGGTATGTTGATCCTCGGATATCTCGCCCTTTTGGCGTCTTAACTAACCTCCAACAGATGCCATGTGGAACCATATCTCACAGATGATCAGAAAGTCTTAGCCTGTGTTAATCAGAGCATTGACTTCCTAACCCAAGAGCTGAAGGCCGGCCATACTGTCTATGGCGTCACAACTGGATTCGGTGGCAGCGCCAATACCCGCACTGCTGACTATGAGACATTGCAAAAGGCATTGATTCAGCACCATAACAGCGCGGTGGCATTTCCTTATCCTGGCAGTCAGACTCCCAACCGTGAAAACACAACTTTGGATGACCTGAAGAGCCATGTCATGCCCGCATCCACTGTCCGAGCAGCAATGCTAACTCGATGCAACTCTCTCTTGCGTGGTCACTCATCCGTTCGAGTTGAGGTTATCGAAAACATCATTGCACTTCTGGCGAACGATATGACCCCAGTTGTCCCCCTGCGCGGTAGCATTTCAGCTTCTGGTGACCTCACGCCCTTGGCATACATTGCCGGTGCACTGGAAGGGAACCCCGATATCTTGATTCAGCGTCCCACAGCCAATGGCTATGAAAAGGTTCCATCCAACAAAGCCTTAAATGAAGCCGGTCTCAAAGCTCTCACTTTTGGACCAAAAGAAGGATTGGGATTGCTGAATGGAACAGCCTTCAGTTCCGGTTCCGCCAGCCTGGTGATGTTCGAAGCAAACCAGCTGGTCCTCTTGTCTCAAGCACTGACAGCCATGGGTACCGAGGCAATGATGGGTAACCGCCGCAACTACCATTCTTTCATTTCCGAAGTCCGCCCTCACAGCGGCCAGAGCGAAGCTGCTGCCAACATCTTCGATCATCTAGAAGGATCAAAGCTAGCAATCGACGAAGGCCCCGGCGGAGAAGCCAAACTCGCCCAGGATCGGTATGCCTGGCGCACCGCACCACAGTGGATTGGCCCCCAATTGGAGAATATGAAATTGGCTGCTGAGCAGTTGCAATGTGAGCTTAACTCCACGACAGATAACCCCCTCGTCGACCCTCCCAACGAGGAAATCTACCATGGTGGAAACTTCCAGGCCGTCTCTGTCACGTCGGCCATGGAAAAGACCATGTCAGCTATGCAGATGCTAGGAAAGATGTTCTTTGCGCAGTGCTCTGAACTGATTAATCCTATGCTGAGCAATGGATTGCCACCAAACCTGTGTTTCGATGATCCGAACATCTCATTCGCTTTTAAGGGTGTCGACATCAACATGGCTGCGTATATGTCTGAGTTGGCGTATCTCGCTCATCCGGTTACGAACTATGTTCAAAGTGCTGAGATGCACAATCAGGGTCTCAACTCTCTGGCATTTATCGCTAGTCGCTACGCTGGCGATACCGTTGAGTTGCTTTCACTCATGACCGCAACATACCTCTACGTCATCTGTCAAGCTCTTGATCTACGTGCATTGCATCTAGAGTTTATCAGTACGGCCCGACCAAAGGTTGACGAAATCACGAGGGAGCTTATCAACTCAGAGAGTCGAGGCACGTCAATTGAAGGTTCTCAGAAGGGTGTGTGGGATGTATTGATGGACCAGTGGGCACAGAACAGCTCCAAGAACCTGCCTGAGCGTAGCTCAACGACCGTGGCTTCATCCCTCGGGCAAGTCCTGCACTTCGTCGGTGTAAACAGCCTCATGGACAACCCTCAGCAGTGGATGCAACAAGTGGATGATATCCTGGTTGGGTCTTATGCGGGCACAGTGAAGCAGTTCTTGACTGAAACTACCACGAAACAGTATCTTGGTACTTCATCAAAGATCCTGTATGAGTTCGTTCGAGAAACTCTAGCAGTCCCCATGCATCGCGGAGTTATTGACCACCCAACTTATGACTCTGGCGAGCAGGCTTCGGAGAAGAAGACTATCGGGTCGAATATTGCTCAAGTCTATACTGCCTTGCGCGGTGGGAAGTTTATGGATGTTCTATTGAGATGCCATGCAGTTGCTGGCAACTGATCTGTTATTGGATGTTTTAGCTTTCGGGTGCGATAATACCTTTGGGCGGTTTCAATGTAGATGCTTTTCCATGCTTCCTTCACCATGTAGTGCCGTCAAGATGGATACCCAATTAGATTGCTATCATTGTTTCTGGAGGCAGAGCCGAACTCGATAGTCCCATATCAATTTGTACGCACAGGAAATGATGTTCTTAGATGTCCTTTTTTTTCAATGGATTTGAGCCAGGTCTGTCCCGAACGAACGGGCCGTATTCAAATCTTGATCATTATAGTCGCTCATCATTAGGTAGAACCCAAAAAATCTATATAATAGATGTCACCACTGGACTCTCTAGCAGCCAAGCTCCGGGAAGAACTCCAGAAAAAGAATAAGAAAAGGGAAGGATAAGAGATTCGATCCGATAGATGTGGTATATGTTATAAAAAGAGACAGAAAAGGCAAGGGTAGATGCAGACGTCAGACCAGGGCGATCCTAGGAAGATATTTATACAAGGAAGAGGATCAGGCGCAGTAGACAGAAAACGACCAGGAAAAAAACCACATGATGCTTGCCGCGAGGGCGGATTCCAAAATCGAACACCAAAATCCATGAGCTGACTGTGAAACCACAGCCTCAAATGAGTCCAAGGAAACTGAAAGTCGTGTAGTGCAAAGAACACACGTCTGAAATGAATGAAAACTATAGGCGTACAGGGCGTTGGATAAAATAGTTCCACGCGCGGAAAGAAAGCCAAACCTAGGCCTCATCTATCGCTGTTCTAGCATTGGGTGGGTTGGGGGATATGCGGGTGGTAAGGAGAGCATCTATGCTCTTGAAAATCAACCGTTGTGATAGGTTGAAAGCGGGGATTCTGTGTCTCATTCTCGTTCCATGTCGCCTGAAGGTGCGTTCGTAGGCGAATATAAACAAATTTAGTCCGCGTCGAACTTGTGGTTGTACTCGCCAAGGAGAACATCTTCAGGTCCAGGGCCATGGGTATTCCGAACTGTTTCGAGTGTCAGTGGCCATGTTCTAACGCTGAGGCAATAATGTCTGGGCTACACCAGTTCGATGCGGGGCGAGGGCACGGGAAAACATACTCCATTCGGCTTCGGTTCGGAAGAACACCCACATCCAGCGGCGTGCAACTTCGAGGAACATCAATATCCATAGGCCGCTCTCGGTTTCTGGGATCCAGCCGAAACCCGGGACAATGCGCCAAAGCCATGAGAAACGAAGTGCTAGGTCCGCAATGATGACGTAGTGGTATAACTTGTCGGATGAGAAGTAGCGGTAACGGCGGAGTCCATACGGGTGGTCGTTATCGAGTCGTTCCGGGGAGAAGAGGGTCATATCCCAATCCTTGACAACATCCCACCAGAATGAGTATGCGGAGTTGATAAAAGAGACGATGAACCTGCGGGGTGTTAGCAAGGGGTAAACGAAGCGGAGGATCAAATTCTTACAAGAGGCGCATCATGCTCATCTCGCTGTATCCATGGAAATCCAAGGGGTTATAGTTGCGCATCTTGGAAGCCATCCAAATGACAGGGAACGCAGTAGCGTACTTGAGGGCGTTGGCCAGGTGCTGGTTACCCTTTTGTGTCTCTCTCCGGGTCGTAGTGCGTCGCGCACGCACATATTCGATCAAACACTGGCGGAAACGGATCAAGCTGGGAACCGCGATAATAATAGGGACGACGATTTCGCTGCCGCAGGCCCGGTTGGGTTTGGAGGTTGCGGCGAGGCCGTCGGTGAAGAACATGCAGAAGCTGACGTATAGGTCCCCCAGCACGCGAGCATAGCTAGTCAGGGCATCTGCCAGCAGAATATCACCAAACTTGCCATCTTGGGACTCAGCTAGACCACCGATACTGATCCGCTTGAGGGTAAGAAGGAATCGAATGCGGCCTGAACGAGATGCGCGGTTGAAGGGCCAAATCAGGATAACAAGGAGGATAATGAAAACGGACTGAGGGATCCAGTCGAGTCGTTCTACCAGTTCAGGGGACCGGCGGGTGGCGAGCCAAAAAACAACGAACCACAGGGTGAGGGGGATGGTGAAGAATGTCGCCAGGCGGTAGACGGCGGTGTGGTGCGGGCGTTGGGAGGAGGATGTGCGGCCAGGGTATTTGACGAGAGCAGGAACGTCCTGAAGGTCGAGGGTGGTTAGTTGAAACCGCACTGGACAGCACTGGAACGACCGGTGGGCTCCGCTGGACAGGAGACGTCACTTACAATGTTCGCTTTTGCCAAATATTGAAGATTCAGACCCCATCCCCAAAAACCTGCCCCTCCGTTAGTATCGGACTTCCAACACCAAAACGGATAACCTACCAGCAACCAGAAGCGCAGCTACCCGTAGTGGCAGTGGGAAGATCAACCCAAAGGCATCCAGTTGAGCATGTTGATCAGGACCCATTTTTCCATTGATCAGAGGGAAGACGAAGGCTGAAGAAACAACAAAGAGACCCCGTGGGGATAAACGAATGACTAGGGGCGAGTTCGGAAGTTGAGACTTTTTGCCAGTGAGGCCGCTTTCAGGGCAGTTTAATAAGCGGAGAGGGTAATGAGACGAGAACAATTCGCGCTGAGTGGACCAGGCAAGAGTCCACTGGTGGTCTGGAACTCCACAATGCGTCGGATTCGGTATAATTAGAAGCACATCTCAGGGGAGACTGAAGATCTTGAGCGCTGGATCGACATTCAGTGCCAATCAGAATAGCCCACAGAGGGGTGCCAGTTGTACTGTAAGTTGCTCTTTGCAAGTTAGTCACTAGTCGCCACTCGCCAGTTGTCAGTCACCAGTTCCAAGACAGGCACACAACAATAAGCTGAAGACCCTGAAATGGAGCCAAAAAAAAGGGGGATCCAATATAGAATCAGCCACTCGAGGGCTGCATTCGGCAGAATCCAGGTACCGCTTGTGGGACTCACGTAATAATACGGTAATTCAAGCCACGTGATGTCATATCAGGTGACATCCTTCCTCATCGGCCAAGTCATGTGACTATATACCGAGGCACATCCGACTCTGGGGAAGTCATCTCCACCTAGGCATGTCGGGGAATTGTACCTCGCCGTGAGGATGCCCCAAATCAGATAGCATACATAGTCACATTCCAACGTCAATCCCTCCATCTTCTATCATGGCCGACGACGACACCCACATTGCTCTGAGCCCGAGCTCTGCCCTCGGCTCATCCACCTCCCACTTCTACCCATTCGCAACATCCCCAGATGTCATCCGCTCCCACGAGAAGGATGCTTTCCTCACAAGCAGCCTAGTCCAACAATCCCAAGGCATCGTTCGAGCCCTACGCGGTGCCCGCTTCGCACACACCTACTCCGACGCCATCAAGCACCTCACCGAGCTCCTCTACTTCTCCCTAACAACTGCCATCGGCAACCGAACCCTCGGCGAGGAATACTGTGACCTGGTCCAACTAGAGGACGACACGCTCCAATTACCGTCTATCGGCAGACGCGTTGGATACATCCTCAGCAGCATCCTAGTACCGTGGACGCTACAGCGGATCCTACCCGCCCTTCGACAAAAGATCCGCAACAAGCTCGAGCGCAACATTGCCCGGGCACAGCTCCGGGCCGCGCAGCAGGCTGGCCTGCTGAACAAACCTACCTTTTCAAATACCCCCACTCAAAAGTCGTTCTTCACCAAGTTGCACCTGCAGCAGTATCTCCTTGAACATCTCGACTCTGTTACATCCGTGTCGCCCATTTACGCCTTAAGCATTGCGACCTTTTACTTCACAGGCTCGTATTATCATTTGTCGAAACGACTCTGGCGGCTGCGTTATGTGTTCACGAAAAAGATTGAGGAGAACGAGCAGCGCATCGGGTATGAAGTCCTAGGTGTCCTACTTGTTCTCCAGATCGCTGTGCAGGGATTCCTGCATACCCGCAAGCTGGCTGCTAGCATGAATGAGGACGAGGGTTCGTCTGCGGAGGGTGGTGAGTCTCGCTCAGAGGGCGGGGCGCTTATCTCTTCGATTCAGAATCCCTCGGCTATTCCTCTTCTTCCTGCTTCTGTGCCTCTATATGATCTGGATGAGGACCCCGGTGCTGTTTCATGGATTCCAGAGGGTCAGCAGAGGAAGTGTACATTGTGTCTGGAACAGTTCAAGGATCCTAGTGTGACGACCTGTGGACACGTTTTTTGCTGGATCTGTGTCCGTGACTGGGTTCGTGAGAAGCCTGAGTGTCCGCTCTGTCGACAGGAGGTTTTGTTATCGAAGGTTCTTCCTCTGAGAGGGTAATTTTGTGTTCGAGCAAATGAGCTAGAAGTGTATTTTCTGATCTTGATGCATATTTTGGAGATATCGGCATGGTCGATAGATGTTTATACACTTATTGTTGATAAATATATACCCCACTTGTAATCATTTCTCTTGACTCGTCTAATGGATTTATATTTTGAGATGCATCACATCCGACTGATATAGTTCAGCAGATATATATCCCATATCGAGACACACCACCCCTGATACTGTGTCCATTCATGTGGATGAGACGCGTTACACTCTCGCCACTATTGAGTATCGGGTACTAAACTTTGTGTGATGTCGCAGAAATATGTATTTTGCATGAACGAAGATCAACATTGGATATCGAACGAGAAAGATGCACGCTGGCAAAATGCAACATAAACAAAGCGCAACAGATCACAAAAGCAAGAGTGACATGGAACTATATGCGTAGAATCTTTTCCAAAGAGTGGTGAATAATTATGCAAATATATCCAGAAATAAACTCAGAGCGGTGGCTCCTTGTCCTCACTATTAACAGCCTGTCCAAGAGGAAGAATGATTGGCCTATTAAGTTCAGCGAATGCAGGACGAGGTGGCACAGGATCCATGGCCAGTCTCTTTGCCTCCATGGCATTGAAGAGGCGAATACAGGCATAAGGATCAGTAGCAGCATCTATATCAAAAAATCCAAATTAGTACTTTTTATAATAGAGATAGACTATGCAGGGTTCCAGGCTTGTAGATACTAACATTGAACCTGGCGATAGCTCAAAGCCCGAGCCCAATCGCCACAACGCACATCCTCATTCTTTTCAAGAGGTAGACCGAAATGCTCTTCCATTTGCTCGCTGAGGTTGACGCCTCGCTTGTTCACCAGTTTGGGGTTTTCCTGGCCGTACTTTACCAGCTTGAACAGGTGACTCAGCTCAAATGTTGCCTTCGCATCAATAGCGAGATACTTTCGCAGCCGTGTGCAGTCTGCCTTGATTGACACACCCACTTTAGTGATATCAGGAGATTCAATGATCCGTTTCAGTGTCGGGGAAACAAGATCTTTCAAAGACCGCGAGGGCTTGAACGACGCAATTTGGAAAATAGCGATGCGCTCCTCGTTTGCAATTTGAATCACCGAGACATTGTTTTGGATACTGTCCCAGGCAGACGCTGAAGATTTCCATTCCATGTCAAATCCGAGAACCTTGCTGTCGAGGAAGTGCTGGGCAATTTCCTCGGTGTTATGGAGAGTACGGCAGTAATGCACGATGAGCTTTTCGCCGCCTGGGCTCTGCTGTGAGCTGTGGCTCCAGAACTTGGGTGCTGCGGAGACGCTAACATTGAGATCGATGTCCGATGCTGGTACCGTTTCATCCAGGGACGCCTTATCAAGTGATTCCGAGCCATGGCCCTTGGTAAGCGGGATTGGGGAAATGGCATGCTCGAGTGACTGCTCGGGTAGGGAACCATTGCTGACACCGCTGCAGTGCCGAAAACTTGTTTGGTAGGAGCTTGCGTCGGTGGTATAGCTTCTACCAAAAACACTTCTGAGTAATCGTCGTCGTCTCGCTTGCTTGGATATTGCTTTTCCAGGCCGGCTTTGTAATTGTAGTCCGTTGGCTGGTGTTTGACCTGGGAAAATGTCACTGGGTTCCCCTGAAGGTCGGCTATCGATTTTGGTAGGAATGATTGGGGAAATGTCATGCTCAAGTGACTGCTTGGGTAGGGAGCCCTCGCTGACACCGCTGCTTTGCGGAAGACTGTGATAGGAGATTGGGTCCGTGGTTTTGCTCCTGCTTTGTTTTCCGAGTCGTCGTTTTATCGCATACTTGGACGTTCCCATTCCTGGCAAGCTTTGTGAGTATGGCTGGTGTGGTGGCCATTTACCTGGGAGATCGTCACTCGGTTCCCCTGAAGGTGGGCTCTCGATTTTGGTAGGCGTGATTGGGGAAATGTCATGCTCAAGTGACTGCTTGGGTAGGGAGCTCTCGCTGACACCATCGCTTTGCGGAAGACTATAATAGTCCGTGGCGTTTCTCCTTTGTTCTCTTCTGCGTCGTCTTCTTATCCCAGCCTTGGTCAACGCCGTTGTCCCTGGCAAGTTTTGTGGATATGGTTGGTGTGGTGACGTTTTATCTGGAAGATCGTCTTTGGGGCCTGGGGGATCGTCTTTAAGTTCCACCGAAGGCGAGGAATATGATCTTCCAGTAAACATATTCTGGAATCTTTTACTTTTAGCGGACGGTTCAGATTCCGCCATGTCAAGGCTGGCATCTTCAGTTGGCTGTGAAGGTGTTTTTGTGAGCGAAGGCTGATGGACATTAAGGTCATTCGAGAACCCGAAAATCTCTTGAATCTTTTGAGCCATGGTCCAAGGTTGTGAGGCCTTGTTTTGGTTCGAAGAAATTGGGGCATTCTTAGGTTCTGGAGTGACGACTTCGGGGTTGGTCGTGCGTGTTTTTCCTGTTTCCCTCGAACGCATCCACCAAGGCCTGCCAGTACCCTGAATCTTCGTCTGGAACTTCTGGTCGGCGAGAGGAAGAGCTTCGCTCTGTTTGGAAACAGCTTCGGGTTGCGCATTCGGCGGAGCTGCAGCACCTTTGCCCTGTGTCTTACGTGGCGCGTTCGATTTCCTTGAACGAACAAACTTTGACCGTTTGGTTGTTTTGAAAGAGCCAGTCCGAGGTAGTGGGGGAGTAGCGACTGCCTTCTTGCGGACAGGTTCAGAGCCAAATTCTGCGAGAAGGTGCCCTTGGCCAAGGTCGTTGTCCGCTTTCCTGTTAGCCTCTAACTTCTGATAGAGACGGTTCCAGAATTCGGGTGACTGATACAGGGCAAAGCTGTTAATCCACGCTTCCGAGCAAATGCGAGCAAAGTGCATGGCCCATTCTTTGAAACGTTCTCGGTCTTGGCTCATTGGATTTGGAACTTCAAATCTTCCACTCAGGTAAGCGCGTTCGCCCATGGCGTACAGCTTGCTCTCTGACTGAAGGCGCATCCAGTTGATGTTATAAAATTCGCCAAGCTCTTGTCTAAGCTCATTGCGATGGACTTGAAACTTGAAGTTCCACTCGGCCATCTTCGTGGCCGAAAACCGCCTGTCTATAGCGGGAATACCCTCCCATAAGGGCCCGCAACTTCCCTTGAGGGTGTGTTGAAGGTACCAAACTTCACTGCTCAGCAGCCAGCATAAGGTATCGAGATGATACATCGGCCAAACTACATCTAGCTGTTGCCAGTAAAAGTTCTGCCGAGGGCTGCGTGCTGGTAGGCGCCGGTAGCGCGGCAGGTATATGGAACGAAGGGCGGAAGCCATGTCGCGGGAGTTTTCCGCCAAATGCTGAGCAAGCTTTCCGCCATGTCGAGGGCCCAGCGCAAAAGCTTCAAACAGCCTTTCACGACCGTTACTATTGTTATTGTTGTGCATCCGGTAGACCTTTGAAAGATCACTCAATTCCCATAGTTGAGCTTTTCGGAGTGAGTGACTCTGCATGACCCTTTTTCGCCAGGCAGAACGGTGAGAATGCAAGGCCGCCATAAGGGAGTTCCGGGTAAGGGACATGGCACGACCAAGCTGACCCAACTTGGATCTCTGTCTGTGGGAAAGATCAGGGTCATAAGAGAGTTCCGTACAAAGGATGTGGACTCGTCCGTCTAACACCGCGTTGGCTTTCGCCTGTAATTGTTTGTAATCTTGATGGATTTTGTCGAATGCAATAGTGATTTCATCGATTCGTCTTCTTGCAGATTGCCGAGGTTTCAAAAATCCATCTTGGATTGTGTCTTCCATGTCGTGGATAGATAGCCGAGAGATGTTTACTTGGTGCGTTAAAAGAGAAGTAGCAATATTCAGAAGCTCACGCTGCCAGTGTACAAGATTGCGGTCTAGTTCTTCCACTTTTTGGGTTAATTCTGGAGTCCCAAAGAAAACGACGAGACAGAAATCATGATCCATCAACCGTACGGCTTTTTCTGCCTCTGTGACAGCAATATCCACCTGACTGAGTCTCACTTTGTATGACAAGTCTGTCACTGCAGCCACATATTCTTGAGTGACACTTTCCGCTTGCACAACTCTGTCTGTGATCTGCAAGACCTCGGTGGCTAGGCGGTTCAAGATGGAGAATGACAACCCCTCCCATTCAGCAACCAGTTTCTGAGTAGTTTCCTCGGCCCGGAGGACTGAATCTTCGACTGATGAGGTTATGGCGAGAATTCGCTTGTTTTCCCAGGATAAGAGGGTCTTGAACATAGCTTGATACCGTTCACATTCGCGATCGATGTACTGAATCATGACCTCGAAGTCGAAATACTTCAACATCAAGAACACATCGATATACTGATCGACTGAAGGGAGGTTGTTGAAAGCCTTCTCGAGCATTGCATGTTGTCTCGATAATTCTTTGGCCTTAAGCTGATTTTGTTTGGCATAAAATTGCGCCCGAAGCAAGCTACCTACATCGCGATGAACAGGAGGCCCACGAGAAGAGTGGCTTTTCGGTTCTACGAAGCGCAAAGGCTTTTTTTTGGGAGTTGAGACCACTTCCTCTTCATCATCCCACGCACCCTGTGTGCGAACGGTTGTGGAAAATGGTCGTACTTTGTATGTTTTCAGCGGACCGGGGCTGTGGACGCGTGAAGCCGGAGGATTCTTATGTCGGAGACTTGAGGGAAAGCGTGTGCACGTGTTGGCATCACTGTAGTTCTGTTAGAGGCACTGCCATTCGAGCTGCAGAGGAGATAATTGAGCGTACTGACCGCAGTATACAATGGTGCCATCCGTGATCACCCTGAGAAATAGATCTGGCGAGCTGACTGCTAAGACTTGTGATTGCAGACCGGGATTTCCGACTCGCCAGAAGATTCGCCTGAGTTGGCATGCTGCGTGACAAGCATAGTGGACCGGGCCTGAGCTCACAAATGAATTGACAAAACTTGGTCTGTTCAAGTCAAGGGGTGGCTTTGGCAGTGCGCGAGCAGGCAGTCGGCAAGGAGCAAGCCGATTGTGAAAGTAGTACAGCAGCTCGCCGTCGTAGCAAGCGCGCAAACCAACCTCGGGGTCGCCGCTAAGCCACATTTGGCTTAGTGTAACAGGGTCGGATCAACCTCCCCGCCGAGCGACAAACGATCACGTCCTTTTCTATATCAATCTTGTCCACGCGAAATACTTCAACACCTTGAGTTTTGAAGTGAGAAAATACCGGGAAATATTCCTCAAGGTATCAGCTAAACTGTTACTCAACATTATGGCTTCTCAACTTCTTCCTCTCGGTTTGTGCCCGATGAACCAAAAAAGCCAGGACCCCACTAACTGGTTTGATAGAGCTCATTGACAAGTGTGTCGGCTCCCGGATATGGGTTGTCATGAAAGGTGACAAGGGTGAGTCACAATGTGATGATTTGAACGTCGGCTGAGGGGGATACTGACGCCATGAAGAATTCTCCGGAACCCTCCTCGGATTCGATGACTACGTCAGTGAGTACCCCTGCATGAATTGTTTATATATGATTAGACACTAACTTTGGAACTAGACATGGTCATGGAAGATGTGACAGAATTGTATGTGCTTTGGAATTTGTCTTTGCCTTCTTTCGACTTCCTCGCCCTGCTGCCAACTGCGGTCTGGTTCAAGCTCCCACGCATGTGGGCTGTTCCTGGCCGGTGTATCGTGCCATCTCTCAGATTTGGTGACTTCTGTTTACCAAAGGGCATTGACAACGCATTTTATTGCGAGTACCGTTCTATTTGATAAACTAACTCTTATCACAGCGACTACACCGGTGCCCAGACCAAGCTCCCCCAAGCTCTTGCTGAACGGCAACAACATCTGCATGGTATATCAGACACAGTTTTTATATTGTGGAACCGTTTTACTAACATTTGTACCAGTTGATTCCCGGCGGCGAAGGTCCTGTGGCAAGCTCATAAGCCCAAGATACCCAGTCCCATCATGACGAACAGAAAACAAATGCGTATTAATGATATCGAAAGCAATGCTAACCAATACTTGGTTGAATGAATGAATTGCTGCAAATATATGCTATATCCAATTTCCATGTGTAGATTGCCATTGGCCCCGAGCAAGCAAAACGAGTTGCCATCCATATGTCCACGGAGGAATTGGCCAGCCTTCGTGACAAAGCCAGATGTCAAATCGAACCATTACATCTCAAGTGACTAGCCATGGGCACAGGTCACCAATTGAACTGCAGGGGCCACCCAATGAGAAATACGAAACAATGCATGCAAGTCACTGTCTAGCTTCCCACGCCAAGATAAGCTCTGAAACTGTAAGCACGCTCCATGACCAGCTTATCAACGGCTATGCCCGCTATCGACGGTTTACAACCGGCTATTTGGGATAATCTCCAACTATTCCCTCACTCCCAAGCAAAATATACGAGAAAAGGGCTTGATTCTTTGTCAACGTCCCGCTCTTGGTATCTTGTTATCTCATATCGCAGAGCTAAAATATTTCACAAGTAGACCAGTCACTACCTAGATAGGTAGGTAGATACATGTAGTTCTAAAACCGACGAACTCAAATCAAGTGGATCACACCACAACGGAGCTTATAACCGGGCCAGCGGGACACAAAAACCTGGGGTAATTAACCCTCCGATATGTTGCCACATGATTTCGTAAGGTTAGTCGAACGCGGGGAAAGCTAGTGAAAAGTATAACTTACACCGCAAATACATGTACATGTACAGTGGAGCTCATTCTTCGGTTATGGCAAACCTCGGTTACTGTAGACCGTAGACGTGGGACTCCGACGGTGAGAGCTTTCGAAGCCAATCACGAGTAAATACATGGCAGCCTTAGTTAGGACCACAGGTGGACCTGTCAAGCGGAATAAGGGGCGACACTCGCTAAAGGTTAACGGTGGATATCCCTGATTTTCTGGGGGTTGTCAAAGAGTGACAGCGTGAATGTTTTACCCCGGACGGGAGAAGTGGAAACCATTACCTAACAGAATACCACACCCCGCATTTTATATAACTTTGATGTACTTAGAGTCGACTCTATATGTCTGTAGAGTATATTGAGGCATATTCGTGTATGGGATAGGTGGTATGGTAGGCCAGGGGTAATGAAGTTATCCAGAAAGCCTCCCGGATGGGATATACGGGATTCCGACTTGGCCGCTCTAACAGTCGGGATTATGAACAAGCTGATTAATCAAGAACCTAAGAAAATAAAGTCCACGGGAATTCAGGGAAGGAGCGGGTGAGTTTGTGGCGCGGGAAGTGGCGACACAAACCACAATGCGCATGTGCCAGGGGGCTGTGTTAATCCAAACATGTCGGCATGAAACCCCCAAAATAAACTATCCCCCTAAATCCACCAAAGGTGATCATGATCATGATCTCCAGATAGTCTCCTGACACCTCAAGCTGAACCAGCAAAGACAAGGAACATGATCAAAGCCACCCAAAGTCCCACTTTCATTGTGCTAGGGGGACCTCGAAGCGATAGGAAGACAGCTGGGCAGACTAGGCATACCGGGCCAAGCTTCAAAGACGGCCTTGGTTCCCTTTCAGAGGCAAAGGGCAGCCGAACCCACCGACCCGATGCTACCATGGCTATCAGTTGCGCAAGCTCAGCCAGTAATAGGCGCTAGAGCGCGCCATCGTCTGGGGGGAGGCTTTTTGGTGGCTGCTCACCTCACGCAACCCTATGTAGGAAGCTGAGGGCCGAGAACACTGCGTCTTTTTATTTTCCGCCCCCTATTCCTATTCTCCGGAAGTGTGCATGGACCATATGGGTCGTACACTGTTGCCTATCAGAGAGCTTCATGCTTGGAGTAGTCTGTTAGAATTGAGAGGATGTTTCGTAGCCAGTGGTTACTGATAAGAGTGTGGGTCACTGCCCAGCTGTACAATTGCTGCACGATATGGCCCCGTTAACCCATGGGAAACTGGCATGGAACAACACTACATGTACATGATAGCCCTTCGATCTGGAGACGCATTTGCCACAGAATGTGATTCATCTCAGGGATCCCTTGGCCTTCGCCAAGGCTAAAGTCTATTCGCGGACCCCTAGAAATGCGAGGGCATAATCTTGGACCTACCACAGCTTGTGAAAAAGCAATCCTGGTGCCCGAGGATACGAGGATGCAGCTCAAACCACCCACGCTAATCCAATCATCACCCGCATCTGCTGTGAACACATGATAGTCACTTTTCCCCCGCAAGGAAACTAGCACACCCTCGCGCCTCTAGTCGGCCGGGTGTGCTTCTCCCGTGCTTCCATGCATATCAATGGCAGACCGCCACGAGCGACCGAAACTTAGCGAATGGAATGCGTTTATAGGGAAATGTCTAAGCGCAGGGATTGATGGCATCATCCGAGAGCGAGAAATCGAGAATTAGAGATGGAAGAGAAACAGAAAATGAAAGCGAAAAGCCATACACTGTCAAAGGCATCCGGAGAGGCCGACCGAGGTCTTGCTCATTCGCCTCTGGCCATGGCCAAGATGCTGTACCGAGGGTCTCTAGGGGAACTCAATCCGGTCGACACCAGCCTCAGTGGGGCACCCTTTCCCAAGCCATATGGCATGGCACGCATATTTCCTGCCCATAGCGCAGTGATGTAGAGCCACAGGTACGGATTCCGACGGGAAGCCTTCCAATAGGTAAAGGGGAAGGCAGCCTTAGGCCTTCATAATGGGCTAGGCTGGTACGGCGTACTTGTATAGAGAATGACATTGGATGAGGTATGCTTAGCCAAGATTCTAGAATATGAAAACGGAAATAGAAGATGTAATGTTCCAGGAGAGTGTGAGAGAGCGGAAGAGGAAGAGGCAATGGCTTATCTCCGCAAAACGGATTGGGTAAAGATCGGTTATCAAGTGCGGAGGTGGACTGATGGGGCTAGTCTAGATCTGAGCTTGATGTCTCTTTTTCCCTTTTTTATTATTATATATGATATTATTATTGGTATACTACTGGTAATACTATATTATTATTGGCTTGAATATATTCTATTCAGACTATACCACAGTTCCATGATGACCTGCAAGTCGAGTCAGCAAGGATCCAGGCTCGGGCATACCGTAGGATCGTCCGTTTTGACGGGCTAAATCACGCGAGAGATAAGTTAGTGCGGTCCCACTTACCTTGATTGTTCCAATACTTATTTCCCTATAATCTGAAACAGAACGTGTTCCTTATCAACCTGCAGCCGGGTATTTGTTATAGAAAGGCAAAATGATAAGATTAATAATAAAAATTTTAATTTACGGTGGCACCGGGCGTTCAAGGGACGCCAAGACTATCAGAAGATGGGAAGAGTAGTTAGCGCAAAAGTCTACTTTAGTCTAAGCGCAGATAGACATTGACCATGACTTTCAAAGGAACGTAAATAATTTATCTTAATCAGGTCTGGCTCGCATTTAAATACTCGCTTCCCCCATACATTTCCCGCCCCTCCACGCCGTGCAGCTCTGACTTCTTAGTCTTCTTCCTCTAACCCAACCCGAGGAATTGCCTAGCCCCTTTCCTTCCTTCCTCTACATACATCCCACCCATCTCTAATTGGATAAGCAACTGCCCATCACCTCACCATGGACGAAAAGAAGTTCGAGGAGCCTCAAACAGTCCAGACTCCACCCGAGGCTCCCCCCGCCTATGGCAGTTCGGAGCCCACTCGGGCTGGCATGGGACAGCGCATTTGGGACAGTTTCAAGCGTGACCCTAACCATACCGTCACTGGCCATGCTGGAGCCGATGGCTCTGGTTTCGACATCGAGACCGCCGCACAGAACACAGCTCACTCCCCTCTCCAGCGTCGGCTGAAGGGTCGTCACCTGCAGATGATTGCTATCGGTGGTTCTATTGGTATGCATTGGGCTCGGAGCTTTAGTCTGTTTCTTTACTGACCATCTCTAGGTACTGGTCTTTTCGTCGGTTCGGGATCCGTCTTGGCTGCCGGTGGTCCTGCCTCGGTTTTGATCGCTTACATTCTCATCGGATGCATGCTTTACTGTACGGTGCATGCTCTTGGTGAGATGGCCGTTCTGTTCCCCGTTGCTGGTTCTTTCGCCCACTACTCGACCCGTTTCGTCGACCCTGCTTGGGGTTTTGCTATGGGTTGGAACTATGCCTTGCAATGGCTTATCGTCTTACCGTTGGAAATTGTCGCTGCTTCTATCACCGTTGATTATTGGAGTCCCGGTGTTTCCAATGCTGCTTGGGTTGCCATCTTCTGGGTTCTCATCGTCTCGATCAACATGTTTGGTGTCCGAGGATATGGTGAAGCCGAATTTGTCTTCTCTATTATCAAGGTCGTTGCTGTGCTGGGCTTCATGTAAGTATTTGTCTGGTTATTTTCTGGATTTCAAGCTAACTGGCATTTCTAGTATCCTCGGAATCATTATTAACTGCGGCGGTGGTCCTCAGGGTGGATACATTGGTGCGAAGTACTGGTACAACCCCGGTGCCTTCAACAACGGGTTCAAGGGTCTATGCAGTGTCTTCGTCAACGCCGCCTTCGCCTTTGCCGGTACTGAGCTGGTCGGTCTGGCCGCTGCTGAGACCGCGAACCCTCGGAAGTCCCTCCCCACAGCCGTTAAGCAGGTGTTCTGGCGTATTGCTCTGTTCTACATCGTCTCCCTTACCCTTGTCGGTCTCCTGGTCCGTTACGACGAGCCCAGACTCGTCAGCGGCTCCTCCTCCGCCGACGCCCACGCTTCCCCCTTCGTCATTGCCATTGAAAACGCCGGTATCAAGGCTCTGCCTTCCATCATGAACGTCGTTATCATGATAGCAGTTCTCTCCGTCGGTAACTCCTCCGTTTACGGATCCTCGCGTACACTTGCTGCCCTCGCCGAGCAGGGGCAGGCCCCCAAGTTCTTGGCCTACATTGACCGCAAGGGTCGTCCTCTGCCTGCCATTCTTGTCGCCTCCGCCATTGGTCTGCTCTGCTTCCTCGCCGCTTCCGACAAGCAGACTACCGCCTTTGGCTGGATGATGGCCATTTCAGGTTTGTCCTCCATCTTCACCTGGGGCTCCGTATGTGGTGCCCACATTCTCTTCCGTCGCGCCTGGAAGCAGCAGGGCCACTCCCTGGACGAACTTGCCTTCCGCTCCCAGCCCGGCGTCATTGGATCCTGGATCGGCCTCATCTTCAACATTTTGGTGTTGATTGCCCAATTCTGGGTTGGTTTTGCCCCAGTCGGCTATGCCGAAATGACTACCAACGAACTTGTCTACAACTTCTTCTCGGTCTACCTGGCCGCTCCCGTTGTTGTCGCTTTCTACGTCCCTTACAAGTTCTGGTACAAGACCAAATTTGTTCGCTCGCATGAGGTGGATCTGGTCACTGGTCGTCGCGAGCTTGATATTCAGCATCTTGTTGAGCAGGAGCGGGCTGAGCAGAAGCAGTGGCCTAAGTGGAAGAAGGCTTACAAATTCTTCTGTTAGAGCGGCTTTTGCCGATCTGTACATCTTATGTTTTTTTTTTTTGGCAACCTCACCATATTTTTTTTGCTTGAGGATAATGATACCATCTATGAATTTAACATATTTCATGTTACTTCTTTGTGTAGACTCAAGAAAGAATACAGTAGCCAAGGTTGACAACCTCAGGCGCCGATCAAGGCTTGGCATGTTTGTGGAGAGCGTTTGAGGCAACCCGTGATCGCTGGCCCGGTTCCTGTATCTACTGTACCTACTGTAGGTACTTGCATATATACGCGCCCCTAGGGCCCAAAGACATTGCAGATATAAGAATAGTTCATATACAAAGAAAGTGCCCCTTTTATGCAACAGCCAGTGCCAGTGGCCAAGTAATTTTCAGACCCAAAAATAGTAAAATGTGGATAAAACGTGGAGACAAGGCGTCGAAATTTGTTGGTCTCAGCCTGGAAGGTAATATTACCAGGTGACTTCAACATCTAGCTTCATCTCCATCTCTATCTCCATCTCTCTTTTTGTCTCTCTTTTGCGGCTGCCTTTTGCCGAATCCCCAGGCTTATCCCTCATTTGTGCGGCGGAATCCCTTTCGCGACTCGGCGCTTAATTTAGCCTCTCCTGCCCGTGCATTCCAGAGCGATCTGTCTTCGCTTCGTCATCGGTCTCTCGGTCTATGCGCGCTCCAGCGTACAACCTCGAGATTGACTTTTCAACTCTGCCTGTCTGCCCGCTTTCTATTTCCTCGGTCCTATCGCAACAACGGGACAGCCCCAGCGGCCGCTCAACAGTCCGCTCTGATCAGCCCTTCGATAATTCTCCCATCTTCTCCCATTTCCGAACTCGCTATCGCTCATCCTCTACGTTCTCCTCCGTTTACTCAGATTGCGTGTCTCCGATCGATAGTCTGAAGCGACGTTCTAGCCGCTACAATGCCTGGTTTCCGAGACTCGTTCTGGACGCCCGACTATGCGTCGGGACTGGGCGTTCTTTATGGGAAGTTGCAGCAAGGCGTGGTGGAGAACAGGCAAATCTTGACCATTGCGTCGATGCGTGCAGATGCAGAGGAACAGTACGGTCTCCGCATGGGAGACATTGCCCCGAGCGTGGACAGGATGACAGCCGCAGGATTCGGCAAGGACGACGGTGCAAGTGTCAGAAAGGTTTGTTGAAGATACATGCGGATCGCCACTAAGATGGATATTAACCGATCTCGATACCCACAGGCATACGAAGGAATCCGAACCGAGATGGTTGAGGCCTCGAGAAATCACCAGAAGATCGCCAACAATATCCGCGAATTAGTCGTTGCGCCATTCCGACGCTGGGGCGAGCAGCATGATCTACGTGTTCAGTATTCGCATGATCTGCTCCAGTCGCGCATCAAGGAACACACGAAACAGGCGGATTTGGTGCGGAAACTGCGCAGTACTTATTTCAATAAGTGTCGTGTTGTTGAGGATCTGGAGGAAGAGAATAAGCTTGCCTTCCAGGATCCCGAAACGAGTCCTAAGGTCCAGCCTCCCCCAAGATTGTTTTGCCTGCTGAAGAGGAGCCTGATGAGGATCCTATTGAGTTGGGCGAGCGCATTTTCTCGCCGGACCAGATCAAGCAGTTGCTCTCTCATATGCTTCACAACATCAAGCTTGGCGAGGCCAAGGTTCCTATTATCGGAACGTATCTGAATGTTTCTACCGGTGCGGACATTGCGCAATACATCCAGACCTATATGGAGGCCGATAACCTCGCCCAAGTAGAGCGGATTGGTCAGGATATGGTGGACAATGGTCTTCTTCGTTTGGTTGGAAACATGGGCAATGTCTTTGCCAACAGCTCCAAGATGAACTACCAATGGCGTCCTAAGGTCTTCCAGCTTACCGGTATCCCCGAGAAGAAGAAGCCTCTCATGCGTGTTACTTCCATGGCATCCAGCGAAGACGGCAGCAACGCCGACTCTCCCATTGCATCTGTCTCTGAGATGCTTTCAGGCTGGAACCCCCTCAACAACCCCTACCCGAACGAGACACCTTCAGAGAAGCTCCGCAGAGAAGCCCTCGAAGCCGATGAGCGGTATAAGGTTGCCGTGCGCAAGCTTGACCAGATCCGCTGCCGTCTTGAGGAAGAGATCATTGACCAGCTCAAGTATATGGAGCAGTGCGAACTGGATCGTCTTAAGGCTATCAAGGCCGTTGTTCTCGATTTCTCTGGCGCTATCAGCAATGTCATCCCAAACCTGCAGAGCACGGTTGATCATATGATGCTGTACCAGGAGACTATTCAGCCTCTTGGTGACTTGAGATATCTGCTGGAGAACTACCGTACTGGTGGATTTGTGCCTAAAATTCAGGCATACGAAAACTATTACGGTTCCGTTGAAGAACAGAACTTTGGTGTTGACCTTGAGGCCAGAGCCCGCGTCGATCGCAAGCGTGTCCCTATTCTCGTCACCACCATTTTGACCTACCTCGATAACCGCTACCCCGAACTAGAAGGCGACGAGGCAAGGCGAATGATCTGGCTGACTGATGTTGGCCTGGACAAGACCCACAAGCTTCGTGCTATATTGAACAACAGCAAGGCCGACTACAAGGAGGTCCTGCCACAATTCCAAATTCCCGTCATTGCCAGCGTTCTGAGATTGTACCTGCTTGAACTGCCAGGTTTGTTGTTTTCTACCAACTTGATTTGCACATCGACTGACCCCAATAGACTCCCTGGTTTCCTCCCAAGTTTACGAAATTGTGAAAACGATCTACTCCACCACCGCTAACGAGACCACGGAAGACGGACGAATCAAGGTTCTGCAGAGCACCCTTGGACAACTCCGTCTCGTCAACATCGCTACGCTTGATGCCATTATGACTCATTTCACGCGCCTGATTGATTTGACCTCTGCCGACGAAGAATACGTCACTTTGTTGGCTCAGACTTTTGCTTCTTGCATTCTTCGCCCTCGCGTAGAGAACGCCCTGACCATGAACGAGCGCCACAGCTATCGTCTTATCCGCGACCTGTTCGCCCACAAGGATGCCATCTTTGGCGAACTGAAACGCCAGTCGAGTGCCCTCGGACTCAGCAGCTCCGGCTCGAACCGCCCCCGCGCCATCAGCACAGATGAGAGCAACCGTCGTGCAGCAATGGAGGCCCGCCAGCGTGCCATTGTCAACCGCAGCCGAGCCACCAGCCCCGCCGCCCGCCAAAGACACCGACGTGACCGCTCCAGCGGAGCATCAGAGACTGGCCGGTTCCCAATCAACGTCAACAGCCCCTCAGACCGCAGAGCCACTCGCGGCCCTAGTCTGGACGTGCCAACAAGCAGCGGATCCCCCACTGCCTCCGAGAACGCACCCACAGTGGACACCCAAATGACGGAAACAGTCACCAACGGCGCCTCAACTGAATCCCCAGACTCAATCGCCGCCAGCACAAGTGGCTACTCCGACTCGCCAAGTCCCCCTCCTATTCCCGAAACCGCCTCCGACGGCTCCCCAACTCCAACCCCGACCCCATCCGCTCAATCCGCCGAGTTCGATAAGCGTAACTCTATCCCCCGCTCCGCTGGTGGTCGCTACACCCGCAAGCCGGGTCTCGGTAGCTTATCCAACTTCCCTACTGGCTCGGCTGTCGGCGCTAGCGGAACGGATAGCAACCGCAGCAGTATCGCCGAGAGTGAGCCTAACAGGGTCACTCTAGAGGATAAGCCTATGGACGATTAAATTGTAACGCCTTGCCTACCTGCTGGTGAGGACTGACGGATCACGGAATACGCTGGGAAACTCTTTTGTATAGATCGAAACGGGAGCCATTTGTCCTGTCTCGGACTGGAGAAAGAACATTTGCATTACATACATATCTCTTCTTCAGAAACTGAGACATGGCAGAAACGACCCATGGAGTTGCGTTTTGGAACTTGATTTCAGCTTGTTTTGCTTGTTTGTTTGCCTTTTCTTTTTAATCTTTACCTTTTACTTCATGTCCCTTGCGAGGCATGTATGCATTACATACCCTTCTCCCTTTCTGTCTTGTACTACCCGCAGTTGGGGGGATTGTTCACGTCCCTTTTCGTTCCGCTTTTTGAATTTGGATTTTGTTTCCTACCTTTTTTGTTATGTTTCTTATGCATTCCCTTCTTTCTTTGCCCTTGTGCTTGTCTGCACTTGGTATATGTATACTCTGATTCCTCTGCATATGAATTTCCTTCTTTCATGGAGATGGTACTTCGTCTGGTTTGTAGTGTACTGTATACTTTTGATATGCATATATAGTATGGGAGCCTGCCTTTAGCAAGCGGTGGCGTGATACATCGTAGAGTATTATACAGTGGCGACCGCTATCGCCTACCATGTTTGAAAAACTAGTGCTCCACTGCCACGTGGTGTCCTGAAAAGGAAATAAAATAAAATAAAAAAATCCCCACTGGGAGCTCCGAGGTTCGGGTCGAACTCGCAGCTCTCTCTGCACGGTACGGCCGAACACAGTTAACTATCACTAGGTTGTTTCGGTGGGGTGGTTGCAAAAGTAAGGTTAAAGTTGCTGATAGAGGGTTGGTTTTGCCATCCCGATTAGGAAAATATAGAAAAGCTCCTTCAACCCCAACTCACATGGTACGCTAAATCCAAGATAGATAGTCTGTATTCAATATCTGTTCCGGGGTTGTGCGGTAATGTGTCGTCACGGGTATAAAATAGAGCAAGGTGTATAAATCATGTCGTGTTTACCCCTCTGCAGCAAAGAACTATACGGGGGAAAGCTGCCTGTAGCAAGAATTGCACACTTGAAAGAGCAGATATCGATTCAAGGGGTAAGTAGAAAACTCTGCTATTCCCATAGGTTTAAACCGATTGCGTTCTACTCCGTAGGGCTGAACAAAAACAGGGTTGTGAGTTACTGCGTGAAATCGACAATACTAGTGAATCAATCTACTCCCTCCGTAAGGACGGGTTTATGATTCCTCCGGACTCGGGACAACATCCACCGAGCAATTACGCCAAACATCCACTCTCCATAGGATCTCTCTCCTTTCTCCCATATCACAGAAAACCCACATCGTGGTACTTTCCAACCTTCCGGGCGTTTAAAGCGCATGGTAAGCATCAACCCCGCACTTCCCGTCAGATAACAACCAACTCCAAAACATAGCACAGCAAAAGAAAGAGGGCCATAGAAGCCGAAAAATGAGCTCGACAGGGCAATTCCCAATCGTGGACTCCCACATCCACCTCTTCCCAGCAACACATCTAAAGACCCTATCCTGGCACAGCGACTCCAACCCCCTTGGCAAACAACACAGCATAGATGAATACAAGCAAGCCACCAAATCCAACGCATCAGCCCTCCGCGGCTTCATATTCCTCGAAACAGACCGCCTCTCATCGGTAACAGAATCACCCACCTCAACATTCACCTCAACCCCAATTCACGGCTGGACCCACGCCCTAGACGAAGTCTCCCTCCTAACACGCATAGCGCTAGGCGAACCAATCGCCGGCGAAGGCCACAGCCCAGAAGATAAAGAACTCTGTTGGGGAATTATACCATGGGCACCTATCCCCGGCGGGCAAGATGTATTGGAACAATATTTGGATCTAGTGCGGGAGCGGGTGCGGATGGGTGAGGTGTGGGCGAAGGTCCGTGGTGTGCGGTATCTCGTGCAGGATAAACCTGCCGGGACGATGCTTCAGGATGGCTTTGTGGGGAGTCTGAGGTGGCTTGGGAGGTTGGGGCTGACGTTTGATCTTGGGGTTGATGCTAGGTCAGGGGGGTTGGGGCAGTTGAGGGAGGCGGTTGAGATGATGGGGAGGGTTTATGAGGGGGTTACGGACGGGAGGGAGGCTGTTACTATTATTATTAGTATGTTTATGTCCTGTTCTTTTGTTCTTTGATGGTGTTTGCTAACTTGCTTGTTCAGACCATATGTGCAAGCCTAATCTCCGTCTCCCGCCTGCTTCTGTTCGCTCTCATCCTGAGTTCTTGGAGTGGAAAGATCTTATTACGAAGATGGCTCGGGCTCACCCGAAGACTTATATGAAGCTTTCCGGGGCGTTTTCTGAGATTGAACCTCTGGCTGGGCAGTCTGAGCCTGATTTCGAGGCTATTGTTGAGCGTGTCCGGCCCTGGACAGATGCTGTCTTTGATGCGTTTGGTGCGGAGCGTGTCATGTATGGATCGGATTGGCCGGTTTGCAATGTTGGTGGTGGTGGGAATGATGTCTCGTGGGGCCGCTGGAGGCGGGTTGTTGAGGAGATTTTAGAGCGGAGAGGTTTGTCAGGGAATGAGAAGGCGGATGTTTGGGCGAGGGTTGCTATAAATGCTTATATGATTGGATACCCGGGTGTTCGTGGTTGAGATTAATGTGAATGTGTGATTGTCATTGGTGTAGCTATATATATATATCCATACTTCTTATTGCAGATTGACGAACAATCCACCATCAACCAATAACTGCGCACCAGTCTATCCAACAGCAAAGTCAGCGTCCATCACACCACAAAACGAAAGGAAGAAAAACTTACCACATAACTACTTAACTCTTCGCAAGCCAAGAAAACAGCCGGCCCAGCCAAATCAGGCGGCTGCCCAAGTCTTCCAAGAGGAATCCGACCCTCCATATAAGCCCTCTTAACAGGATCCTTCATGTCCTCCTCATTAAGCTGCGTACGAATAGTCCCAGGCAACAACGCATTACAACGAATGCCATACTTACCCAGCGCCACCGCGCATGACTGCATAAGACTTAGCACGCCAGCCTTGGTGGGCGTGTAGTGAGTCTGCTGGCCGCCGCCGACAAGCGCGGAGATGGAGCTCACGCCGATGATTGAACCGCCGGGCGGGGATTGCGCCTGTGCCATTTGTCGGGCGGCGGCTTGGGTGGCGTAGAAGGCGCCTGAGAGGTTCGTTGAGATTGTTTGGTTTAGGAGGGAGGGTTCGAGTCTGGATTTACGTTAGCCAGGGATAATTCAGTTAGGAGAGGAGGGGGGGGGGGCTCGAATAGGTATGGGTATGCTGGCAAGCGGGGAAATCTCACTCTAGGAATTCTGCAAATTGGCACACGCCTGCGTTGCTCACGAATACATCTAGACGACCGAACTTCTCGACTGTCTTTGCGACAAAGTGCTGACCAGTCTCGGGCTGGGAGATGTCACCTGATACTGTGAGGAAACGGGTCTCGGCGGCCCCGGCTTCGATCTCGTTCACATCTTTCCGCAGGGCTTCCAGGAGTGTGTCTTCCTTTGCACCGCCAAGGTGACTGATTGAGACATTGGCTCCGTGGCGGAGATAGTCAAGGGCAATTGCCTGTGGGACTGCTTGTTAGGCGTGGCTCCTTCTGAACTGAATAGGTATGTTCTTTGAAATTATGGACAAGCGGGGAGAGCTTACTCGTCCGATTCCCGTGAGACCACCGGTGATGGCGGCAACCTTGCCAACTAGTAACTGAGGGAGAGGCATTCCGAAGAGGTTAATGCGAGAGTGAGGAAGTTCAATTGCAAGACTCAAGGTGGGCTGTGTCCATGTGAAGTTTCTCTCCGATAAGATCTCGGGGATTCGTGATGATGTTGCCCCGAGTGTGGGGAACCCCACGAGGGGCATGTGCCACGTCTTCCAGGGCTTTCTTGCCAAGATGCTACGACCGCCCTAGGGCGGTCTACGTATGTTTGACTTAATACTGACAAAACATTGAACTGTCCATGTATTTTCCCCGGTATTTATTTGCGTATTTAGCAGGTGCGGCGGTATCTGCTAGAGTAAATGATACGACTAACCCTAATTCTCCCAGTTATGCTTGCCGTCATGGAGTGTCAAAGACAACACTACCCTCTAGGACACCTCCCACCCCTCGCCTGGGCATAACAACCATCCGGCGGCAACAACTTGGGATCAAACCCATGCAGCGTGCCCGTCCAACAATTCAAAAACTTGAGCCCACGTTCTGGGATCTCCGTTACAGTCGCTTCTTCTGTCATCTCGATGAGCTTCCAAGTAGGCGGTAGCCCAAGCGCATACGGAAGCGTCATCCCAAACTCGTCCACAGGCAGAGGTCGGTATATCCGGCGGCGAGACTCGGCCAGACTCATGTAGTCGGTTAATCCCTCAGTGGTCTTGATTCTGTAGGTCACTTTGTCCAGGTAGGATCGGAAGGTAGACATAATGTCCTCGTTCGATAAAGGTTTGTCGTACAGAGTAAGGAATTGGGATTCGGGGGAATTGGCCTCTGAGGCGTGTAGGGAGTGTCGAATTTTGTCGACGAATGCGGCCTCCATGTCATAGCTTCCATCGACAAGAGTTGTTGTTTGTGGGAGATACTGCATTAGCACGCCACGACGCCAGCTGTAGACTGGGTTGTAGAAGTCGAGAAGGAGGATGGAGCGGAGGAGCTTTTGACTGACGAGATTGTCGGGCAGGTTCAGCACGCCCATTGAATCCTCGAAGGAGGTCTGCAGGGCGATAAAGTACATCTGGTCGCCCTCTATGTTCTCGTTAACCACCAGGAATTGAGTGATATCGTACGCCTCTGTCTGCTTGCCGCCGCCGAGAGTACCCTTGGGAAGCTCCACCACTTTTACACCTGACGGAACTGGATCTGCTGAATCTGAAGACCATTCCTGTAAGAGTCCAAGTTTCAGATATTTGACGGCTTTTTGGTAGTCTTCATATTTGAACTCCGGGGAGAAATGCGCCATGGGGTCCTAATTTCGTGTCAGTAGCTTGACGGGCAGATGTGAGGATATCCACAGACGTACATTAATTTCATCGAATCTGCTTTCTAGCAAAAGCTCAAAGTTCATAAAGAGATCATGGGGGGCTCGAAAAGGCAGAGCATCTGCTGATGGGTTCTCCGCGAAAAAGGTAACTACTTTGGCGCCAGTCGCGATATTGATGGTGGTCGTGAGCAGCAAGTGAGCCATCCAGCGGTGCAGGTTGGCCGGCTGAGACTTATACTTGCCATTATTCTCTTTGAAGTCGTTGTCATGGTGCAACTGAAACCACCTGGTAACCAGAACCTTGATAATGTCTCCCTCTAGCCCTTCGGCACTCTTTACGTTGCCTAACAAATTCCAGGAGGAGGGAGAGAGATATGGTAGTTGCTTGAAACGCTTGGCCTGGTCTACACTGAGGCATTGTTTCAGGTCGGTCCTATCCGTCTTCCAGTGGTACCAAGGGCTGCGACATCATCAGTTACGGAAGGGAACTTGGAATGCGAATGGAGACCAACTCGTGAATCTCTTTCATGATACATGGTCCGTTGACATGACCATTAAAAGGACCAAGATATGACATGTCGTAAGATGACCCGTCCGTAAATGCATTGTATGCGTTGCCTTGGTATGTCCATTTTCTGTTTTCCTTGTCACCGTTAATGTCTTCAATCTATACATGGTTAGGCCCTGACCTTGACGCGGAGAAAGGATCCATACGGCGTAATAGTGGAAGGTCTTTTCATCCCAACTGGCGACTTGCACGAAACGCTTTGGATTGTGTACGTCGTCTGAACCAACAATGAAAATAATGTCGCCCTGGGGCTTGAAGTCGACGACTCCAAGTATACGGCAGTGAGGATTGAACCAGCCTTCTCCGTTATTAGGCAATCCTGAGCGATCCACATGGGCGCCGTCTGCAATCATAAACATTCTCAGATTGCATGCTTTCGACGACGCCTCGGACTGGTCTAGAACCAATTAGTATGTGACATATCGTCTTGAGCATCCGAAGTAAAACTTACTATAATAGTAGGAAAGTATTCCGTCCAATGTATTGAGAGTCCAGTGCAAGTCCCGCTGGAGAAACTGGCCAAATTTATCTTGGAGTTTCTGCTGCTGCTCAGCTGTAAACAAAGTATCATTATCCCAACGAGAAACTCTGGTGAACTGGCGATGCCAAATTTCTGATGTCGTCATTTTGAGACTGAATTCTGATGAAATGGACTTGGAAGTATGCTCGACAATGGAAATCGTAAATGGCGATGAAGAATACATATATATCTCAGCTGTGATGTGTGATAGCGAGCTGACGATCGTCAATAATCTGATTGGTGTATATTTGACATGATATTTCCCCAATCACAGCTACAAGCCCACCTTTAGATAGCATAGAATTGTCAGCCGAGGGTATTAAGGAAGTTTGTAATAACTTTCACAAATCAACCTGCATGGCGCCAAGATAGGAACGCAGAGATGACCAAGAACTCCCGAGGACATCATGCATGTTTCCTGCATATCCTTTACAGATGATCTTCGGGTTTTCCGCGTTCGGAGTTATGCATGCATGCGTTGTTGACATTCACCGCACGAAAACTTGTCCTTTAGCTGCACGTTCTCTAATACTATGTAATGCGAACTGCGATCATGAGCTAGGCACCGAAGCGCTGCCAATGAAACATCCTCGGAAATGTCCATCGTTGCCTACGACGTAGTCAGCGCTAACTGTGATGGTTTGAACGCTGGCTGCTCGACGGGTCTGGACAAAAAGTGCAGCTGAGCTGCAATGTAACGACAAGCTGAACTCCCATCATAACCAGCAAATACCCTCTGTGGATAATAATTTCGGCAGTCGGGCAATTTCAGGCGTACGACGACAACGAAAAATGGCTCACTGTAGACAGAAGAGCTCAGAATTCTTGACTAAACAGGGTCACTGGTCTACTGGCAAAGGTACCGGAGTATCTATAAAGACAGGTGCTCTCATTGTCTCTCCAACATCAAAACGCTCCATCAACACAACATCATGGCCCCGAAGAAAGACACCGTGCTTAAAAGGCATGAGCCTCCAGGCAACCTTCCTGACCTCACCGAGCCCAACAAGGAGAAGTGGTCCAAGGAATTCATTTCAACCTGGATGCAGGGTGAAATCGATGCTGATCCCAAAATTGTCGGGAAAGGTCGTACCCCGTTGACTCAATTCTTCGACGGTACCAAGACACCCTTTAATCCAGACGATTCGCCGAAAGCCGTCGAATGGAATGCATTTCCTAAAGTGGTCAGTTCGAACCCTAGATTCGGAACAACTTGCGCGCTAACTAGATACAGATCAGAAATTCATATCAGAGCGATGCCGTGCGGTGGGCGATTGCAGATTCTTCTCGTGTAGTCCAGGACGAGTATTTGGAGTGGTCTGTTAGTCGAGGCGCCAGAAAGTACACTGGGGACATCCACAGTGTGACCTTTACCGCTGAGGGACCCGAGGTACGTGCCACACTGCCTTTTGATCATATTGACAGAACAATTGACAATAGATAGTATTGGCAATTCCTCGCTAGTTGCCAGAAAGCCGACTTTCTCAAGCTGATGAAAGACCTCAACTCTGGGTTTGCCAGTGACATGGTGGACAGTGATTTCTTTCTGAAGGACTACGAGACAGGAAACGAAGTATACAATCCAGCAAATGTCTGGAATCTACTCAGTACCACAGGCGCAATCGCTCACTTAATCCAGCCGAACAACACACTGTCCGCCGAGGTTGACATCGCTGCACAGGCTACCGTCATCCGCAAGAATGACAAGGGCAAGACAATCACAGACGCGGATGAGCTGATCAACTGTTCCAAGTACGGTAACCCAGGCAGAAACTCCGATCCATCGGTAAGATGCTTTCAATACTTTCCATATAGCCCTAGGTGTGCTGACACGACCAGATCGGAGCGGCTATCAACTCGCTCGCTCGAGACGGCGCAAATCTCACCGTGGCCGAGCCGGTTGCGCTGTACATCCGAGATTTCGACACGAGAAGCTTTAAGTTCGACATGAACGGTACAAACGACGGCGCCCCGACTGATCTCAAGGATATTGAAAATCCAGATAAGGTCTTCCGGTGGCAGCGTGGCGATATAAAAACCAAAGCTGGTCTCAGGATCAAGATTGAGGTGCCCAAGGGCCTAAAAGACAACAACAAGCAACCACTTCTCGTCAGTCACATTTATGACACCAACAAAAACTTGCATATCAAGTACGGGGCTCAATTTGCCGACTACTTCACTATGGGAGTCAGTGCCATGGGTATCGATGGCACCACTGCCCAACCGCAAAACTGCTACGACCCTTCTAGCCAGACCGCTGGTTCTGTCAAGCCGTCTTGTGCGGAGTTCGATGGCTTTGCTCATCCTGGCTTAGCTGGTGCGCCTGGTTCGTCTCGTGCGTAGGTCTGCTTATCTCAGATTCCAATGTATGCAACTGCAGGTATGTGAGCGACTAGTGAAATATAGTATATGTACCGTATACGTATCACCATGGTAGTACTATGAACACGATCTAAATGGGGCAATACTGTATTGCCGGCACAACGCAGTTTCTACCGTAAAAATATAATTCTGTTGTATCTCGGGCAAGGAAGTCCGGGACTTAAAAAGTTCAGTGACAGAGTACGCTACGCTAAACGGTTAAGACAAGGGGGGAAAAAAAGAAAAAGAAAGAAATTTCCCATTGCCTTGACTCGTGAGGCCGGCCAATGACTAATACAAGTTTGCGTAAAACGTGCATCCTTAAATCTCAATCTATTGGATGAATTGATCTTATGTACATGAATTTCGTGTAGCGGGTAAATAGCCTTTGAACATGGAACGAACAAGGACAGCAAAAAAGATTCGTTCAAAATTCCATCGCAGACAAATATTTAAGCAGAGCCATTGGCGGCCTCCTCGTTGTCAGGAGCGCGCAGGGACTTCTGAGGAGCCGGAGTAAGAATAGCAGCGGCGGGGATCAAAGGAGCAGCCGGGTTAAGTTCCAGACCGAATCCAGGTTTGTCCAGAATAGAGACATCAAGGTAGCCCTTGGTGGGAATGGGCTCGTTCAAGAACAGGTTACCAAAGACAGGCTCGACGGTGTGGCCATCAGCAGAGTTGGCCAGGTACTCCTGGAAAGGACTGTTGGACTGGGAGACAACGAAGTGGTAGGAGTAAGGACCGGAGGCGTGAGGCACAACGGGGAGATCGTAAGCGGCAGCCATGGCGGAGACCTTGAGCAGCTCGGTCATACCACCAACCCACATGACATCGGGCTGGAGGATGTCGAGATTGCGACCCTCAACCAGCTTGCGGAAACCGTAGCGGGAGTACTCGTGCTCACCGGTGGTGAACTTGACAGTGGGGTGGGCCTGCTTGAGAAGCGCATGGCCGTCGAAGTCATCGGGGGAAAGGCACTCTTCCCACCAGTCGATATCAAGGCCAATGGCCTCACAGCGCTTGACCAGTTGGATTGTGTAGGGGACAGTCAGGGACATGTAGCAGTCGACACGGAGAGGGTAGTCAGGGCCGACGGCTTCGCGCTGCTTCTTCAGGTATTCGACGTTCTTGAGCAGACCCGCGGTGCCTTCGTCAGGACCGTGGGGCAGGGCAACCTTTGCACCGACGAAGCCGGCAGCCTTGGCTGAGCCAGGCTGGGGACCGGTGCAGTAGAAGTCCAGTCTTGTGCGAGTGGCACCACCGATCATCTTGTAAACGGGCTCCTTGCGGATCTTACCCTGCAGATCCCATAAGGCCAAGTCGATGACTGAGATTACGGCGACGGGCAGACCCTTGCGGCCGTAGAACATGGAGGCGCGGTACATCTTCTCAAAGAGGTCGTTGGTGTCGCGGGGATCTGTTGCATGTAATGCGTTAGTGTTTGCGATCTATATATTGAATATTCGATACGCACCGGCGCCAACCAAGAAACGGTTGAAATGCTGCTGTGTCAACCAGCAGGCAGGAGGGCCACCGAAACCAGTCGCGAAGCCCTTGGTGCCATCAGTGGCCTCAATCTCCACGCAGAATGAACCCAGCACGTTGATACCCCATGAGGTACGCGAGCCGCGGAACTGCGCCCACTTAGTCATAGGGGTAGAGATGTTGCTGTCGACCAGCCAGTGGCCTCCCTTGACCTATACAGGTAGTTAGCACCTTGACTCTCAATTTGATGAAGAAATAAAGCAAATTCGTACATTGTGGTAGTCACCGCCGGAGCCAACACCGTCGATGATGAAGGTGCGAACCTCCTTGATGCGGGGGAATTCCGTTGTTGAACCCATGATGCAATATGTGAACACGCAAGATTCGAGAAAACCGACTGACTTGAAGATAGAAAGAAGAGAAGAAACAAAATAATGTGCGGGGAGCTGAGACTATTTCAACGGACTCGCGCCGGAGGGAACCCGAGACCTCGGGGGAGAGAATGTACCGAGCGGCGATACGGAGAATTTCTGCATGGATATCCGGGGACTTGCATATGCACTGCTTACGTTTGTTTCTACTGTACTTTCTGCGTAATTGGTAATGGCTTGTTGTTTATATCTCTTTCTTTTTGCTCTTGCTTCGAGGTAGTTTCGATATACTTATATTGTACATAGTCGCTATGTACTCCGCATGCTCCGTATGCTTATACTCCACTATATATTTCCACATACCATAGTTACTGGCATTTTTACACAACAATAGTTCTAATCTACTATATCCTGCCACAATAACCAGCTATTATGCTTACAACATGCCACTATACACAATATCCCGTGAATCACGAGGCAGTTTCCAAAGTGGAGAAACGCGGGGTGCCCCGGTTTCTGCCTGAGGCGCAACTTCCACTTTTCCCTCGGCTTCGATTCTGTCGGACGATCGCCGCGTTTATCAATTCTTCCCCTTTGTCCATCTAGCCATATCGGAGATTCCACCGTGTATCCAGTTGCATCATGCTCGGTCCCTAATAGGGCGCATCTCGCTGAATCAAAATGCCGAACCCTGCACTACCCGCCCAGGAGACCCCGTCCTCCAATCAGCACTTCGGTGATCCAGACAGAGATAGCGCAGAGTATTCCTCTGCTGCCGACTCCGATAATGACCATGTCGGAAATGGATCTGGCCCGAGAGCTCTGAAACGGAAACGTCCTCTAACTGTCTCGTGCGTACTGAAACGCCTCGGCCGAACGGCTCCCTGTCTTCCAAGTGTGACCTGACTAACCCTATGAAGATGCGAGCTTTGCAAGCAGCGAAAGGTCAAATGCGGTATGTACGATATAGATTTTATTAAATAGACTTGTTTCTAACATACACTGAGCAGACCGAGTGCAGCCGAGCTGTGGGTGGTGTACCCGCAACGGCCAGCTATGCGAATATAGAGAACGAAAAAAGCCTGGCCTGCGGGCTGGGTATGGAAAAGAATTGGAGCAACGACTCGGTAAGTCTTATTGCAACATCGCCACTTTCCCGTCTAATTCGTGCATCAGATCGGTTGGAAGATATCATCCAATCGCAAGCACGCCTCATTGAGATGCATATCCTGCAGAATCAGAACGCAATGGGTCATGAGCTGCCTCATGCAGGACCCCTTTCATATAGCTCTCCATCGGAGCCATCAGCAGCCCATGGCCCCAGTCCGCGTACTGCTCACTACTTTAATGACCCTGGATCTGCAGTAACACTGCCTTCTCGACGTGCAGATTTGTCTATCACCAGTCCATCTGATTCATCAGTAAGGAATGCAGCACAGAGCCACATGCAAAATGGCATGCATGCGGCTCCAGTAGGCCCGTTGTTACAGGCTTCAAATCCACAGCAGGATTACACGGGGAATGAATCGTCCCTGAAGGTCCCGGTCAATATATTCTCAAATCAGGAACAGTCTTTCGCTGATCCGGATCTTGATCTGCCACCTTACGACCTCTTGTACGCTTTGGTGGATCTCTATTTTGAGCATATCAATTCCTGGTGTCCCATACTCCACCGGCGGACGACGCTGGATACCTTCTTTGGCCCATCGCCACTGGACGAAGCAGACCGGATGGTTCTTTATGCCATAGTGGCCACAACGCTGCGATTTTCTTCTGATACCAGGTTAAACGACCAGAACCGGAAACGCTATCACGACTCATCTAAACAAAAGGTTCTTCTATATGGCCTGGAAAATTCATCTGTCAAAGCCCTTCAAGCTCTTGTTATTCTGGCCATCGATCTGGTTGGGTCTTCCAATGGTCCTCCTGGCTGGAAGCTGCTTGCCTTGATCACTCGATCGGTGGTCCAGTTGGGACTGGCTGTGGAATCAAAATCTTCCCTTATCAACCCCGTCTACCCCTCTATCTATACCCTCAGAGCCGTCACGTTGTCGGAGCCAGACTCATGGATTGAAGACGAAAGCAGACGTCGCTTGTTCTGGATGGTTTACCTGCTGGACCGATATTCCACTTTAGCAACAGCATTCAACTTTGCCCTTGACGACAGAGACATTGACCGAAAGCTCCCTTGCAAAGATGATTACTTCATGAAAAACCAGCCTGTCGAGACACGCTGGTTCCATTATAACAGTGACCGCGCAGATTATCTCAGTCATGCAGAGAATGTCGGTTGTTTCGGCCTTTATATGGAGATCCTGGGGATCCTCTCGCGAATTCATCTGTTCCTGAAACGTCCTGTAGATATCGGAGCTCTCTCCGATGTCGAGGAATGGCAGGCTACCTATCGCAAGCTTGATAGTGAGCTCACATCGTGGGAGTTTAATCTTCCAGCAGAGTATGCATACGAGAATTCTTCTCGACTTTTCAGCGGACCGAAGAATGGTCGCGCCCCACACAGTGACTGGGTGCAACTACATGCCACCTATCAAACGTGAGTCAACATAACCACATTCTTTTGAGGCGAAATAACTGACAGGTTCATAGAGCTGTGATCCGTCTGCACTCATCTGCAGCATACCCAACAACCCGCTCTCCAATCTTCACACCCTCCTACAGCGCCAGCCAGCGCTGTCTCCTAGCCGTCGAGAACATCCTCTCAGTAACCCGCTTTGTCGTAGAGCACAACATGCTAGACAAGATGGGTCCACCGTTCGCCTTCACCCTCTGGGTCTCAGCCCGTCTACTCCTAGTTCACGGCTCCACAATCGCCCACACAGTCAGCGCAGACATCCTTTTCTTCGTCGACACCCTCTTTCAGCTAGGCAAATACTGGAAAGTAGCAGAACGCTACAGCAGCATCCTCCAACGCGTCCTGGACGAATACAACGAGTATCAACAATCAATCGCACTAGACGGCGAACGATCAACACCATCAACCGTCAAAATCCTAGCTGACATGCGTCGCTGTGCATTCGATCTGGATTTCCTGATTTCACGCCAACCACGTGAGTCGCCTGCTGAAAGTGGAAGCCAGCATCGGTCCCATCAACCGGTTATGCAGCCGCGCAGTCTGGCGCCTAATGAGCTCGAGTACCTCGATGTCTTTGGCTTCTTTAATGTCCCTCGTGTCCCTCCTGCTCGTGCGCCTGAATCCGGGGCTGCGCCTTCTGCTTTGGAGATATCGGACCATGTGTCGAATCCTATGTCTATTCATGGATTGACGGATGTTGGCTCTGCGCAGCCCACCGGTTCTGTTGTTGATGGGCATGCTAATGCGAATGAGTTCAACATTACGAATTATCTTATTCCGACGCCCGAAACGGATTGGTTATTCCGTCCATCTTAAAACTCTGTGGGGTTCTCGATCAGTTTTGCAATAAACGTCATGCAGCGGCAGTTTGAAGGGCTCTTTGATTTGTCTCTTGAACATCGATCTCTGTCATCCGAATTTGAAAGGCGAATGGGCTATGGAAAGTCTATCCAAAACCCTGGCTTTCAAGTCCCAGCCTCCCATAATTTGTCGATTATGTATAAAACACCGACTATTGATGACTTGAGACACGACAAGAATATATGTCCCCACTTTGGTCAATGTGAAGCAGCATGTTCTTGCTTTACCTATCGTGACCTCTGTTCTCTTGCTGGCTTTGATCTAGGCACGAAAGTGAGATAACCAAAGCTGTACCGAATGTATGCACAAACAAGATTTTGACAATATGTGTGGGCTCGTACCTCTCCCCGCGTCAATAAGCAAACCACCAGCAGAGTCTTTACAGACCGATGGAGCGACTGGTTCTGGGGGTACACCCATTACAAGTACGAGCTGCAGGCCCGGAGACCAGGAAATGGGAGTCCTCAAACCCGAATGGCTATTTCCTCACCCGTTCTGAAAGCTTTATCTGGCAACAAGAGCCAGAATATCGTATACCCGAAGGAGCGAAGGATATCTACTTGTCGAATCACCGTTAGTTGTCGCTAGCCAGGGATGCAACCTTTCATTGTAGATTTTATGAAGGTTTGCATACATGCTTCCTCTACCTGGAAGGCATGGTAAAAGCAGCTTACTCCCGCGAAAGCTTTTCAATATAAGGAAACTTCTTCTACAAATTTTAAAATGTACCTCAGGACCGCGAGTCAGCATGTCTGATAATTGGTAGCGTGCTCAGTCATACTGGAAGAGGGAGTCCAGAGCATGGCACTGTATAGCAGCACTGTGAGTGTGAAGAGCATATGTGCTCGGCAGGTCACATGGTGATGGACGCGAGGTACAAGACGTGCTCCTACTTATTTATGCCTCAATGCGAGATCGCGCACTCACCGGGAGCACACTTTGGATGTGCAGTACGCCGCGTCGAACCATGCGGCGTGATCAAAAACTAAATGTAATAAAGGCCAAAACCAGGATCCACGTGGCTCTACGAGGGATAGATATGAGAAAGAAAGAATAACATGAAGATGCTAGTTACCACTTACAACATTGAGGAAGTAAACAAATACAAGTAAACAACATATGAAGGTGCAAGCATACAGGTAATCAAGACATGCAAGAGAACAAAGCTGAGGCGATACACATTCAATGATGGATGGTGAATGATCAATTGTCAAAGGTCAAAGCCCAAAGCTCAAATCAGAACCACGAACTCCATCGAACGCAATACTCTCTACAGGAGAATCAAGCTGAACAGAACTAAGAGGATGGTGGAGATGGGGCAGGCTGTAGCCGTACTAGGACCTCTTCAAGGAACGCGTCAAGAACAGCATCAACGCCGCCACCCATATCGACAGGACCTTCCATGTCCCAGCGGTGGAGGTTGCTGAAGGAGCGCGCGATGTCTTCGGCGACTTGCTCCATGCCACGGTGGATGCGAACGCTGCGGTCGAACTGCTTCTCTTCTTCAGGGGTGGCTGGTGCACCGTTAGGGTTGCGACCAGGCTCGAGGCTGACGAGGTGGCGACGACGACGGTCCATGGCAGCGCGGAGAGCTGGGAGGACGACGGCTCCACAGGCGGTTACGCGTTCGGTTTCGGGGAGGGGGCGAGTGGACTGTCTGTCGTTTGGGGTGGGAGGAGTTGAGCTGATGGATCGTTCGTCCATGTTGGTTGGTGCCCGTTTGGATTTGAGGGCGGATACTTGCTTCACGTTCTGCAGTGGCTCCGTTTGTCTTGGGAGGCCGGAGGAATGATGGGAACGTGGAGACTGAGGTTGGGAAGAAAAAGGATCGTTGACAGGACGGGAAAGAGGTGTTGGCTTGCGCGAGACTTGGCCGGATGGGGTGCGAGATTCTTGGAGAGAGATTTTGGAGGCTTGTTTTGTGGGGGTGCTTTGGTTGTGGATTGCAGAAGGCTTGGAAGATGGAGGTGTGTCAAGGCCGCCTGCGTAGTTCATCACAGCCTGGGCGTATTGCTCATTCAACGGAGAGTTGTCTTTGTGCTTGGGAGGCAACGGAGCCTTGGACTTGAGAGGAGAAAATGAAGACTGTGTGGGAGAATTTTTAAGAGGAGAAGATGGGGCAGATGGAGGAAGAGGAGTTTTAGAGGGGGAGATGTGAAGGGGGTTTACTGCGGTTTGTTGACGAGGTTGGAGAGCTGCTGGCGCATCTTTCGGCGACTCATCACACAAGTCCCAGTCTTCTGTCTCTTTGCTTCGAGAGTTGGTGTCTGAATCCTTCATTGGGCGCAGAGGAACGGCATGGGCTTTTCCTGCCGGACGAACGGTTCCAAAGTCCCAAAGATCTTCATCATCTTGGCATCTAGCCTGCATCGTGTGGTCTGGCTCCCTCTCGTCATAATCATAATCATCATCATCTCCCTGGCCACGGTGAGTGATTTGCCAACGCTCAGCGCGCTCAATCAATTCGGTCAAGTATGTAGTTCTCTTAGCACGTTTCACGAACGGATGCTCGAGCAGCTCCTTCGCCGAGGGTCGCTCCTTGGGATCCCGTCGCAGACACAGCTCAACAAATTGCTTGAATAGCTTGCTGAAGTTGCCGTTCAACGTGGGAGGCGGGTTCTTGGGAATCAAGAACAGTACTTTCATAGGGTGAATATCGGCATATGGAGGGTCGCCACAAGCGAGCTCAATTGCGGTGATACCCAATGACCAGATGTCTGCTTTGTAGTCATATCCAGACTGCTTGATGACTTCAGGGGCCATCCAGAAAGGAGTACCTACAAAGGTATTCTTCTTGGTCATGGTAGCTGAGAGCTGACCGGAAACTCCGAAGTCTGCCAGCTTGACCTGACCACTCGCGCTCAAAAGGACGTTCGCGGCTGTAATGAGGGCTGTTAGCCATCGTACATATTCACCATGTCCAATTGAATGTTCATACCTTTGATATCTCGGTGCAGTTTTTGATCAGTGTGGAGATAGTCCAGCCCGCGGAGAAGTTCCCGCAGTATGATAGCGATATACTCCTCATGGATGACGCCTGGACGCAGTAGACCATGGCAGCTACCACCAGAGCAGAACTCCATGATAATCCACAGGTTCGATCCCTTCAAGTATGAGCCGTGGTACTTCGTGACATAGGGCGATTTCAATTCGGACAGGATAGCGATTTCTTTGATGATATCGTCGACGTCATCCTCGGCATTCTCGACATCGATAATTTTGATAGCAACTGATTCTCCGGTTCGTCGGTCAACACTGGAAGTGGGTAATATCGAGTCAGTGATTTGAACAAGATATTGACATGCATACTTGAGTTCGACTTACCCCTTGTAGACCTTTCCAAAACTACCCCCACCTGTGAGTCCACGGCCGGAGTTAGAAAACTTGCCCTTTCTTGAATATCAAAGACCGAGAACCTGACACGTACCAATGCATGTTTGCTTGGTGTAGATTGTCTCGGGATCAATGGGACCCGGCATTTTGACGGTCGACCCGAGTCACCGGATGATACCGAGATGCCGGAATAGCTCCTGAGGTGCAGTCTGCTTAGACAATATCCAGCCCGTTAGCAGGTATCTTCAGATCAAGGGAGGGAGCAAAGCGTTTGTTCCACAGATACGAAAATGCGGGATGGACTTGAACCTGATATGACATACCTTTCACGAATACAGAATGAGAATATCAAAAAGGCGAAGGCCTCACGGCGTTCAAGAACAGGGCAAGGAACAGAAGTATGGTGAGTTGCGGACGTGGAGCGTGCAAGCGTGATGATAAGGCTGGCTGAGGCAAAGACGAGACGGGAAGGTACTTGGAATACACGCCAGGCAATTGTGGGCGGCCTCGCTAATCAGAGGAAAACCGATCTACACAGGCAAGGGAGACTATTCAACTGTAATTGACGTTGAGATGCCCTTGTTTATCGACGCGGGGGTTCATTTTGCCGACGCTTATCGAGGCGGTGAAAGCATGTCTCCAAGTCACGTCCACTGCTGATATTTTGGTATTTCTTTGCAATTTGGCCTCAGAATTGAAGCTGGGCCTGGTTTTCTATGCGTATATCCAATTTCCGACGGCATAGCCTGTCAGCGTAGTTTTCATCGCCCATCTAATTTCTATGTAGGAAGACAGCCAGCTATGTAGTAATTCATCAGCAGGGTGGAGATATGATTCCCTGCAGCATAGAAAGTCCCCATCTTAGCTAGCAGAAAATGTGACAAACCGAGCAGGAAGTTATCCTGGTACATGGAAAGTGAACGAACACATCCCATCACTAATGAACGCCGCAGAGCTGCCGATCTTGGGGCATAACCACTCTTAGCCCATCACTTTTACTACTTGTTCTAATACGCCACGAAACTGGTATAAATTTCCAAGAGAACATGCGTCACAATCTGATGATTCAGATCGGCATGCACGTAACCAGTTGCCGTATATTCGGGGTAGGAACCTCATAACAACTGGGACTCAAACGGGGATGCTTATCATGTCAAATAACTACTGTAGCCCTAAGGCAGTCAGCTTAAGAGCATGTCCAGCATAGCGGCACGTGCTACGGGTGAACCCTAACGAGCTCTGTCGTATTGATGTATTCCCTTATATTTGGCCTTTCCACCGAGGGCGCATGATTTACAAGTATACAAGCTGAGTATCATGATTAATAGCATTAATTGCAGTTAAGCTCTGCTGTTCTATACTCACAAGTAGATCCCATGCTGATGATAGCAGGAGATACAGTTTGCTGGCTCGTCCCGCTGGAATGACAAGACCTTGGGCACGAAGCTGGGACCCCAGGACCCCACGGGATCCAAATCATGTCCATCAACGCCTTGCCGAAACAAAGAAAGTGCTGCAACGCGACGATGGGACTGAAGGACAAAGAAAGAGATGGTGTTTATTCCTCCAAATATCCGATGTTAACAGTACCATTCTTCAGCCCCGCATCAGCAATGCTTGTGCTGAGTTGGTCGATGAGGTTGTGACCCATGGTGTTCAGCTCAAACTCCACACCAGCCTTGTCCACTAAAGGTGGCTCGGCCTTGAGCCATTCATAAATGCGCTGGACGGGGTCTGAGACTGCGAAGCGGCGGATGACTCTGCCGGACGGGTGACGGAACTGGATGCGCGTAGTTGTGGCTGGGTCATTCGCAGGTTCAACATGTGGCTGGTCGCTAGGGATCGCTGCGAATTGAGAGGCTTCAGCAGCTTCCTCGAGTTCATCCATATTAACATCGTCAGTCGCCCGAGCCTTGCCCTTGACATCTTCCGTGCTGCGGGTGAGATCATCAGGGTCTTCAAGCGTTTGACCAGAGGCAGCTGCCCCAAGACTATTTCTCATTGCCATCTCCATCATCTCCTCCTCGGTCATTGCATCCACACTCTTATCCTTCTTGTCAGACTTCCGTTTCGCCACAGGGTTGCGCACATTGTGATTCAAGCTGTACCGATCGAGGAACTCGTGAAGTTGCATCAAGAAATCAGCGGGCTTCACTAAAGGCGGCCCGGACCAGACCTTCATCTGCTCCCCGGTACGAGGGTCGACGATGGCAATGTGGGGGTAATTGTCGGAGACATCGCTTCCTTGGAAGTAGTACTGGAGGTAGGAAGATGCACGAGGGTCGTCCTTCGAGTACTGAAGGAAAATGAAATGCTCTTTAATGGTCTCTTGAACGCCTTTGTCTTTCCACAAATCGCGGTTCAAAACCTGGCAGTCAAAGACTGAAGCGTCTTGAACATTGACGATCAACCATTTTTCATTTTCCTTTCCTTCGTCTCGCGCCACGTCCCAGGACAGACGTGACATAATTTCGAAGGGAGGTCGGTACATTTCAGCGAGCATATTAGACTTGGATGAGACTTCTGAAGCTCCTCCGGTGGCGGCAGCAAGTTCTTCGCGACGAGTGTCTTCCCCGCCGGTCCATATTGAGGAGGATTCTCTCTGGTTGAAGATACCGGCGCGACCTGCAAAAAGTTGTCAGTTCAAGTTGTTCGGTAGTTCATGGGCACCAAAGACACCTACCACCTCTTTGGCGAGCTCGTAGTTGACTAAGGATATCCGCATGCATGTCTTCACCACTGCCAAAGTCCGCACCGGGCCCCACTAAAGTCTCTGTCGTGCGTGCCATCGGCGCCCTCACTTCGTCTTCATTATCCTGTCCTCCTCCGTACATCTCTTGTTGGAGGCGTCGAGCCATCGCTTCGTCATCATCAAATGTCCCTCCACTAGCTGGTATGGTGGGGTGGTGGGCTCGGTTTGCGGATGCGGTTTCGTCATCTGAGTCGGAGTCGATGTTCACCACCTCCTGGCCTGAGCCCGAGAAGCCGGAATGGGCAGCAGGTTGGGAAGGCTCGGCGGTCAGCGGGGCACCTCCATTCTCGAAGTACAGCTGCATGGCTTGTTCGATTTGAAACTCTGTGATCTGGAGATACTGGATGGCCAGCTCCGGCGTGGAACTGGTAATTTCAGTGAACTGAGCTACCACGTCGTTATCCATTGTGGGCGACGTAAGAAAAATCTAGTCAAAGAGAGGGTTGGTGATAAGAGTGAGGAGAAAATGAAGCGGCTCTGATATCAGAGAGCTTAGCGGGTATGGTGGAGACTTGGAGAGATTGTGTGAGGGGAGTGTGTATGCAGTGCAAATGATGCAAACCAGAGCTTCTGCAAGGAGAGTAGACAAAGAAGCAAAACTGAAAGGATCAAGTTCAAGTCAAGTAAATTGTAAGGCTGACTGAGTGCCAGCTCCAGGTTGGGGAATGAGTGACGCGGCTGACTAATGGTGCACGTGTGGTTGAAAACCCCCGCCGTAGTTTGACGCGTGACGCGTGACGCGAGACATCAATTACATTTCCTATCTCGGTTCCTGCCATTCCTCACTCATCGCTCCTACCTCACTTATTGACATGGCTGGGACTGTCTTGGGAAAGCGCGCTCGTGTTGAGTCGGAAGGTAAGTTCAATCCTCCTTCCTCTCCTCTCTCCCCCTCTAACTCTTTCCAGCATTGCCGGTGCGGACCGCAAGCAAGCGCCGAACAATTGTCCCCCGATCCCGACAAGAACCTGCCCCCGCTCAGCCCTTACGACGGACGAGGTCAACTGTCAAGAAAGCTCTTGAACAACCCGATCAAGAAAACGGCAAGGAGAAAATTGTCTCAGAAGTTTCAAAACATACCCTCCGCGATGACGAGCCCCATTCTCCGGTTAAGGCCAATACGCATGTACAGATCCCAGAATCAGTGGATGGTGAGTTGAGAACCTCAAAGATATGACATTGTATATGGTGGCTGATTTTATGTACAGAAGAACCTACAAAGCCCGCCGAATTCAAGACACCTTCGAAATCACGATTCCGGGATGCCCTACCACACTCTCCGGTCACACCTAGACATCGGGTCCAGGTGGGCGCAAAGGCTTTAACACCAAGGACCCCCCGCCATGCGGATCTTCCGCCGACCCCACGACAGAGTGCTACTCCAACGATCACTCAGCAAACGGTGTACTCTCAAGCAAGACAGTTGTTCGCTCGTGGTGCTACCTCCGGTCGCTTAGTGGGAAGAGACGCAGAGCGAGAGAAATTGGTTTCTTTCATCACAGAGGGAGTGAAGTCGCGCAATGGAGGCTGTCTTTACGTCAGTGGCCCCCCAGGGACTGGAAAGAGTGCCATGGTCCAGGAAGTATGCGCAGACCTCGATCTGTCCGAAGTGAGGGTGTCGCATGTCAACTGCGCAAGCATGCGAGTGTCTCGAGATGTCTACAGCAAACTCATCCTAGATTTTTGCGAGGATACAGACGTGTTCAAGAAGAGCGAGGCGGATCGTTTGAAGTCCATGTTCATTCCGTCCAAGAAAGGACAGGACATGTTCTTGGTCACCCTGGATGAGATTGATCACCTACTCAATGGCGATTCTGGGGTGTTACAGTCTCTGTTCGAGTGGTCCTTGCAAAGCAATTCCAAGCTGATGCTCATCGGTATAGCCAACGCACTGGACTTGACTGACCGCTCACTTCCACAACTCAAGGCTAAGAACCTGAAGCCCCGTTTGCTACCGTTCTTGCCGTACAGCGCCACATCTATCGCAAATGTCATGACAAATCGTCTTCGATCATTGCTCCCTCCCGGGACAGAGTCCGACCCGAAGCTCGTCCCCTTTGTTCAACCAGCTGCCATCCAGCTTTGTTCAAAGAAGGTAGCCTCGCAAACTGGTGACCTGCGCAAGGCATTTGAGCTTATCAAACGAGCGATTGATGTTATCGAACAGGAGACTGTGCAAAAACTAGAGAAGCAAGCCATGGAGCCCGAGAATGTGTCGATCCTGGCGGAGAATACCAACCTTTCTTCGCCTGTCAAAGGAGCTGCTGCTCCCAAGCCAACATCGATGTCAAGCTACACTGTCATTACGGCGCCCCGAGCCAGTATTGCACACATTGCCCGAATTACATCCGCAGCCTTCGGTCAAGGTACCGTTCAAAGACTTCAAAGTCTAAATCTCCAGCAAAAGGCTGCAGTTTGCTCCTTGATTGCACTTGAACGGAAACGTCGTCAATTTGAGGTCCCAAGCACACCTTCCAAGTCACGATCCTCAGCACCTACTGTGAAACAAGCCTTCGACACATATTGCACCTTGTGCCGCAACGACAACATCCTCCATCCCTTGACTGCCACCGAATTCAAGGACGTTCTCAGCAACTTGGAAACCATGGGCTTAGTTGGTGAGTACCAGGGCCGCGGCCGCGGTGGAACTGTGGCAGGTGGCACGGATATCCGTCGTACGCCCTCAAAGTCAGGCCACGCACCATCAACACCTCACAAGGCGCTGGACGAACAAGGTCTTGTCTGCTTCGTCTCCCAGCAGGAAATCGAGAGCCAGATCGTCGGACCTGGGGAGGGAATCCTTCGGCGCCTACTCCGTGGCGAGGGGATCTGATTTCTTCTGACTTTCTCGAGCGTGCATGTTTCATTTCTGATTACCCACTACCGCATCTTTGGAGTCCACGCTGGCATTTCTATCGTCATTTTCACATTCTTAGAGTTTGCATCTGCGGAGTCGGGAAGTATTTCCTATCTCATTCTTAGCGTGTTTTGGTTACGGATTTCCTTTGTCAAGCATATTTCCTTTGTCGGTCCGTTGGACGAGTAGCCCTGAGATCTCATGTCCAAATTAGAAAAGCTAAAAAATAAAATAAAAATTACAAATGATTTGATCAATATATTCCGACCGTGCATGTAGAACATTGTTAGGAATGATCGTCCTGACAAAGATCCCCGATCTTTCGAACATAAGTCTGTCTAATCAAATCACCCTCATGCTTACAAACTTGCCAATTACCAATTCCGTATCTTGAAGGAGCCCGTTTGACACCCCTTCCACCACCACCGATGATGAGATTCCCAGGTCGATATGTGGGATCAATTTCCATCCGATGTATAGCAGATATATGGATCTGAGCATCTTCAGGGATATCACGTACCTCTCCACAAGGAAGTGGCCAACGAATTGGCTTCCACGATCCATCGGGTTGTAGATCCATCCTTCGGAAAGGCAGATATTCCATCAAACGCCATGAAAATGTTGAAAATGATGATACACCACCTCCATATGTGAGGGTGTCATGCACGATGCCCTGGTCCATTGTTTGTTGGAGTACGTCGCGGTACCTATTTGGTTTTGTTTCATATGAAGCTTGCGGTGTTTCGAATGCCTCGTCACGGCAATTGAATCGTTCGAGCTTTTCAGGATCAAACTCAAGCCCTGCTAGTTGTGCTTCCTTGACCATCCACGCCAGTGGAATATGACTGAGAGGCCAGGGATCTTTTGGATTGAGGACCCAGCCACCTCCCACATCACCATGTTGTCCTGGAAACCACACCTCTGCCACATCCTGTTCGTTGTCATCCTCGCCGGTCTCGCTTGGTACATCCAGATGTGAAGGTTGAAGAGAGACGCCGGAGACACCACTTCTCATTGAAGCTCCGTCACCGAGCAAGTTTCTAGTCCTCGACCCTTCGATACTAACATGCCTATTAGGCGAAGGAGTATGTCCACGGTATCTCTGTCCCTCATTAAGAACCCTCATAGACCCACGTCTCGGAATCCGCGACGTCTCCTTCTCATTCTCGGGACCGTTTAACACAATCTCAGGAACATCAAGCTTCTCACTCCCCTCCTCATGAGACAAAATATGTCTCAAACCAAGTGAATGCCTCGACTTCCGCACCGAAGGTCTAATTTCGTAAAGCAAATCCTGCCGAAACTTCGCCCGCCGTTCATCAATAGAAACAGCATGCCGAATAACCCTCGCCGAGCTCTGCGCCGTATACAGAAACTTACTCCTCTCCATCCAGGCATTCTCAAAAACAGGCACACTATTCACCGTATCAAACAACCCTAAGAATCGAATCCGACCAACAGGCCGACTAAACGTTTCCCGGAAGGCTTTCATAAATGTAAACAGTCGGTGTCTCTCTTCATGGTCATGCTCCGTCGTATCCCGTCGCTGCTGCCACTTTGCAAACGTCTTCCACGCAAACCGGATCATTTCTTCGTTCCCTGGTTGCAGGAGGCCGATGAAGTCTAGCATCTCTGCAAGGAAGCGTGCGGTGTACGAGCCTCGGCTGAATCCGAAAAAGTAGATTTTGTCGCCTGGGTCGTAGTATCGCATTAGGAATTTGTATCCGCCTAAGACGTGTTCGTCGAATGAGGAGCCCAAGGCTGCATCTTTGGCTTTCTTGTAGGAGGACTTTAGACGTTCGATTCTGCTTTTTCCGCCGAAGGAGTTGCTTGTTACGTATGTTCCGATCCCTGGTTGGTAGTAGTGGTATTGATGGCTTTGGCTTCGGTCTAACATCTGTATTTTTGAAGGGGTTAGGACTTTGAGGTAGATGCTTGGGTAAAATGTAAGATGGACCACTCACGCGATAAATCTTGAGGAGATTCGTGTCGGACGCATCACCAGCGAACTTGTTTCCTGTGCCATCAAAACAGAGCACGAATTGTTTTTGCTGGGGGTAGGGTCCAAATGTATTCATCTTGAATATTGGGCTAGATTCTACCACGAGAGAGTGGGTTCTGGATCTGGTGTTGAAGGTAAAACTATAGATATAACCACCAAGTCTGGGGGCGTAGCGAATATGATAGAGTGTGGTCAAATCAGAGTCCACTAATTAAACACGGGTCATAGTCTATACGGACCTATGGCTTGCAGATCCCCGCGACTGCATGAAGCTGCAAGCCCACCCTTGAAGACGTAGACATGGGCTTGGATATGGCATGTTATTGGTTCTGCGGCTTTAGTGTCAGGGATGCTGGAGCTTCATTACTGCCGTTCCCCTATGCAGTCAAGGTTCAAACCCAATCGCTCATACTCACGCTACGATCGGAAGTTTTGCCCCACCGTTCGAGTTTTGGTATTTGTATACCGTTCTACTCCTCGGATAGTGGTATTTTATTGCCGATTCCTTTGTTTTTCAAATAAAGTGGCGCTTTCCTCGGCGCCTTTACTTAACTATAAAATATAATGGAGGGATTCCGGATTGCTGGCCAGCTCGATCATTCGTGCGTACAGTTCCTAGTTGATGGCTTCGGCTTATAACTACATAAGCATCAGAGAGTCTTTCAAAAGCTTAGGGTCATTAACAGAAACTCCTTATAACGATCAGTTGGTGAATGGGCTAGAAGCGGCTGCTTTTGGCGCGGCCTCACGCTCACCATTGCTTAGTGATTGAGCATTTTCGTTCTATAATGAGATGATAGGCTAATACTGTTACAGGTTGGGAATCATAATGCATCATGTAATACTATTCCCCCTTTCTTCAGTCAAGTTCAGCTTTGCATTAATGTACATAAGAGCATGTTGCGTGCGCCACCACCGTTTTTAGTCAACCAGAGCACCCACACTGCCGTTGTCGATATCCACAGGAGCTCAATCTATATCATTTTCGCTTGTACTTTCCTATTGTTCCTGCGCATCACTACCGTCTATTATATATAACCGTTGCAGCTGACGCGGCGACTGCGCCCTCCCAGTCTCGTGAAAGTGGGGGTATTCAGAGACATATTTAGATTGCCCGGAGTTGAAAGATGCTCAGTTGCTCCTATCTGGGAAAAGCTGACCGTTCTGAAACATGAGTCACGTTATTTACCCGGGGACGGGAAAGTAGCCTTGGCGCAAGAAGTATATCAGTTGCCTCATTGGAACAGTTTGATTCAAAACATATTCAAAATCGACCATCAGTGGTTATGTCTCTAACAATATCGGAAGACAATCCTTTTCAGGTTTTGATCGCGGAGTCAAATGATGATCCAGTAAGTGAACTGATTTCAGGGGGTTGGAAAAGGAATTTCCGTGCAGCATGATAAGGTCTAATGCCATTTCCCCCAAGGCTCAATTGCAATTGCGCTATGAGAAGCACCGAACGGCTCGTAATGAGCAACAGAGGGCGAAGATACTAGCGGAAGACTTCCAAGGCTGGACTTTGGATAAGATTCTCATGAGACTCGCCGGCCCTACAAAAGAGGAAGGGTTCCTTGATCCTCGCAATTGCCTTGTCATTTGGGCCAGACCCCCTCCTAATATCAGTGATCTGATATCCTTTGTTCAAAAGGAATTGAAGGATGTTGCCCCGTGTAAGTTTTGCACAAAGTCATTACAAGCTCAAACCACTCACGCGATTCAACAGCCCTTTGGCTCATGCCCACTGAAAACCTGCACACAACAGTCTTGGAAGTAGCCCATTCTTTGACCGAAGCGCAAATTGAGGATCTCGTCCAAACTATCAAGTCTTCCACAGCAATCACCCGGGCGCAGATTGCAGAACACCCAATCACTCACCAATCACGCCTTTTGAAGCCTATGGTGAGCTTCGACTCTTCAGCAATGGCGCTTAGCTTTGTTCCAGCCGCAGGGGAACCCTCGACTAAGCGATCTGGTGGTCATGATGATCACTACACATACCATCATCTCCGTCGGGATATTTTTGACATGGTTCGGAAAACTGGTATCCCCGTTGCTTCACGCTATATTGTTCCGTCGGCACATATCACTATAGCACGCTTCATCACCCAGGAAGGATTCCAGGTTGCTGGCCAGCTTGATCATTCGTGCGTACAGTTGCTAGTTGATCGGATTGGTGATATCAATAAGAAGTTGGAACGCATGTATTGGCCCCAGTCTGATGGCACTGAGCCCGAAAAGGGTGAATGGGTTGTTGGCCAGGAGCAGGGTTTAGTTATTCGGAGAGGCCGCCTTTGGTATGGAGGAGGTGAAGATGTGTAGTTCTCAATGGTTATCGAAACAAACAGTTAAGATAGTGCTTGGAGTGCGCTGATCATTTGCCGAATGCGTTACTGACAGCTCAGGCCCAGTCGAACTATATCGAGGCTATATGATATTCCTCAATTGTATTTCAAAGCCTTGTAATGGGGTTTGCGAACTGTTCTTCCATATGTTGTGTCGCTAAAATCATGCTTCAACACAGCCTTCAATATCAACCTAGCGCATGTAGATCGAAACTCCCATCCCACACTACACACATCAACCAACGAACAAAACTCCAGAAAGATGCAACATTTGCTAATTGTAACCATAGACCCCAGTCCCGTCAATTCCCCCATTGCAACCATCCCCCCATGCCCCCGCCGAAACCCCCATACCCCCACGCCCGTTATCAACCCCACCACGGCTCCAGATATAATCCCGGGAGGCGCAATTGCACCTCCTGTAGATTCTACAACATACCCCTGTCAAAATGGATTATTCCTTGCAGAACCACGCTTCCTACATCGGCCGTCCGGTCTCCGAGCTTCCAACTCCCTCCCTGATCCTGAGCAAGCCCGTGCTAGAGCGGAATACCCAAAGCCTACTGGATGATGTCAAACGGCTCGGGATTACTTTCCGGCCTCATGTGAAGACTCTCAAAGTACGTTGTTTTATCAATTGAAAGTATATTAGTGTATACTAATTGTATTGACCTTGTAGTGCACCGAAGTTACGCGCATGATGCTCGGTGATGGCGAGCACCGCCAGATTGTCGCTTCGACATTAAGCGAGATTCGCGGAGCATTGGATCTTGTGAAGGAAGGCAAGCTAGACGAGGTTAGTGCAACAACCCAATCTTGAGCTTTAGCTTCCCCAGGGAAAAACAATAATATGCTAATAATAATCAGTGCCTCTACGGCCTTCCAATCTCCGCCAGCGCCCTCCCCCATCTCCAAGATTTAACAAAGAGCGTCAAAATCATCCTTATGATCGACAGCGAGCAACAAATAGATCTGCTCGACTCATTCGCTTCTAAATCATCTTTGACCGTGGCATGGCCGGTCTTTATTAAGATCGATGTCGGTTCCAAGCGCGCGGGAATGGTTAATGATTCACCCTCTCTACCGAAATTGATTCAGCGCATTGAATCTTCATCTTCGGCTTCTGTTTATGGTTTTTACTGTCATGCTGGTCACTCTTATGCGTGTCGCACGGAAGATGCAGCTACTGCGGTACTGCAGACTGAAGTGGAGGGTGTTGTTAGTGCGGCGAGATTCTTGGTTGGTGGGGAGTCTGAGAGGAAGATCGTTGTTTCTGTTGGATCGACGCCTACGGCGCACGTTGTTAAAAGGTTGCAGGGAGTTTTGCCTGAGGGGATGGAGTTGGAATTGCATGCTGGTATGTTTGAAAGATTGTTGAAAGGAAATAAGCTAACCATATCATGTAGGAAACTACCCAGCCAACGACCTCCAGCAAGTAGCAACCTCCTCGTTGAACCGGCCCAACAAGCAGTCCGAATCCTAGCGGATGTCTGCAGCATCTACCCAGAACGTAACGAAGCCCTCATCAACGCGGGAACGGTAGCTCTTTCGAAAGAAACGAGTGAGTTCCCTGGATACGCGGTTGTTACTGATCGGCCCCAATGGAGTGTTGTGCGTATGGCACAGGAACATGGAATTCTCGGCTGGGCGGATTCCAATCAGACGAGTAGATTTATTGAGAAGGTTGGGTCGAAATCGAGTGAAGGGGAGAAGGTTGAGAGTGCGTTTACGGTTGGCGATAAGCTTTTGCTTTATATCCAGCATGCTTGTATTACTGCTGCTATGCATTTTGCTTATTATGTTGTTGACGAGGATGATATTGTGAGAGAGACTTGGGTTCCTTGGAAAGGGTGGTGATTTTCAGGTTTCAGTTTGCGATTGCTGGATTTTATAGATTTTATAGAATAGGGGAACTTCGAGGCTGTGGGTTCGGTCTCTTTATAACTTATAGCAAACGAGCTCAGAAAGTGGTGCACTTCATGAGCAGCCATTTTTTCTTACGTTCATTCCGCCAAAAATTAGAGATGTTTTAGAAACTTGTCTCCATATACATCGCAGAGAGGAACACTTAAAAAGAATGTCGTAAAATTTGATATCTAGGCTAGCCGTGACTATGTACATGCATTCTATGCAACCAAGCAGTAAACGCTTATGCCTTCTTAACATCCCCCTCAGCAACATTAAAATCTTCCCAAGTAGCACGATCACTCCCGTTAGGACGACTAGAACGCACAAACTGGTTATCCACACCCCCAATAACAGCAACAGGCTTAACAACTTCAACATCTGCACCATACGCAGCAGAAGACCACAATTCGGTAAGAGGTTTGCGACCCTCACTCTCATGACCAGCAGCCAAGTACAAGTGAGGGAAACGCTCATGCATGCTCTTCAACACAGTCGAAGAAATACGGTCAACGCTATCACAATGGCGCAACTTGAAGAAATCAGCAGACTGCACCGAGCGCAGCTCCTCTTGTACGTCGTCGGGATACTGGCCCATGGCGAAGAGGAGGAGGTCATAGTGCATCAAGGAGGCTTTGCCGTGGTATGAACCGCCGGTTTTGGCGCGGTGGTAGAGACCGGTTAGGGCGGCGATGGCGCCCATGCAGCCGGTTCCGTAGTCGGAGATTGGGAAAGGGGGCACGACGGGGGTCGAGAGGCCCATAAATTTGCCTTGGGCCCAGGCGATACCGGTGACCTGTGTTTCGGGTTAGATTTGCTGCGCTCTTTGCTTTTGGGGGTTGTCTATGATGATGGTAACGTACGCAGTCGGCAATCTGTTGCCATCCAGCTCGGCCAGCCCATTCGCCTTCGTATCCGAAGCAATTCTCATTCACGTAGACGATGCCCTTGCCCCGCTTCTCGGCCAAAGCTGCCATGGCCTCTGCTCCGTATCCGAGCTTATCCAGAGCTCCAGGGCGGTAACCATCTACAATGACATCGACGTTATCCAGGAGCTTCTCAAACTCCTTGCGTCCGGCCTCGGTCTTCAGGTCAAGGTCTGCGGCATGCTTGCCCATGTTACCGTCAACCTGGAAGAAAGGCACATCCGAAAGGCTAGGGCTAGTAATCTTCAGGACGTCGGCACCGTACTCGGCGAGAATACGGGTAACAGTTGGGCCTGCGATGATACGGCACATCTCCAGCACCTTGACGCCCTTAAGGATCTTTTTATTGTCGCTAGGAGCTTTTGGGAATGGAGTTGGGGGAAGGTTGCCTGGCAGACGGCTGACCTTCCATGCCGGCTCTTGGACATTGAGTTTCCCCTATATGACCATTAGCGCACTAATATTGGACTCCACATCAAGCCAAACTTACATGGGGTGTCTTGATGAAGTCTTCGTGTTTGTAGGCAGTTACACCAGCCTGACGTCTCTCCTTGTTCATCACCTCAAGCTCAGAGGCTGTGTATTTCTGCACCTTCTCCTCGATGACTTTGATGATCTCTTCGTAGTCAGTCAAATCTGGCCTCTCGCCTTCGAGCCCAATCATATTCAAAGTGGTCGTAGCCTCCAGAGATCCATGAATATGGAAGAACTCTCCTGGGTTCTTGGTCTTGTACAGGTTAGCCGACATGCGGCGGTAGCCGTTAGACTGCGCAGACAACAGGTCCGTGTCTATATACCAATTAATATCAGATACTCCCAATTGAATGATGTATGATACGCACTCTTGAGCTTCGACTTCACATTGGGGTCCAACTTTGACAGGCCGGCCACCTTGGCCATGTACGCTTGGCATCCAAAGGCAGTCGCGCCTTCAAGGCTGACTTGGACACCACGAGGTGACGCACCAGCACCAAAGCGGAGATCTGCGATAGCAGCTGCGACAGAACCCTCGATACCCTTCAGCGCGGCAAGGGTCTCGGTTTCTTTGAATGGAATGGGGAAGTAGATCTCATTATGGCTGGTTGAGAAAGATACGCGATCCTTGTTCGCGAGGACCTCTGGTGGCAAGTCAAAGCGCTCCGCCTGCTCGCAAAGATCGGAGAAGATGCGACTGGTCTCGAGGACCGGGGAATATCTGGTGCCCGCCATGTTCTGTCGCAAGTTCAATGATGAGATGTATGACGTAGGTTTTCGCGGCCACGTTTGATATCTGATCAGGTGGTTGCGTAGAAGAGTGGAATTGGTAGAAGCAAACAGCAAGAAGTGGAAAGAAAGTTTAGTTCACGTTGTTATATATGACAATGTTCGGGTCCCGAGGAACTGGCCGTCGGGTCGCCACACCCGCACGTCGGCTCAACTATAGCGGAAATGGGATATATAGATTGATTTTCAACAATACGAACACAGGGTGATACATACGACCTGGGATGGATTTTTCACCATACACTACAACTATGACTACAGCTGTAAATTTAATAGAAACATGTTCAACTATTCAAACTTACACTTCCCCACGCAGATCCGACGAAGCTCTCGGCCCGGGGAACATTATCGGATGTGATGAGATCCGATGGTCACGTGAGCAGATTTGACTTGGTATTTTTCTAGTTGTTATGGGAGAGATGATTCTATACTTCTTTACTATAACAGACTGACTTCTAATTCTACGACTGGGAATATCTCGACATCTTCCAAGGTTAGTACCTGCCCTGGAGTGAAAGCAGGTTGTGGGATCACGTGGCCAGTGTACAAATCGTAGCGAATTGCAGATTCTGTTCTATCAGGCAAATTGCTTTGTGCAAACAAATACGTGGAATTGTCTATGTTTCGAAACCAAAGTGTTGTATATTCCGAGATATAGACTGTCGATATTGGTCACGTGCCAGAGCAAATGTTATCGCCGTAACTCCGAGTCATCTCTGATTGTTCGTCCGACGATGGTGCTACGAACAACATTGCGGCCCAGGGTCCTGCGCCTGGTTCCATTTCGCCCGACCCGATTTGTATCTTCTGCGCCAGTTATTCGCATCGAAAATGGAACTTTTTACAAGCGCTACCCCACCGACGTCGAAGACTCACCCAATCCTCCTTTGTTCCCCAACTTGAACTTTACACTGCCCTCCGAACGCACATCCAAAGAAGAGGGAGCAAATTTACAGCACTGGGCGATAATCGGTCCCTCTGAAAAAACCGACCTCCTGCACATCCTCCGTGGCCGGGACGTCTGCCTTCCGGCCAATGCGCGCTCATATCCATACCTTCTCTTAGACAAGGTCGCCGCGAAAGACCCACGTCTACGATCCGTATCGAATGCGATTCGATATATTGGCTTCAGCGGAGAGGGATCAGAGGCTATTGGCGGCACCCGTGGCGCATACCTGAGTGCGCGCTATGAGAGCCACCGGGAGGAGACCGACTGGACTGTTGAGCAGTACTTGCGGGGGCAGACCTCCTTGAATCCCATGGAGGGTGAGAATGCTGGCCTGGTACCCCATGAGCAGTTCTTCAAGCAGATCATGACCCATCTACATCTCCAGAAATTGCTGGATATGCCAGTCGCGAATTTAAGCAACGGCCAAACCCGTCGAGCACGAATTGCCAAAGCTTTGTTGAGAAGGCCGGAGGTATTACTTCTTGATGAGCCATTCAGTAAGTGATTTTGATCCTTATCTAAGTTTCTTGTATTCTAACCACCATGCAGTGGGGTTGGATCCTGCGACGACTAGGAGCATTTCGGGTCTGCTCCACAACCTTGCGGAAAGACAATCACCGCGGCTCATCTTGGCTCTGCGCCCACAGGACAAGGTCCCCCAATGGATCACGCATACGATGATCCTGGGAAACAATCACCAAGCCCTTTTACAAGGTCCAAAGTCGGAGGTAGATGAGACCATTAAAGTTTGGAGTCACTTCTCTGATCCATTTGCACCATTAACCTTTACATACGACCAAAATGTTGCGTTTCAGAAAATGAAAACAGACATGGAAGCCGGTTTCTTGGATGCAGATTTACTCCAAAGCTTGACAAACGGAGTAAACACTACCTTCCCACGGGAATCAGCAACGTATCTCGGTGGCGAACCCATTATAGAGATGGAGGGCGTCCGTGTTCAGTATGGTGAAAAAGCAGTACTCGGAAATTGGACGCAGGAAGTGAACAATAAAACAGTTGACGGTTTGCACTGGCGGGTTCGTCGGGGACAACGCTGGGCCATTATCGGTGCCAACGGATCCGGCAAGACAACTCTAGTCTCAATGATTACTTCCGACCATCCACAAACTTATGCGCAGCCTGTCAAAATATTTGGACGATCTAGGCTTCCGGAGCCTGGCAAACCTGGAATTTCAATTTTCGAACTGCAGTCCCGCATCGGTCACTCATCACCAGAAATCCATGCCTTTTTCCCTCGGCAATTGACAGTCCGCCAAGCGGTCGAATCGGCTTTCGCTGAGACCTTCCTCTCGAAACCGAAGTTGAACTCCGAACTTGACCTAGATGTCAATGCAGTCCTGAAACATTTCCAACCTGAGCTTGACCCGGCCGCTGCGAAGAGTGAGATTCCAGAAGTTAGCACCGAGATGTTCCCAAAAATTCCAAAACCTTCTCAAGCCGGTTCCAAGAGAGGATATGTCCCGCCTGAACACCATTGCGACTACGCAGACGATATCCGGTTCGGCGAACTCACAACCGCGCAACAGCGCATCGTACTCTTCATCCGGGCCCTCGTCCACAGGCCCGACATTGTCATTCTCGACGAGGCCTTTTCCGGACTGTCTGCTACGCAACGTGATAAGTGCATAGATTTCATCGACTGCGGCGAGAGGCCCCGCGCGGCACGTCTAGCAGTCCAACGTAACGCAAAGCCAACCTACCGTTTCAACGGTCTCACGCGAGAGCAGTCATTGCTCGTGATCAGCCATGTGCCCGAAGAGATCCCAGACAGCGTTCGTTACTTCTTGCGGCTGCCATCTGATCCCGGTGTTAATCAAGCGCCCCTTGATTTCCGCTTCGGCATGCTCAGTACCAACAGTTTGCTAAGGAAGCCATCGGTTTGGGATATTGTTTGGTCTGGTGGCAAGGCGTTCAAGGATGCGACTCGTCGAACTTCCCGTCGCAACAGTGAGGACGTGGGGGCACAAGATTTGATTGACTTTGAATACTATACGGTTTAGAAGTATAGACATTTGGATACGGTCTGGTACCCTAGATAACTATGCTATAGACTTCCTGTACATCTAATAAACATTTCAATCTCTGTACCAAATTGCATGTTTAAATTTTTCTACTTTGTATCAATCCATTGGAATACTCAGTTAATGAGCCAAGCAAGTCTCGCATAAGCACTTAAAAAGTTGATGTTCACTTATACGCGTATGCACAGACCACCCGTATCCGTATCCGTTCCAAAGCAGATGTCTATACGCGTATTCAGTATAACCGAGCTATATTAAAATTCTGAAGCTACTGCGCCTCCAGGGGTTCATCAATAGAACTAAAATGGTGCTAAATCATAAAGGCCTGGAAGCCTGCTTTTGCCTATAAGTTTGGGCCTTCTTCTTTCACTCTTAACATTTACTTCACCTCATTCATTTCCAAACTCCCAACATCATATCGAGTCTACTACCTTATTCCGGAAAGGCTGCTATATACTTCCAGTCTTACAATCGCCATTGAAAATGGCCAAGTTAGAGCCATTGAAAAGTGGCTACTACGTCTGGCACTATGTCCCCTCAATAGCAGCATCCGTGATCTTCACAATCATCTTCTCCGCCATCACAGCAATCCATTTTTGGAAGCTATTCAAAACAAAAGTCCGATTTACCATCCCATTCGCAATTGGCGGACTATGTAAGTTCCCTCCCATCTTCCAAACCCCCATCCCCATCCCATCCTATCAACAGCCATACCATAACCATAACCATGACCATACTAACACACCAAACCCCGACAGTCGAATTAGTCGGCTACGCCGCCCGAGCAGCCTGCACAAATCAAACGGGCAAACTAATGCCATTCATAATCCAAAGCATCTTCGTCCTCCTCGCCCCAACCCTCTTCGCCGCGGCCGTCTACATGGTCCTCGCCCGTATAATCCGCAGCGTCAACGGCGAGAAATACTCCCCGATCCGTATCAACCTCGTCACAAAGATATTCGTCACTTGCGATATACTCACCTTCTTCATCCAGGGTGGTGGCGGCGGTCTTATGGCCCAGAGTAGCATGGCCAAGATGGGACAGAATATCATTCTTGCTGGGTTGATATTACAGATTATTACGTTTGTTTTATTCCTTACTACGGCTATTGTCTTTCAGAGACGTATGGGAGCGAATCCGACTCCGGCGGCTGTGCAGGGTGATGTTCCTTGGAAGAAGCATTTGTACAGTCTTTATGGGGTCAGTGCTATGATTCTTGTTCGCTCGGTTTTCCGGGTTATTGAGTATGGTTTGGGGAATGATGGGTATTTGTTAGGCCATGAGTGGGCGACTTATGTTTTGGATGCTTTGCCTATGTTTATTGCTATGGTTTGTTTTGCCGTTTGGTATCCTAGTGAGCTGCAGCCGTTCTTGGTCAGGTCGGATTCGGAGGAGGTCGTTCCTTATTCGGTCCCACTGAAAGCTTGATTTCGATGTTTTGTGGGTATTAGAGATTGGCTTGATTGCTATGATTTATGATTTATTGCTTTTCTGTCATTTACATGCGGGTAAAGGGGTTCTTGTTTTATATTATGTTTTGACTTGTGAGGGACGGGAGTTTGTTGTACTTATTCTGGGGTTATAAATTAAAGAATTATAACCTTGGAAAGCCACAGTCAATCTAAAGCATCTACGGATCCACAATTGCCATGAAATAAAGTCCCAGAGTCGATCATGGCACTGATGGCACTGTCAATAATTGCTCGGAAGAATCATTATCGCTCTTGGGTTCATCTTCTCTTCCATCCTGCCATGTCGAGCAGTGGCGGCACCGCATAGCCTTGCATAACACACCATTATCAGTCATAGTTCTAGCATGGTAACATATTGAAATTAATCAACTTACCGCATCGCTGATGTACTGTTTGCAATACGGACACTGAACGGTCCGCTTGATGATCTTGTTGTGAAAAATGAACATGTACAAATGCCCAACCGCATAGAGAGTAAGACTGACACCCAGAAAGTTGAGAATTGTCTCGATAAACATTCTGTATAAAGACATATTAGAAACAACAGGAATAGATTATCCGATGTCAGAGGTACCATACCCATAGGCAAGAACCAGCGCCCCATCATCTCTCGCCTGACGGAGGGTATTGTACCCTATCTCATGGCTAAAGTTAGGACCTTTGGAGAGAACGGCAAATTTCTGGTCCATGTTCCTATTGAGGAACGGAAGAAGGGAGACGATCGGCAAGACCATATCGGATACGAAAGATGTCACGACTTGTGTAAATGCATTTGCGATGCTATCGTTGACAACTGTATGTTAGCAAGGCCTGTCCTAGACAAGATAATTTCAAGTCAGTTGATTTATCGAACAACTAACATCAAACCTAACGCGACCTCTAGGACGTTGTCCCGCGCTGCAAAGTTAACAAAGCCATCCCAGGCATGTTTCACTTGCTCCTGGGCTTTCTGGCCAGTGCGCATCAGAACTTCGGTGCTTTCATCCAGTCCACGCATCTTAGAAGAGTCTGGCGGGGACAAAGGAGAGATGGAAGAGGGGAAACAACCCTTAAACGTGCCCTTTGCCGAAAGTTAGTCGTCATTGCACATACCAATCAGTCATGTGGTGGTGAGTTTAGGGCGCGGATTAGCTATCTTGGCGCTACGAAAGGGGGAGGAGATCGCTCATCTGGGATCCAATTGTGTTTCATTGTTGAGGTATGGGAGGGTCGTCTGCTACGATCTACATTCTCATATAACGTTATCGAGATACTGTAGCCACCGAGTAAGCAGTCACTGCCGACTGGCGCCCTCTACTAGGCCGTACATTACCCGTCCATCGGCCGATCTCCACTACCTGTTGCCCCTGCAGACATCTGAGAACTGCAACCATATATGGGTCCTATTTGACCTTTTTTTTCCCCTATTTCCTGGGAGTCAAAGATAGCAACAATGTGCGTGATCTGGCTAGGTCTCTATGCAGTCTCCAGTGGTAAGAAGCGTGTCATGATGTTGGTAAGTTAGAGCTGGAGGCTACCATGCGATAGATTTGATGATAACGCGTACGAATAGACAGGGCCCATAGAAGGCTATTCTTACTTGCCAAGGCTTTGTGTTAGTCTGTCACTCTCATATATGGAGGCCGTTTCCGGATCCCTCATGAACTGAAGCAGCTTTCCATCTTTCTGCACATTATTCGGCTGCGCGTATGTATAACAGAATCATTGTTGGTCTATTTGACCAATAGTGACGAAGAGAGCGTATCAGCTCCCCATTCGGAGAAGCAGCGAGTCAACAGATACGAGTTGAACAAGACCATACCACTGATCACAAACAGAGCAATCGAGCCTCCTATCCGGAGAAATATCAACGGACCATATGCAAACTGAGTTTATCCGAGGCAATCCCGAACCGAACTCGTTCAATGTTTACTGCATTGACTTACCGGGAGACCGGGAAAATATGTCCCTATCGCGAACCATTTCTTCTAGTATGAATCTTCGTTGTCGAGCGAGTCTGAACGTTTGAATTGGCACGGAGAAAACTGTAACCACGCCGCCACCAGGGGGGTTCCTTTTAATATCCAATCCCAGATCGAAGTTGTCAGGAATCTGCAGGAAGTGAGACAACCTCGATTGAAGGAGGAGCTATCTCTCACTGCTAGAACCCAAGAGGAAATGACAACAGAAGTCCTCACAAGCAACCTACGGCAGCCCGAACAATTACTCGCCAATCTGACCTAGATGGCCTGGAGCGTAGGGCTGAAGAAAGAGACGCCGCGGAAGACGTAGTACAAAGAGCGCTTCAGAAACTTGAATATGAGGTGGAGGCACGAGCTCTCGCTTCGAAGTCTGAGCCGGTTCCAGAAGAACCACATGCTTTGACAGACCAGGTAGTGTAGCGAAGGAAAATGAGTGAAGATTCAGCTTTGGGCAAAAAAAAAAAAGTTTTGCATCCCACAAATTACTTCCGCTCCATCCACTCCTGCAGAGCAGCAGCAACTTGCAAACTATTCTTCTCCATAAACACCATATGTCCATTTCCGTGGATGCCGATATCCGCCAGCTGGAGATGTTGCGCTGGGACGCCTGCCTGTTGCAGGAACTGGACTGTGCACCAGTCATACGGCGCGTGGTAAGACGATTCGGTCGTCACGACCAGGACGGGCACCTCGGCGAGATTGACGAGCTGTCTCGGTGCGGGGGAATCGGCTTGGATTACGCAGTCGGAGTACAGCGACGAGTTAGAAGGGATAACGTGTTTCACGAGGTCGCTAGGATCGGCCACGGCGGGCAAGTAGGTTATAGGGATATCGGTAAGCCCGTAGGCGCGCGTGGAAGAGTTACTGAAGACGGCATCCTGGAAAGGAGGGCCGGTGGGTTCGATCGAGACGATGGAGTGGACGAGATCCGGGCGCACATCCGCAATGAGCCAGGGCATAGCTCCGCCCTGGGAGTGGGAGAGGAGGATGACGGGGGATCCAATAGTGTCGAGCAGGGCGGCGCTGGCGGCCTGGACGGTCGACTGCTGGTAGGTTGCTGAACTGAGGAACTCGACCGTCGAGGAATAGTAAGTGTCGAAATTCGGGTCGCCCATGACGCCCGTTCCGTTCCATTGGGTATGCAGGGACGCCTGCGGCCAGAGGTTGTACAGCTTCGGCGCAGTGAAGCGCTGCTGCAACAGCTCGGCGCTGTAGGTGCTCAGCGTCCCATTGCCAGGGAACCAGGCACTGCGGCCGCGGAAGGTTTGGTCGACAATATAGCATGCATATCCTTGAGAGAGAAAGTAAGAGGCCCAGCCTTCCCCTCCGTCAGGCTTGTTGAGCCAATTCTGCCAGCAGCACGGTTAACCTCTGGGAAGGGCGAGAAGGATTTTTTACTGATACGTACGGTACCTGTTTGAGCTTGTCCATGGATGAAGACAATTGGATACGGCTTGGTAACGCCCGCGGCCGGAGTCAGTTTTTCGACGTACATCTGATCCGCGAAGACATGCTGGCCAGCACTATTCAGAATGTATTGTCCTCCAACATACATGTACGATCGCTGGGCTGGCACCTCACCGCGCCAGCCGGAAGCCGCAGCAGCAATTGCCCAGGCGATCAATAATAATCCTGTCTTGACATGCATCTTGCTGAAAGGATGGCAAGGGTCGAACAATGAAACAAGGACAAAGTTAATCAGGGGTCAACTTATGCAGAATTGGCTAATCAAAATCTACTGGAGCTTCAGTGGTTTTGCCGAGTTTCCTCCGTGGGTCTGGCGTTCAATCTTGTCTTTTGGCCCCCACGAAACGAAGTGTTAGACTTTGCCAAGTGAACCTTGAAAGTCGCTTGCGCCTCTTTCTAAAAGTTAGTAGATTAGATGAATCCTTAGATTTTGGATTTCTTTCCATGTTGAAATAATGCCTGGAAAAAGGTTATTGGAAAGTTCTCTACCCATCACCTTTTGATATAGTTCGTCCCCGTCTCAGTCTTTGTTTCTGTCACTCTTTTTCCTTTTTCACTTTTCCTTTCCCTTCTTTGGGACTCGGAGACTGCCCTCAGAAGCCATGGATTCCACCCTCATCATTCTTTGGGTGTTTACCTGGGTGGCAATCGGCTTGATTGTCCTTCGGCTGCTGCTGCGAAAGGTGAAAGGATTGACGTTCGTCCTGGGCGATTATTTCGCAATGGGCGCGATTCTCTGTGCGCTTGTACGCCTCGCCTTGGTCCATGTTATTCTCATCTGGGGAACCAACAATATGTCTACCACGTTCAGACATACGCACCATTTCACCCCCGAGGAGATCCGTCGCAGAGAGATCGCGAGCAAATTTGTGCTCACCAATCGCGTGTTCTATAATTCCTAGTACGTCCTGGAGTTAATGAAATGCAGGGTCGTCTGGCTATTCTTTTCTCATATTTCTTTTAGTCTCTGGTTGCAAAAGTTGGTTCTGCTTGATACCTACCGCAGACTGCTCAGGCATCTTCGCTGGGAGAAGGCCACGATGATCTCATATATTGGTATATTCGCAGCGACGTATGTAACTGTACAGATTGTGACTTTCACGGAGTGCGATCCATTCAACCATTACTGGATCGTATTGCCAGATCCTGGTATTTCTTTCCCTCTTTCATCTTCCTTTTAAATTTTACCTTTCGTGTTCGTTGACCTTCTAACCAATACAGGTATATGCTGCCAGGCACAGCTCCAATTGATCGTCCTCGGTATGCCTTCTGTCGGGAAGATCGTTTCAATGTAATACCGCTAACATTCTAATTTCCTCAGGTGTCCTCAATGTCATCACGGACCTTATGCTTATCGCCTTGCCGATTCCAATTCTGATTCTGGTTAAACGATCCACTGTTGAGTAAGCTTGGGCCGACCTATATCTATGCATCTCGTTGACGCGTTCTCTCCTCCAGAAAACTCCAGCTTGCGGTCCTCTTCGCCGTCGGCCTCTTTATCGTCGCAATCACCATCGCTAGACTACCTCAAAATGCGAAAAATCCCACTGCACAAGTGAATAGAACGACTTGGGCGTCCATTGAGCTACTCGCTGCCGCTATCGTCGCCAACGCTCCCGTCCTGTACGGACTCCTGAAGGGACAAAAAGAAAGGTCCAAGTACGCTGCATCAGGAGCCGGATCAACTGGGCCGTCGTCGCAGGGATTCCAAAAGAGATCAGCAAATGAGCCCGAATTTGAACTGCAAGGGACCCGTCACAGTAAGAGAGGGTCTGCTCTCGGTTCAAAGATATCAACCAGGACTTATTTGGAGATCGATGGCGAGAGTAGTCAGTCGTTGACTCGAAGCTTGGAAAAGTAAGAGGGGGTACAGACTCCAAGTACAAAGCAATAATAGACAAGGCTCCGAGCTGAGCTAGACATTTGGCCACTCAACCGCCTTTACCTCGCGTCCGCTCCCCCCGCCTGACGCCCAATTAGATTATGTCGTTACGAATATCCAGAGAAAGCCGATTTATTCGGAAGTATCTTTACGAACTTCTGAGCCAGACACGGTGGATAACTTTGTTGAAACGATCATCGAGGCTTTGCGGGGCGATGGAACCCTTCGACACGAGTTATATCAGTATGGCTGCCCGTTGTCCTATTTCTGAACTGTCAACTGATTTTATCCTAGTCGAAGAATCCAATTCCTGCAAAAGAAAATTCAGGAGGAGCCTCAAATAGATACGACCGAGCCGCCCCCGAGCCGCCACCCCACCACTAGGTATATTAATTTAAATACGAGTATCTCAACCAAAACGCTAATTAATTAATATTTGTGACGTCACTCAGTCAAAAGGGACAAGATGTGTATAGTTTGGCCGTAACAAGTCACCCGTCACAGCGGACTTATACGTAAACGCATTGGACCGTAGGGTCAGATAGGGCCCAAATGACCTGGGCCAAACTAGGATGGCGAAGGGAAGAGAGGTGGAACCACTAGAGACAGTGGAGCCCGTGAACCTATCTGAAACAGGTGATTGAGCTTGTACAAGACCGGACGCGTTCGTCGGAAAATACAGCCTAATAATGTCCGAGGTCCAACTTCCGAACACCTGAATCTGGTCGTCGACGATCCCCTATTGTGCGCATGTTGGGTCGCACAATATTAGTCACTTGTTCCGACAAGGACATATGCGAGGCCCGTGAGGCGCGAGCCGTCAATGTCTTTCCCAGGCATCGTGATCATCGCGCGTTTCTACCGAGGAGATAGACTCGCCGATGGAATCGGTATCGGCGTTCTGGGGCCGTTTCCCGGCTTCCGAATTGGGCTGTGCGTCTTGAGCAAGGGCCAGTGAGGTATTGCGTGGATTACTTCCCAGTTCATGCCTGATCGACTCGCACTGGTAAATTCTATTGAATTGGGGGGATTTCAATGCCCAATAGGCCGCCTATCTTAAGTTTGACCCTCAAGACCCAGATCTTATCGAATAAACATTGTAGCGGGGGTTCCTTAGCCTATCAGGTCAGTGAGCCCGCCCGGTCGCCAGTTGACGGTCAAAGGGCCCAGCTGGCCCACAAGCTGTAGACCACAGGCAAGTTTCATGGACAATTCTCTCACTGACAATCTCTGAACAGTTCCAGAGTCATGGCCAGAACAGCACAGACTGCCCGGCGTGATGATGAAGGTCCCGAATGGCATCAGCGGCGGTACCTGGACCACAAGGGTAACCACGTTATCCTTGGCAAACTATCTAAAGCTCGCGAATTCAATGAGCCGGAAGGGAATCATCAGTACAGACTGTAGGTTTATACCAAGGTCCCTATACAGCCTAAGAACTATGACTCAATTGTTACGTATCTCTTTGGTATCACGGAACTAGGCCCATTCCTAGAGATCTACATAAGTACTCAGCGTAACGCCTTTGTATGCGTCAAACATCAACGACGTTAGATCGCCTACCGTAAGAGACTACGCGAGGCTTTTGATAAGCAGTCTAACTGCTCTAACTGTCGGCCTCCTTTGATTGCTAAGGATTCAGCGAGTAGGGGCTCCTAGATTCTTGAACCAACTGGTTCCTATATCTTAACCTCGGATAGCTATCTCGCTGGTCCACCGTCGAGAGGATGGGAACGAACTTAGAACTATCCCTCTCGCAATCGACTTTAGTCGGAGATTCCCCACTAAGGTGCGAACAGTCGAGTTAGAATATCGTGTTCCGAATATCTACGGGGATATAGCAGACTTTGTTAAATTCGGGAAAGAAGTGGTTTCCGAGGCTATTGAGATGAAGGTGAATACACCAGAGATTCGATCTGCTATTGATCAATGGGCATATAGCATATAGAGAAGCGTTAGATCCTATATAACGCCTAACGGAGAGTGGAAAATTGACTACGATACCGACGTACCACCGCTAGAGAAAACGGCTTAGGATTCCCAAGAAGTTAAGGAGATTCTCGAGCAACAACCTACTCCGAATCACGAATCCAAGGATCTATGTCTTACGTGGGGCTCAGATAAAAGGACACTCACTGGTACAAACTTTATAAACTCCAAGGAGAGTGATCTTCAATATGTCATTCATATTCCATTCCTCGCGGACAACGCAGACAATCTTCTAGAGCGTACAGCCCACATTTTCACAACACATCTATTGGCCAAAATTGGTTCCGCGCGGATAAGACTCGAGTTTCGAATCCCAGGCCTACGTCTAGCCTCCGTTTGGTCATCCCCTCACCCTAATGACCTCCCCGTGGGTGTGCTGTACAATACAAAGAATGGTTCGAAGCAGGAGCGGCAGGAGCGACTCGTCCCTTTGCAGCCCAGCAACGTTGGCATAGTTCCTAACTACACATGCAAACAATTTGCAGTCATACTTGATCGACCAGCCTTCATAACGGAGCCAGGTATCCTGTTTCTCATAGAAAACAATGGTATCCAAACCGGAGTTCGGCCCCTCTGGCTGTGAAACGATTATTCGACGAAGCGCGGGCATGACCGAGGCTGGAAGAAGACTTGCTATGCTGGACTTGAAAAAAGAAGTGGGATGGGATGATGTGAGATATCTTACAGCCGATGAGTACCGCTGCATCTTCGGCATTTCGCTGGAGCAGTACCAGATCGCGTTGCTTGAGCTTGAGCCGTTCGAGCCGTATCAGCCGCAGGAAGTCTGAAGGATGATGTTTACTGGACTATGTTCGAAGCTCTGGTCAGCGGTGCTTAACATGGGACTCGCAACTGTCGCAATGGGATTGATGCTTCAGTGCGATGTCGACTTTCCCGCGCTGGGGATTGGTACACGAAGGCATTGTGACAAACCCATAATAGTGACAGGGAGGAATAAAGAACCAATGTCATATCATTGTGCTACACTTTCCGTTTAGGCCAGATGTCCATCTGCACATCAAAGCACAACTTTTCACTGCGCCAATGTTGAGACAAGTATAGATGCTGTCATAAAATAAACGTCTTAATCTTGAAATGTATTAATTATGTACTTGATAGGACTGCTAACAACCAGAAGTAGCAATGGAAATTACTCCCAAACTGATGCACCACAGAAGAAAGTGTATAGTAGAAAGCAAAAGACAACGAAGACCTAATCCGCTTGGATGTTTAGAGTTCAAATGCACCTACACAGCTATCATGGTCATAGCCATGCTCAGTCTGGGCCACAGAATCCGCCATATCGCCGATAAAATAAAGGCCAGTTCCCGAAGCCAGTGAAAGAAGTGGAAGCTCCGAGACTAGCGCAATGAAAGACCCAATATCCAATATACAGCAAGGCAATTTCACAGAGAACCAAAAGCAAAGAAGAGATAGACACGCCTTAAAAGACACGCCTTAAGTGCATAAGAGCAGTTTGCAACTATATTAAATCTTAACTCTGACATGATAATTGTATCCAAAGTCTCAAACGAGGCAAGTAATAGATCTATCACATCCTTACATCTTAGCGGATGGTCAACGTCCGTGATCTCTCCTAGTCGAAACCTTCGCTGGGCAAACACACGAAAGAATAAGCAAGCAAACTTGCCAGAGATGAGAATTCCATAATTAAACAGCCACTAGGATGCCACCCTCTTTGCCACACTCGTGACTCGATGCATCATGTACTGTATAGCAGACATGGAACATGAGTTGCCAGCTGTAACTTACATATGTACGGCCCACGCCCGATGCAAACCTTGCATACAACCATGTCGATTTTGACAGCCGTCATGCGGAGATTAACAACGATCGGCATCGCAAGAGTGTATAACGCCACTTCTAGATCGTCGTGGCGCATGGACCCCATCGCCCTGGTCTCGGGTCACTTGTGGGATCGAGGCTGATCAGGGTTGACCCGGTTGAGTGGTTTGTCCTATCGTGCAATCGTGCAATTGGGTGGAGAGTTTGCCGTAGTTGACTATGCAATCAATATATAATGTGTTCTAGGAGGCAACTGTCTGTATATCCGTCGCTCTCGCTCTCGCTTCACCTGAGTGCTATTTGTAGCTAATAGTAGGTGAATATTTAATTTTTGGTTGAGTTTATTTGTCTTTTATTATTAGCGACAACGTTAAGAGGGCTTATTATTGATTGTCGAAGCCGATTAGGTGAGTCTTGGTTTTGTTGCTCGGAACATAGGTTGAACAATGGTTTTGTTTGGAGAACTACTTTGCGTCTTCCAGTGCTTGACAATTTACTGCTATCCCTGTTGAACTTATGCTCATCGGCCAAACAAGCTCATTTGATGTAATCCTTCACTGTATCAATATGGAAGGCGGCGATATGATATATCACATTTCACCAGCTTCACACAACAATTCTTCAACACAATCCGGATCTATGATCTATCAGACTGTCACTACAGTACATACCGGCTTCTCGATCTAAGACCTAGTTCCTATCTCAAAGGCGGTTTATGACAAGACCTTTAACTTCCAAATGCAAATACTATATTTCGACAAGTCAATTGAGTGACCAGACGCTGTTATATCACAATGCATGAACTATATACACAAGCTCAATATCATAAGACACCCCATCATGATGACCTATTTCGGAGAAGGACCATACGTCATCGGTCCTGGCGCGGTATACGGCGACATCAAAGTAGCTCCGCGTTCCCTGGCAGCACGAGCCCGGTGCCCTTCACGCTTGAGAATCTCCTTCTCATCCTGGATCAACGTGCAACATGTGCAGCAGGTTGCCCGCACACAATCCGATGCAATATCACCCTGGATTCCATAGGCCTTCCTTGTTCTTGTGTGCTGAATTGTTGCCAGCAACCCTACAGTGACCTTTTAGCAAAATGGAATTTCTCTTCCTTCCATGCAGACCACCGTGCATACACAGTCCAAGGTGAGAATGAACTTACATTGACATCCACAGAGCAATCCCATACCAGTACATGACCCGTTACAAGTCTCATAAGCGAGCATATTAGTCGGATCCTCCTTCCTCGATTTCATCGTGAGTCGATGCTGCGTCCGTCCATATAGAATGCAAGGACAGATAAGTCCCAAACAACAAATTCCGAAATTTGAGAATTCGCAAAGTTCGTTGCTCCATCCCCCGCCCCGTACCTCCTGGTTTGGATGCATTATCTGGCCTGGCTGGTGGTAATCGCTGAGATCTTCAACAGGCGCATGTGTCGTCGCTGCCCGGGTGGGAGGCGGAAAAGAAGGCAGCTTGGGTGATTGTAGTGGGTTTGCGTCTGGCACGACGATCATTGTATCGCTTCGGGTTGGCGCGTCTGGGTTTACTTTCAATGGTAGGGGCCCTGGGGAGTGTGGGGGTGGTGAACTGGGTGGGTTGGCGTATGAGGCATATTGAGGTGACATTTGGATGTCGCGGCTCTGTTGCTCGGTTATGGTGTATGGCTCGGCCGGATACGTTTGGGGTTGGATTGGAATGTCCTGCTGCTGTTGTCCTGGTAGGTTTGTGTATGACTGCGGAGACATTTGGATGGCACTTTGCTGGTGCTCGTGGATGGTGAAGTATGACTGGGGAGACATAGGCATGGCTGGATGCTCCTGTATGCTTGTATACGACCGGTGCGCATATGACTGAGAGGGTATCTGGGTATTCTGTTGTTGTCCATGCATATGGGCGTACGTTGGAGACATAGGCATCCCATGTTGTTGAGATATATGTGAACCCGTCACATATGGCGAAGTCGCTTGAGGGCTTGGCAGCTGATGTTGAGATGCATTCGCAAATGGCGCATAGTGCGCTGGATGCGCTTCAGGTGGTGGACAGTTGGTATAGTCTGGGATTATTCCCTGCTGCTGAAGCTGTTGTTCCTTCTCACTCAGTGCATATGATTGCTGTTGCTGTCTCGGATCTCTAATGGCATGCTGCGGGGGTTGGAGTCTTTCGAGTCTGGCAACGGGGAAGGAGATCTTAGACCCCTTTCATCAGGCGAAATATGCATTTCCAGTGGTGTTTCCATGAATGAATACCGTTGGTTATGGTTGCCACCGACCGAGGTGTCCAAGTTTAAGCGACTCATTTTGAGGGTTCGAACGCTCCTCTGATCGTGCAACAGCCAGCGATAAATGGGATATTACCCTGATTGCCCAAATATCGTAGATGAACGATGAACGTAGTAAGATAAATTTGCTTGAACGCGCGAGTTATGTCCAGTTGAACAAGCCAGATCGGAGAACATGCGACTCAAAAGCTTTCCCCTGGGAAACGGCGTTGGGGAGAAAGTTGGCGCGCTACTAGACGACATGCGACCGATCGACAGAAAATGCGACGTATAAGTCGCCAGTGCAGTCTCAAATGTGAACAGACGCGCATGGTGGAAGGAAGCCGGCATTAAACTAGAAGTCGAGCTGGTATGAGTGATAGGAGCCTGGTGGGCGGGGCGTACAAAAGTCAGAGCTGGGGATACAGTGATCTGAGTGGCTTCAAAGCTCTCTTTCCTGTTTCTCAGACAAGGGACTTTTGGCCCTAATGCATCAGCTTCACATCGCTGGGCGCTCTGGTTGGACTGGGACCCGCCCGGCGCCTCCCGTTGTGCGTCAGATCACCTTTTCCCATCACAATCACACACAACCGCTGTTGGTTGGGGGCAGTTGTTGACTGGTCTTAGGGGTTGGAAATAACCCTATGGTTGTGGTTGACACTATTCTCACAATCCCAGATCTATACCTCCATCCGCCTGAAAAGATATATCTTCAACCTTGGTCCCCGGTATCCCATGTCCTGGTTACACGGCGCTTGAGATATAGACAATTGACAGATACAAAGCCAAGCAGGCAGCAACTTTGAGACCTACAGTAGAGCAGGGCTTCATCTTGGCCACAGTAGGCAATAGTAGGCCACGGTAGGCCACGGTAGGCCACGGTAGGCCATTTGCCTTTCTTGTAGGGGCTCAAGAAGCATCCCAAGCCAAGACAGGCTGAGGCGTAGGGCTAGAGGATCTAGAGAAGACTGTTTCATACTTAGTGCGTTTAGCTTAAATGCCCCAGACTCCACTGATCCCTTGGAGCTTTCTCATTCTTTAAGCAGCTTGAAGTGATCAACATACCCTTGAAGATATGGGGAATCCTATAAACTCCCACCGGGACTGCACGCTGTCTATCAAAGCTCAGTGATTGGTAGACGATCCTGCATAAGTATCATAATAACCAAACCCTGTCCTCCCTTAAAAGCTCCCCCGTAACCATATTAACCAGAACCTGGCAAATCCGATGCAGAGGAGACAGCATTCGGCTTGAGCAAGCGGCGTAACTGGATCCCCTTCGAGATCATTCTAAGATCTTCAGTTCTAGAAGTCAATTGCTATAGAGTTAGATATGCTCCGTAGAAAGAATGGAGCTATGAACTTAGGTGCCTTAGTACTAGAGTGTAGAACAATGCGACAAGGATTCGAATTTAGTGACACAAATATGAGTAGTGGTTCAAGGAAAAGTTGAAACTTGGAAAAGAGGCGAACCTCTGACTTCATCCCTTCGATCTCCACTTCTTCTCTTTCTTCTCTCTTCATCTTTAAGATCCACTCAGGGCGGTGACGATCATTCTTCATCTCTTTATCTCTCCCTCTCTCTACCTCCGATTTGCGGTCAAGGTCAACCTGTAAGATCTCTTTCCCCCTGAACGTGCTCTCTCGGGCCTTGGAGCGATATCTCTTCTAACTCTTCCGGACTTCCCAGCGCATTGTCCTTCTAGCCCAATCCTCCTCTCCCAGCCCAACCACACAACCCCCCTGGTCTCCGCTCCCCATATCCCCGATCCTTGACCAATGTCCTCTCCATGTCAAATTCGCCGTCCGTTCCCGATGATACCTTGCCTAATCCCCTGGTGACACCTGCTACACTTGCCCAACATGATTGCTCAGAGCGCAGCCCACGTCACCACTCGCGGCAGGGTCAGCACTTGTCCCAGGGGTCTCGAGAGGCGCCGTCGCCATCGCGGGCAGAATCCCCCACGGCCCATTCGTGGTCGCAGCCCGTATCTAATTTCGCTCTAAAAAGGACCCTAACCACACCCTTGGAGAATACTGCGCATCCCGATATTGTGTACCGACCCCAACTGTCAGAACGTGACAGTATCTTCGCAACCCATTACCTCCCCTCAGATAGCGGCGCAAATACCCCACAGTTGCCTCCCGAAAAAGCAGACAATGGCCAGGTCAATTTGATTCCTAGCCTCGATGATGCCTCCGTGTCGCCAAGTGCACTCCCCAAGGTCTCTCCCCACCGTTCTAGCGTCGGCCCTTCCCACATGGAAGTTGACGTCCGCAGACAATACCCATTGCGTTCCTCCTCTCTCTTCTCCTCTTCCGATGTCCCGAGGTTATCTCTTCTTCGCTCGTCCATCTCGTCGACCGATCAGGTGCAGAAACCGGTGACTGAGGCAGGACCACATGATCATTTGGGTGGATCTCAGCGAGACAAAGGACCTTTGGATGATACAGGTACGAAGACTAGCCGTTCTCAAGGGACTTTGCCCGGACGCATATTGCTCCCGTCTGCTTTAAACGATGTACCTCGTACCTCTCACTCTTTGACTCTCTTGTCCCCTCGCCACGAGGGCTCTCAGGTCAGTCAGGAATTTTTATCCTACAGTCCTCAAAAAGAAACCCCTCCCCCTGCGGGTCCTGAACGAAGCCCGAGTAGAGGTCGCCGTAATCGAGTTGACAACTCAATTGAAGCCAATCTGACCAACTCGGAGCCGGCTTCTAACGTGCGCAGCCGCAAGTCCAGCCACTACTTGGGTCTGTTCAAAGAGAACACCACGTCCCCAGATCGGAAACGATGGGAGGATCGCGGCCGGCAGGATGAGCCAGAGGAATCGGCAGATCACGCCATGGACTTTGACCACGGACATCCGCGATCCGAAGAGGAAGCTGTGCTGCGTAAAAGCATTTCCCTCCCGGTGCTTGGCGATGGTCCGGCTTTTGAGCCTCTATCTGCAGCCGAACCACCTCAGAACACCCAAGAAGATGAACCACACAAGCGTCGCCCGACAGCGTTGCCTCGCAGCCTCCTAGAAGAGATTCGAAACTTCCATCTCACTCCCGGCGGTGGAGGCCGAGGGTCATCTTTCTCCAAAAGCATTCCGACTCAGTATTCAGAACGCAGTCATGACTATTTCCAAAAGGAGCCTCATGTTGACCTGTCTCCGTCCACCTCTTTCGAAGAGGAACGTCGCGGGTCAGGGCGATTCGAGGCCGATGAAGAGGAGAATGAGCAGATTTCTTCCGCCGTTTATTTTCCTCACGAGCGCACTGTGACTGAAGAAATCGATGAACTGCAGTTAAACCCAGAACGTCCTCATGATGTACAGCCGGTTCAGTTGTCGGCCGAAAAAGGCCATGAGCTGATGTTAGTTTCAGACCGTAGCGATTCTCCTGAAAAAGAGATCAGCCATGTGGATATTGCCTTCCGATCTAACCATGAAAATAGGATCCTACATGGCGATCTTCACGAGAATGTGCCAGAAAAGTCCTTGAGTACCATCTCTGAACGCAGCTATGATTCAATAAGTGAATCTGAACCCCCTCCGCCGATGAAAGTACACCCTCTATTCCAGAGGAATCCAGTCTGACAGATGACGCGGAGACACCCACAGCGACCCCAACCCAGCGTACAGGGCTTCTGTCTCGTCGGAAACCCCCCAAACATCAAGGGCCTCTTGGCGCTGTGGAACTGAAGCCTTACCGGCACCAGGTTGGCGGGCACACAACCGTATTTCGATTCTCCAGACGCGCTGTGTGCAAACAACTTAACAACCGAGAGAATGAGTTTTATGAACGCATTGAGCAGAGACACCCTGATATGTTGATGTTTCTTCCAAAGTACGTAAAATCCCCGATGCCAACCACTGCGTGTGCCCCTTGTACTGATACCTCGTTATAGATACATCGGTGTGCTGAATGTTACGTTCTCGAAGACATCCAAAAAACCAAAGGATCAGGTCGACTCTACTGGGGGCAAAGTTCAGGATGTAACACCAGCGAATGGGTCTTCGGTGCTCAGCTCTCAACTTCGCGAAGCGGCAGAGCCGCAGCGAATTTTCAGCCAGTCGCAAGTAACAGGAGTCATTCCCAAGGTCATCCTTGAAAATAATCGCCACATTATCCCCGCCGACTTGTTCTCCCGAACGCAGCGCCCGCGGACAGCGGATGATTCAGTGGTGAGCCGTGCCCGATCGATGGACGGCCTCGAGGCTATGTCAGCCGAGTCCGACCCATCTGCTCTGAGCAAGCGAGCTAAGATTTGGGGCGCAACCACCGTCAATCGAAAGCTCCAAGAGCAGGTTCTTCGTGAGGTTTTCAGCCCTCCTGCTATCCACCACCATCGCCGGCATGCTCGGGGTCATCGTCACCTGCCTCGAGCCAGCAGCGACTTCTCCTCTCGACGAGAAAACATGTCCGAGGAACATACGGCTAGCCCTCGGCGACCGATACTGGGAGCCATACAAGCGCTGAAGACGGAAGCAATTGATATCGTCCCTCCCGCTACGGAGGGACCTGCTCTTTCCTCGTCCGCATCCACTGCCCTGGACGCTAATCAAAACCGCCTGGAGAAGGTTCAAACCGAAGAGGAGCCCAACCGAGCAAGCTCTTTGTCTCGGGCCTCCCATCGAGTACGGCGCCGGCATTCTGGAAGTGGCCTTCAGAGGCGCGGCAGCATCAACTCCCGTAAGGATGGTGAGCTTGTCTTCTTTGATGACGAAGGTTATGGTGGCGACAAAGAAGATGATATCTTTTCCATGGAAGCCGATGCCTCCATGCCTTCGAACCCCTCCCCGGTCGCAAAACGTCTGGCTTCACCAGAACCTGAAAGCAATCCAACCAGTGGACGCCGTGCGCTTGAATCTGCAGCAGCAGCGAGAGTGTCTGACCCATCTGATCCCCAACGAATGACCAGCATTTCCACTATGTTGCCCAGTAACCCCAAAGAGGCGCAGCTGAGAAAGGATGAACGAGTACAATTCTTCCTTCTCCTCGAGGATCTGACTGCAGGGATGAACAAGCCTTGTGTGCTGGACTTGAAGATGGGCACTCGACAGTATGGTATTGAGGCAAATGAAAAGAAAAAGAAGTCACAGCGACGCAAATGCCAGTCCACCACATCCCAACAATTAGGAGTGCGACTCTGTGGCATGCAAGCGTGGAACGTCAAGAAGCAGGAGTACATCTTTGAAGACAAGTACTTCGGACGAGATTTGAAATCCGGTCGCGAATTCCAGGATGCTCTCACCCGCTTCCTTTACGACGGCATCAGTTATGCCAGTGTGGCCAAGAAGATCCCTGTCATCCTGGAGAAGCTGGCTCTGTTGGAACATATGATCCGACAGCTGGACTCTTACCGTCTTTACGCAAGCAGCCTCTTGATTCTCTATGATGGGGAGCAACAAACACCTCATCAAGGGCCCCCGCGCAGTACCGGTGAACCGTCACCTCTGAAGCGCGGTATGTCCGACGATGGCCACAGAAAAGCAGACGTTCAGTTGAAGATCGTCGATTTCGCCAATTGCGTCACGGGCGAGGACGAACTCCCACCGGATACACCCTGTCCACCTCACAGCCCGCACGACATTGATCGTGGCTACCTGCGCGGCCTTCGCACACTCCGAATGTATTTCCAGCGGATCATGAAGGAGACCACGCAAGATGAATTTGTCGAGCGAGGAGAAGGTGAAGCCATTGCGCTGGGATCTCAGCCCGCCGTGCGCGAACTACCCTCCGACCAATATTGGGACGAGACGATGATGGAAAGTGACGCGGGCGCAGTCAGTTTCTAACCTCCGAACTCTCTTCATTCTCCTCTGTCAACAGTGACATCGGCCCATTGCCGACACGTGGCGCTCGGGGGATAGCCTATTTCTCTTCCCAATTTTGGAGCGTCGACATTTATGCACCAGTGCCTGACCTCGCCTGATCGGCGAAAACCTACGACTAATGACCCCGGATGCTTCTACGATACATGTCAATGCTTGGATTCCTATGAGATTGTGGTTCCTTTCTCTGTTGCCCTTTTCCTTTGGAGCTTCGGTTTCTCTTTCTCGGATGTGTATGAGCTATTCCCCTTGAGTTTTGTCAACTGCATTTCTCGGTCATGTTTTATTGATATTGATAATACCCCCAATGTCCCAAGTCTATTTTGTCTCCTTTGCATCCAGGGCCCATGGTGTACATCCTTAGAAAACGCATTGTCTTTATCCCCGCATAGATCTATACTGTAGCGAGTCACGTGTCGAATGACTCCAACTTTCTCCGCTTCGAACCTCGGAGCTTCCTCATCCTCCTTGACTCAGAACCTCGAAGCTGCGACAGCTTTCAGTTCGAGCAAGTCAACATACCTAACACCCCCAGTGAACTTTACCCTATGATCGGACCCGACGCCCAATGACGTAGTACGAACAACACTCAACGGATCCGCCCAGCTGACTCTCCCCGCTCCCCAAGCTCAATCATCCAAGTCGCCAGGCATTAAGCGTGCTCACCAGGCACCCCCGGAGCATCCAACCCCCTGCCCTGCACCTTCAGGTAGCCCCAGCCCATAATACAAACCCCATATTCCACATCTCACACCTCTCACCCCTTATCACAGCCTCCTCGCCCCCAAACCACCCTAACCCGCACCACAACCCAGCCCCCGCGTCCCGGTGCGGAGAGGAAAAAGAGGCAAAGGGCAGACATAATGCCGAGTCCCAACAACGCCATCGACAAGCGCGATTTCGACGCGAATCGCCCCCTCTTACAAGATATAGACGCCGAACCAGATTCCGGTGATCGGAGACACGATCTTGCTCCTGCGCGGTTACGGGCTGGATCGCGGAGTTCGGGCGATGATGGGATCGGCATGCGGAGTGATGATGGGCTTCTAAGTGAGGTTGTTGACGAAATTGTTGAACGAGATAGGAGGATGATGCATGTTGAGGTTATTAGGGTTGTGAGTTTTGCTTGGGGGTTGTTACTTGGTATGGGATGCTCTCTCTTCTTATTCTTCCGATCTCTTGCATTGTACTGAGGGCTAGGCGCTAACTTTTCTTTTTTTCCTTTCGCTGGTTTAGTCTTGGAGCTGGCAGTATTACTGCATTCTCGTTATACGGCCATTTACTGCTTACGCGGTTGCATTACTCCCAGCTTCAGGTTAATGCTGTTTCCATCGCTGCCGAGATTGCGATGTATCTCCCTGTTCCGTTGTTCGGGTATTTGTGTGATCGATACAGTCCGTCGCCGTTATCTCTGTTTTCTGGAGTTGTATTCGGGTTCGGGTATCTCCTCGCTGGATACGCATACAAGAGCGGGCCGCCTGTTGAGGCTGGTGGGTCTGGATGGCCGTTCTGGGTTATGATCGTGGCGTTTATTGCCATTGGCATGGGGACTAGCTGCATGTATCTTGCTGCTGTAGCGACCTGTGCTAAGAACTTTGGTCGTGGGAAGCATAAGGGGATCATGCTTGCTGTTCCCATTGCGGCGTTTGGACTTAGTGGCATGTGGCAGAGTCAGGTTGGGACATATTTGTTCTATGAGAAGCTTGATAATGGGACGCATGGTGATCTTGATGTCTTCAGGTACTTCGTCTTCCTGGCGCTGTTGTTGTTGGGTATTGGTATTGTCGGTACCTTTGCTTTGCAAATTGTCGAGGAGGATGATCAGTATATTGATGAGACGGTGGAGGAACTGGAGCGCAGTGGAATGCTGGAGGAAAGTGATTTCTTCCGGCCTCGCGGTGAAATCAGAGCTGCGGTTGAATATGGCACGTTCTCTGATGCCTTTGACGAGGAGCAATCCCAGGCTCTGTCCGATGAAGAGCGCGAACAGAGGCAACTGGAGAAGGAGCGCGAAGAAGAAGAGCGCCGAAAGAAGAACTGGCTGCTCAATTATGAGACTAGAGTCTTCCTCAAAGACCAGACAATGTGGTGGTTGGCTGCCGGCTTCTTCCTGGTTACTGGACCAGGAGAGTCATACATCAACAACGTAAGTCTCCTCTCCAAGTCACCAAATACAAACCCAGACTAACGCAATATGAATAGCTGGGCACAATCATCCCAACTCTCACACCACAAACCTACCCAGCCGGCGCCTCCCCACCAGCCGGCTCCCCCTCCACACACGTAACAACAATAGCCCTAACCTCAACAATCGCCCGCCTCCTCACAGGCTCCCTCTCAGACTTCTTCGCACCACCAGCAACCCACCTCTTCCCCCCAATCCCCGAAGCAGCCCGACACAGACACCCAGCATCCGCCACCCAATCCAACACCCTAACCCTCTCCCGAATGACCTTCCTCCTCCCCTCAGCCCTCCTCCTCTCACTAGGCTACCTCCTCCTAGCCTCCCCCCTCTCCCTCTCCCACCCAGGCCTGTTCAACCTAACAACAGCCCTAATAGGCTTCGGCTACGGCAGTGCCTTCTCCCTAGCACCAATCATCATCTCCGTCGTCTGGGGCGTGGAGAACTTCGCCACGAATTGGGGTATTGTTGCTATGATGCCTGCTGTTGGTGCGGCGCTTTGGGGCGTTGTCTATTCGACTGCTTATCAGAGTGCTGTTGATAACGGTGCCGGTGGGGGTTTGCCGGATGGGCAGTGCCATGGCTGGCGCTGTTATGGGTTCTGGGCTGTTGGGTGTACGGTTAGTGTTTGGGTTGCCGTTGGGGCTTGGTTGGTTGCTTGGAGGGGGTGGAAGAGGAGGGGTGTTGTGGTTTAGATGGTTTGGTTCTTTTGGTTTCTTATTAGATCTGATTTTGAGTTGATTGAGCATTTTGTTGGATTTTTCGGTTTTGGTGTTGCTTTCTATATACTGGTTGTCTTTGGGTTGCGTTTAGCTTGATGGATGTTTATCTATCTACACATGGGCACTTTCAGCGGGGTATACGTTTGACACTATTGTCGCATTGCTAGATTTTCAACAAAGCGATTCCTGCATGGTTCATCTGTTTCTGGATTGCAATATGGCCCTACGTCAACAAAACTTGTACTGAGGGTGGTGACAGGATCTCTCAGGCATGCAACCAATTCCAAGAATATTCAACTTTCCTCCAAATGACGATAGTGAATGTATTTCAAGGCCCTAAGTCTCCTCCAATGGATACACAAGTGCAAGTGTAAACCAATCGCCAAAACATAAACCCGCGCCAAGTGCATGCAAGTTCCAAAGGTACTCCTTTAACCAGCTAATTCCAAACTCCAAGAACACTAAAATAACCACAAGGTCTACAGACCAAAACCAAAATTAGACATCCGTCGAACTAGGATCTAAACCCGTAAAGACTTTGTACAAACGTCTACTGGCAGCGGGCCCAATGCGCGCATTCGTCAACGAACCATTCTTGTTCGCGGATTTCTAGAAAGAAAGAGAAAAGAATAGTGAGTAAGCTGATCCAGAAACCCGAAATTATAAAGAGACAGACGAGGAAACCCACCTTGATGTCCTCCAACATCATATTACCATGTATGCGCATACTACGAACCAAATCCGTGACGCAGGGGTACTGACCGGCAATACCATACGCCATAGGAGCAGTAATGCGATTAACCTCCTGCATCATCTTGACGAAGGTGTCATGCTTGTCTACGCCAGACTTGACCTGTCCAACGTCCATGCAAAACGCGGCATTGTGTGCTTCCTGGCGTTCTCGGCGGTACGGAACTGTCGAGATGTGCTCTGTGAAATTCTTGATCCATTCTGCTGAGTCGGGGGGCGCGGTTGTGTGGTGGATGAGGCAGGAGTGCGTCACTTGTAGCTCGAGGAGAGCATCTTCAACAGACTCATCGTCTATGAGGGTGGCGGGGTCTGTGTCTTTCCTTGTTTTCCGTCCGCGGCCTCGACCTGTGGTAGTCGTAGGCTCTGGTGCGGCAGTTTCTGCGTATTGGCGCAGGACTTCGGCTTGGAATGCTCTGTTTCGCGCGTTGCGGTTCTTGCGCATTAGCGCTGTCAATCCTTCGATTACGTATATTGGTTTGCAGTCTGAGTAGGCGGCTTTGAGTCGGAGGACGTGCTGCTCTAGTGATTCTCTCTCTTCGCCGTTTGATGTTGGGGTGATCATGTCGATGAAATCTTGCGCAGGCATGAGGCACAGGACATGGTTTTCTTTTTGGATAAATGCTGGACATGGTTCCCAGTGTCGTGCGACCTTGTTGTATGTGGCATTCATTTTGCGGCGCCATTTGATTATATTGGGAATTGGGCTCGCAAAAAGGTCTGCTGGACGCCGAGTCGTTTCATGAACTCGATGGTCTGAGTTCCCACACTGCTATCCTCAAAAGAAGTCGCTATGTCAATGATCATCTCTGGCGTGGAGTCTTTCTTGTTCACTTTGAGTTTGTTAACGCTTGCGACATCGGCAGCCCGTTGCTTCTCTTTGGCCTTGTCCTCCTTAAGCTTCTGTTTGCGCTCTTTTTCCATTTCGCGATCTCGCTCTTTCTGCAACTTGGCTTCCACTCGTGCTCGCGCCTTGGCCTCCTTATCTGCGGAGTCAACTTTGCTTGTCTTCTTCGCTGGTTTCCGAGGAGCTACGGGCTCATCAATATCATCAAGATAGATGTCCGTAGTCGCAGGCTGGGCGCTGCCCTTCGACTTCCGAGAGCCAGGGGCTGCCTTTGAACCGTCATTGCCGATTTGAGCAAGGAGATGAGCAGTTGCCGAGGAGAATAGAGGATTAGAAGCACTCTTTGCTTGATGAGGTTCGGACTGATCCAATAGGTCCACAAATTCCGGCAAGGCAAAAGGATCACTAAATTCCTCAATATCGCTGCGCCCTCTTAGGCTCGACGGAGGGAGTTTGTCCAAGTCCACAATGTCATCGTCATCGAGGGCGAAATCATCGCGACTCGGGTTCTTTGGCTTGCGCGACGCCGGAGGTTTGGATATAGGGCCTGGAGCCGGAGATGTGAAAACGATTGGATCTGACTCTTCAATGTGCGACTGAGATGGCTTTTTCTGTGCCGCGGCGTCCAATGGTGGCAGGTCGAAATCATCGTCGGAGATGGCAAACCACGGGTCCGCTGCAGATGCTGGAGCTCGAGGTTCTTTCGCTTTGGTAGTTTGGGCTAGCGATGAAGTAGCTTCTTCATTTACCCTCCGCTTTTTGGCGGGCTTGTCGAAGACAACGTCATCGTAATTGAACAGCGACGAATCGAATGGGTCTGACGAAATCAGGTTGAGCTGGTAGGATGGGCGCCGCGATGGAAGTTCGAGTGACTGTTGCGGTTGTGGGCGCTTTGTGGGATCGGGAGGATCGGAGGATATGAGGTCTATGTATTCAGGCATTTCGAGTCCCAATGCCACCAGGGCGGGTGATGGAGCAAGACGAGGGGGACGCGACGTCACCGCGAAAGAAACACGAGGTCAGGTGACCATCTATAATTGTGCAGGGATATGCGAAAGAAAAGTATTTGAGATGTTGTAATCAAAGGGGTATGATTGATTTGGAACTAAAGTTTACATCGCTCGAAACAGAATTGCAGCAATTACTGCCAAAATAGCACCAACCAGAGCTAGGATAGCAAAGACCTGCTGCCACCCATTAAAGCGCCGTCTGTCCGCCGTAAGCATAGTGGAAATCTCCTCTTCTAACCTATCGCCCATAGCAGTAAGAGAGAATTTCTGTTCGGCCCTGATCTTGCCTGCCGCAGCCATGCGCTTAACATCCTTGGGACTCAAGCCGTAAAGAGCCTTGTCAATCACGGCAGTCCATTCATCGTCCGCATGAGCATCCCGGAGCCAGCCCGTTTCGCCCTCGACAATCGTCTCCAGTGGACCACCAGTGTTCGATGCTAGCACTGGGAGACCAACTCGCATTGCTTCGACAGGCACGATGCCAAAGTGTTCGTTGATCGGAGTGTATAGAAGGAGCTTGGATTGCTCCAGCAGGGTATCTTTGAATGCGCCAGGAACAGAAAGCAGAAACAGGACATCAATGTCATCGGGGATAGAGAGAGCAGATACGACTGTCTTGGAGGTGGCGGTCTTCAATCCAAGACTGGTTGCGAGCTTATCCAGCTCCTGGTGATATTGAACATTCTCGTTGACACGATTGTCGTAACCGCCTGTGTAGAATGGTTGTTAGAGAATACAAGATAGCCATAGAGAAGAACTCACCAGCAATCACCAACCGTGTCCCTTTCCTCTTCTCCGCTCCGAGACCATTATAAGCGCGAATCGCTAATGCCATATCCTTCTTGCGCTCAAAGCGGTTTATACTAAGCAGAATCTTCTTCCCATTCCATAGAGGATCTTCCTTCGTTTTCTCCGGCAATTTGTTCCCCAAATCCATATCAACGCATGGATACACCACCTCCACATCACCAAGACGCTCCGACCCAAAGACATCCCGCACTACCCCACGAGAGAACTTGGAGTTTGCAACGACCCGATCAGACGCGCTCATAGCCCAACCTTCAAACCAATCAAACGGAAATCGGTAAAGTACTTTAGCCAGCCGAAGAAGCGAGCCACCCTCATCTCGCCGGGCGAGCAATTGATCGGGGAAATGACAGTAGAACAGGATACGCTGGCGTTTCGATTCGCGCGGACGGCCGAATGACCTCAAAAAGGGCACGCAGGCAGGTAATTGGTCCACAATGAAGATATCGTCCCGGTCGTCCTCCGCATCCTTCGAATCCCCCTTCCCACCAAGCTCGCACAACAACGACACAGTAAGATGCAACTGGCGTAGCGCAGCCATTAGGATGTGAAGTCGGCCGCAGACATGGGCGGGGAAGATGGAATTCCCGCGCACGCGGACGTCCAGCGTTCCATCGCGTGCCTCGTCGAAGCAGTGCGCTTTGTCGCGGTGGGAGGTGTAGATCGTTACTCGGTGGCCTCGGTTCTGGAGGGCTAGTGCGACGTCGATGATTAGCCGCTCTGCGCCGCCGATACCCAGGTCCGGGTGGATGATTGTCACATTGGCGCGCTGAAGGCCCATGGTGAAATTGTTTGACTCTTGGAGCTTGAGCTTGCGTTGCGACAAGAAAGACACGTGGGGTACGCGTCATGTGATGCAGATAGCTACACGAGGATTTACTTCGTTTTATACATCGTTGAGATTTATATTTACCTGGATTGATATTCTCAAGGACAAGCTGGTCTCTTGTTCATACATCTGTCACGTACTGCCATGATGTGAAGTCAACCCAGTCGGATCGGGCCTGCACCTCCACTGCCGGTGGATATTTCTTGTCCCGGATAGTATACCAAATGCCGAGAGAAATGCATCATGGCGTCGACACATCCAAGAGGACTGTCAGGATCATCTAGCGCAAATTGCCACTGAGTTGGTCTGGAGATCTTTCGATCAGATAACCAACTGTGGGGTCCAACAAGCTATATTGGGTTCGGCGTGAAAGCCGGTGATTCGTCCTACTGCTGGATATTTGGATCGCCCCCATACCCCAAGCAAAATCTACAACGTCTCCCGTCGGGTCTCAGAGCTGCCATGAACCGCAGCAATGGCCGACAGGGAAAAGAATCATGGGGGCCAAGTCAGTGCTGAGCCCAAGGCCACTGCGCAGTCTATTTCAGTACAGAGTAACACTCGCACTCATCCGAAACCAACAAAGCTGTGAGTCTCTGGTGTATACATAGATCCATTAAACCCATGAACCACTCGCTAAAGGAACTCCCAGCCGTCAAATATTCGTCGTCGCAGCAGGCTTCATAACAATGTTCATGACCTGCGCAATAATCTTCTCCTACGGCGTCTACCAAGCCATATATGAAGAAATGGCCAAACAACCTAACACCCCATTCAGCGGAACCTCAAGCTCAATAATCAGTCTAATCGGCACATTATCAATAGCACTAATGTCCATGGGCGGACCCTTCATAATGACATGGGCAAAGCTCTACGGCCCCCAGCCAGTAATCATGACCGGCGGTCTGGTCTTCGGCATCGGCTGCATCCTCGCCAGTTTAAGCGAGTACGTGTGGGAGTTCGCGTTGACGCAGGGTCTGCTCATTGGACTGGGAACGTGCATGGCGTATGTACCCACAATGTCTGTTGCGCCGACTTGGTTTGATAAACGGCGTGGGTTGGCTATGGGTGTTGTCATTTCTGGGTCTGCTTGTGGGGGTATGATTTGGCCGCCTGTGCTTAGAGCTATTACATCTGCTATTGGGTTCCGGAATGCGTTGCGTATTTCCTGGTGTCTTGTTGCGCTATTTGTCCCGCTGGCTGGGTATACTTTGCGTTGGGAGCCTACGTTTGGGGAGAAAGTCGCCGGGCAGACCGCTGGTATATCGAAGAAGATTGGCTGGATTCAGGCGCCATTTGTTGATTGGAAAATTGCACGGTCGAAGAAGTTCGTCTCGCAGGCGTTGGGCTGCTTTTTGCAATCGACGGGGTATGCTACGCCGCTGTTTTTCTATGCTGCGTATGCGCGGTCATTGGGATATAATGTTAGCATGGCGGATAACTTCATTACGATTAGCAATGCGGCGAACTTTGTTTCTCGCATTGTTATCGGTTATGCGGCGGACAAGCTTGGGAGATTGAACGTTCTGTTCCTGACTACGATCATGAGCAGTGTTGCCGTATTTGCATTTTGGTTGCCTTCAACCTTCGCAGGGGGCGCTGTCTCGAGTACTGCGGCGGATGTGTTGTTCATTCTGTTTGCTGTAGTATATGGTTGCTTTGGAAGTGCGTATATCTCGCTGTTCCCTGCGAGTCTGATCGAGCTCTTTGGCGTGCAGCATTTTACCTCGGTGAATGGAGCGCTCTACCTAATTCGAGGTATGGGTGCTTTGCTCGGCACACCGCTGACCAGTCTTTTGCTTCCTGGGCAGTCGGCTCTGTCAGATCCATCAAATTATCTGAGTGTGTCCTATACTGCTGGCATACTTTTGTTTGCGGCAAGTCTTGCCACGCTGTGGGTGAGGATTGAAGGTTCTGCTGGAAAGAATTGGACATGGAATTTATGAGCTACTGCTTTTGAGCCCTCTTCTCACGAACATGCGTTGTTCATGTTAAATTGATAAGTTGAGGTCCCCCAAAAACGCTACCGATGTATAACCCTAGGACTAGACAGGTTAAATTGTTACAACTTATACATATACTCACTTCCATTTATATCAGCCCACAGCACATTCTTCTATAGGACTACATCGCTATTAGCCCAGTCTCACTTGATATACCGAAAGTACAAAAATGTTATCGGTGGAAGTGAACGTGAAGTATGCCTGAAGATGCCTGAATACGGACCTCGGTCCATTTGATCCCCGCAATCCCGCGAGCTCAACTCAACTTCACCTTTGATGTCTTGATGCCCTAGATTGCTCGGTCTCGCTTTCCTCCGCTCTTCTCTCATCCGCTGAGCGATCAGCATCGTCCGACCAGTCGCCATCATGCTCCACTACCGCACACAAGGCTACAACGGCTGCGCAGTGAAGTACTCCCCGTTCTTCGACAATCGGCTCGCAGTTGCAAGCTCATCAAATTTCGGCCTTGTTGGCAATGGCCGCCTACACATCTTGGAGCTCACAGCTAACGGAATCCAACCTCTAAAATGGTAAGGTAGAATCACCAGAATCCCGCGCTCAACCCGGGCATCTCTCCACGGGGAACTAGAGCAAACACTGACGCATTGCGATTTCCCAACCTCCCAGGTTCACCACACAAGACTCCCTCTATGACCTCGCCTGGTCCGAATTGCACGAGAACCAAGTCCTCGCCGCATCAGGCGACGGCAGCATCAAACTATTCGACTGCACAGCAAATGACTTCCCAATCTCGAACTGGAAAGAACACGCGCGCGAAGTCTTCAGCGTAAACTGGAACCTCATCGCGAAAGACCGATTCTGCTCAAGTAGCTGGGATGGCACAGTGCGCATCTGGTCACCGCATCGCCCACAGTCCCTCCTCACCCTCCCAACCCACAGCTGCACCTACTCCGCATCCTTCTGCCCACACAACCCAGACCTCATTTCATGCGTGACATCAGACTCCTACGTGCGCGTCTTCGATCTCCGTACCCCAGCCTCGGCTTCTAACCACCTCGTCACTCAAATTCCCATCCACGCTGCTCCCGCTGCTCCTGCTATCCCCGGCCAGCCTGCTGGCCCAACCCCGCCTGCTGAGGCGCTCACCCATGACTGGAATAAGTATCGTCCTACGGTGCTCGCTACGGCTGGCGTGGATCGCGCCATTCGGACGTTTGATATCCGTGCCCCACAACAGGGCCCGCTGGCGACTATGCTCGGACATGAATATGCTGTTCGGAAGCTGGCTTGGTCGCCGCATCTTTCTAATGTTCTTTTGAGCGCTAGTTATGATATGACCTGTCGTGTATGGAATGATAGGTCGGATACTGGTGCTGTCGGGGATGTGGATCTCATGCGCGCTGGTCCGGGCGGTCCTATGGTTGGGGCGGAATTGGGGAGGATGGGTAGGCATACTGAGTTTGTGACGGGTGTTGATTGGTGTCTGTTTGGAAATGAGGGCTGGTGTGCTAGTGTTGGCTGGGATGAAAGTCTTTACGTGTGGGACGTGCGGGCTGCAATGTCATAGAAGAATATCCAATATATGAATCTGGCAGGGTCCAGACGTTTATTTGCTGAAGCTTAAAGGTGGTGCCGAGTTTTTGCATATCAATCATTTGATTTCGTAAATTTGTATGCTAGAGCTGACTGAAAGCCAACAATGCAAGAAGACACAGAAATGACGCGTCGCGCTCATCTACGGCCAGGCTGAATGATCCAACCTTGTGTATAAAAATAACACCATGACTTGAACCTGCTGCGATTCCCAGTCATGCAGTCAAAATTTTGAGAATGATGCTTTGGAAAACACCATCAATAGTGGGTATTTGGGGGCAAAAGACTTGAACCCAAGTCAACATAGCAATATGCCTTATTGCTAGTAATGCCGCAGGGGTTCGTTGCCTGATTGCATGTGGTCCAATCAAGGACCAATTTATTTCGAGCCAAGTCTGCCCTCGACCTTCTTGCGCTCGTTCTCCTTGAGCTGAGCAATCTCCTCCTTGGAGGCATTGACAGCAGCGTGGACCTGGTTGAATGGGTTCTCCTCGCTCTTCTCGAATTCCTTCCTGCAAAGATCCATGCGCTGGTTGCGGCGCAGACCGGGGTTCTCCTCTTCGATTTCTGGTAGACGTCTAGCCTCGAATGCGGCATACGCAGCCTTGAATCGTCGCTCGGGGTGTCGGTCGATCTTCGAGGTGTCCTTGGAGGACAGAGACAGGGCGTCTAGAGCGTTGTCGATACCGGTTGCGTTGAGGTCAGATGCCTTCTTGCTGCCGGCAGGGGCATCGTCCAGCTGCGAGAGATCAAGACCGCGGGTCTTCTTCTGTGCGGTCTTAGCGTTGGCACCCTTGGCCTTGGCTGGCTGGGAAGCTTCCTCCTCTTTCAAGAGAGCATCGCGCTCTGCCTTCTTGCGGGCAGCTTCGGCCTTCTTAGCTTCAGCGTCCTCCCTGTGGAACAGAAAATAGTTAGCTCGCTGCTCAGAAATGTTGTTCTTTCTTTGGAGCTCGGCCCCGCATACTTCTTAGCGTTGCTCTTAGATCCCTTCGACCATTGCTTGTCTTCCTCGGCGGAACGCTTCTGGTCCTCAACAGCCTTCTTGGATGCGGCGGCGTCGGCTTTCTGTGTTTTGTCAGTATTTATTCGCCTGGCATAAGGAATGTGGCAATAATAGCGGGGGCGGGGTTAAAAAAAAAAAAAACATACACGAGCGTTTCCAGCGGCCTTCTTTGAGTTTTCACCTGCTGCTTTCTTGCCTCCCATTTTGAATTGCGATCCACACAGTATATCAGGAACTGAGTATGGATGTGAAAAAGAAAAAAGATGGAATGGATCTAGTCTACATGATCCGATCCGCGAGCCCACCATGCCGAGTCCGTGAAGGCGGTGACGACATTTTGGTCCGTGCAGGGCACATGTTCCTGGTGCCTGAGGGGTCAGGCGGCGATCCCCGGGTTCGTCTTTGTAATCTCCTATCTCAGGCCCTTGAAGTTGTCAACTTTCATCTGATCGTCAGAGTTGTGATGGCTTTCGCATAGTACCTACGGCTATTCTTTAGGGCAATTTTTATTGTTTCCTCGTCTTTCACCGCCGATTTCACGTTGCTCGGCCACTGATTCGAGCTCTGTTCCTCCTTTCCCTATTATGATCTGAACCTCCGTCTATCGCAATGGCTTTGCTCTTCCGCTTTTTGCAGGCATTCGCCCTGCTGCTGCTCGCCAGCTCGGTCACTGCCGAACATACATCTAACTGGGCAGTGCTAGTCTCGACCTCGCGCTTCTGGTTCAACTACCGCCATCTCGCCAATGTCCTTTCATTATACCGGACCGTCAAGCGGCTCGGCATTCCCGATTCACAAATTATTCTCATGCTTCCCGATGACATGGCTTGCAACCCTCGAAATGCTTTCCCGGGAACCGTCTACAGTAACGCAGACCGCGCAGTCGATCTCTACGGAGATAACATCGAGGTGGACTACAGGGGGTACGAAGTGACTGTGGAGAACTTCATTCGACTCTTGACTGATCGTCTTGATGAAGATGTCCCACGTAGCAAGCGCTTGGGATCCGACGCCGGTAGCAATGTCCTGGTTTACATGACCGGACACGGAGGTGACCAATTCCTGAAATTCCAGGACGCCGAAGAGATTGGCGCGTGGGACCTGGCAGACGCGTTTGGACAAATGTGGGAAAAGAAGCGCTACCACGAATTACTGTTCATGATCGATACTTGCCAGGCCAACACGATGTACACACATTTCTATTCGCCAAACATTGTGGCCACTGGCTCCAGCGAGCTTGACCAGTCTTCCTACTCTCATCATGCGGACAATGATGTGGGTGTCGCTGTGATTGATCGTTGGACATACTATGTCCTTGAGTTCCTTGAAACGCAAGTTACAAGCGCCAACTCCAAACTCAACTTGGGAGATCTATTCGATTCCTATGACGAGTCGAAGATTCACTCCCAGCCAGGTGTCCGGTGGGATTTGTTCCCTGGCGGTGAACAAGAAGGTCGCCTTCGAACTGTGGTTGACTTCTTCGGCAACGTTCAGAATGTGGAAGTCGAGAACGCCAACGCAACCGAGCCCGGCTCTCTAAAGGAAGACCTGGCTGAGATTTTGCGACTGGTTGAGAAATGGCAGAAGCGTGACGAGGAGTATTCCACCATCATTGGTGATTCCGCTCAGAATGCCACCGAGAAGGTGCCTTTATCCTCCCATGTGAACTTGGCCCCTAAGAAGATTGTTGGGTCGACCAAAATGGCCGAAGACAGCAACTGGGGTAAGCAACTAGTTGGTCTCTCTGTCGTTGGTGCATGCACTGCTATCTGGGTAGCGGGTTCCATTTTGGGTCGCTCAGCTGTTTAATATAGTACAAATAAACACTAGCTAGTGGCTACGACTTGCTCACCTTTTCTTTTGGGAAAGCTTGTTTTTCTTCAGTCATCAGGGCTTAGAGCATTGTATTTTGGTGGGATAGCCTTGGAGCATACATCATATCATGTCAATGGCGCAAGGAGTTACTTTTGTTTCCTTATCGAATTTGAATGATATCCTCTGATTCACTTATGTTGAGATGTAAGTGGGTAGTTAGTTAAAATGCTAAAATACATCTACAGACGCGCATTTAAGCAGATACTGTTTGACCACTCAGGTGTAAGCTGTCAGGATCTCACATACGTATGCTCCCATATCCGGCTCGGGTTCGGTACCCTCAGCCCGTTCCGTCCGGATATCAAACTACCAGGTATACTAGTATTATCCCCCGAGGATACAACCCTCCGTCGCATATGAAACAAATTTAAACCCCTGGTCAGTTTCACTTGGACATCAACATAGCTTCCCTTTCCACTTTATCCATACAGCCATGTCTATACCAAACACACTCTTTAGAGGAGCCACGATAGGCAGCACATTCACCACCGCAGAACAAGTCCAGCAAGCCCTCGGTCACCTCAAAGAACTGAAGGTTTATCATCTCGATACGGCAGCCCGATACCCACCCCATAGCCCTGGTCGCTCTGAATCTCTTTGAAGAGGTACGAGCTGCGAAGCAAGGGTTCACCATTGATACTAAAATCAGCCCCGGCAATGATAGTGCAGGTGCCCATACGGCTACTGCAATTAGAGAGTCACTTGAAAAGAGCCTCGGCCGTCTGGCGATAGATAAAGTCAATATTCTCTATTTCCATCGTCCGGATCTTTCGACACCGATCCTTGAACAGGCTGCTGAGATCAATAGGCAATACTTGGAAGGTCGCTTTCAGAAGGTAAACCACACCAGTGACTGACACGGAATGAATCTAATTCTGATAGTTCGGTCTATCCAATTTCCCACCGGAGCTGGTCGTGGAATTCATCACAATCTGTGAAGAGCACAACTATATCAAGCCAAGCGTGTATCAAGGTCTATACAATCTTCTCAGCCGGGGCAGTGAACAGCTTGTTCCACTTCTCCGTCAACATGGAATTGCCTTCCAAGAATATAGGTTTGTCGTACATATTGTATTACACACGCTAGATCTGACCAAATCCCTTTTTGCCTGCAGTCCCCTTGCAGGCGGTTTTCTAACAGGCCGAATGACTCGCGGTGACGTCGTCGGTAACGGATGCGCACCAGGAAACACCGCTTTCCAAGGTTATAGTAGCATGTACGATAAGCCGGAGATGCATGCCGCTATTACCGACCTTCAGGATACGATCGAGCCACTTCAAATTTCAGGATCTCAGGCTTGTTTACGATGGATATACTACCATTCAATGCTAGGGGAGGGGGATCGTGTGATTTTGGGTGCTAGTAAGATTTCACAGATTGTTCAGAATGTGGATGATGTTTCTAAAGGGCCATTGCCGGTGGAGGTTGTGCAGAAGATTGATTTACTTTGGGAGAAACTGTGTTGATATTATGTAGTTTTTTGAAACATTTATATCTGTGAAATATATGCATCAGAAAAAGATGGCAAAGAAGACTCAAAGCATTGGAGGTGCCCAAAACGGATATATGAGCCTCGATGTCGAGGGCCAATTAGAGATAACGGCTTGAAAATAGATTAAATGTTTGCCAGGATGTGTTCCCACAGATGGAGAGGGCGATGCATGTCTTCGCTTTATAAATCACTGAATATTACATGAGCGAAAAGCACAAAAAAAGAGAAAGCGCATAGACGGTTGTCGGAGTGAATTATGTGATCTATTTCTTGCATAGATATGAAGCGCGTTCAGTTGGATTTCATACACCGCGATAATATAAAAAGATAACCAGCAGATCTATACCCAGATAAATCAAGAATTAAGGAGTTAAGGAGTAAGACATAACATGGAAAGGGTGCAAATACTCCGTCTTTGTCGAGGTGATGAAGGTATGGAATCTGGCACGTGCCTCCGACGCGTCGCGCTTGTCCGCTTCCCCGGCGCTATGAGAGTCCTGCTGCAAGGGCTTCCACCCCAATACTCACGACAAATTCGCCCTTTAGCTGAGTTATTCTTACGAGCTCTTCTTCATGAGCTGTCGCATGAGTCTTTGAATATCCCAAGCTGGCCATGTATCTCCCTCGGCAGCTCATCTCACACCTCTACCTACAACTCCTCCGATCCCACCACCCACTCTCTCCACCGGTCCTGATTCTCGTGGCATTGGAACCAGACGCGCTGTGTGCCTGCCGAATTCTTACATCTTTGTTAAAACGCGACTATATCCCTCACAAAATCCAACCCGTTGCTGGTTATGGCGACCTGGCGCGCGCGGGGAGGAGCTGGTCCGGCCGATGCAGACCACTAATGGCGGCAGCGGAGGTGTGGTCGTGTGCCTTGGCGTAGGCGGTCTGGTTGATCTGGGAGAGATTCTTGCGCTGAGCAACCCCGAAGACGAAATGGAGGACATGGGCGGCGTGGAGATCTGGGTGTTTGACGCGCGACGGCCGTGGAACCTGGGAAACGTGTTCGGCGGACAGGCTGGTATGGGCCAGGCAATGGCGGAAATCGATGCCAATGCGCGACGGCGAGACCGCGGTGTGGACAAAGGTTGCATCACTCCTGCTTATACGTCAAAGAATGGCGGCATTGTCGTGTATGATGACGGTGACATCGAGGAGGAGCTCCGCAATGAGCGGGAGGCATATTACGCGTTATTAGAGATGCCCGATGTGGACGACGATGACGATGCCAGTGACGATGATGCCGAAGACGATGCGCACACAGGGTCCAAGAAGCGTAAATCCTGGTCAGGTCGCGAGGATGATGAAGACTCCGATGGCGATGAGCCACCCCACCAACGGAGGAGAAGTAATTCGGTATGCAACTACGTTACATATGAGCCAATTATCTTCTAACTTGCGACAGGGTTCCTCTATTGCCTCGTCTCCGACCCGTCGAAGAAAGACGGGTCTCAATTCTTCGAACTCGTCGCGATCTGCGACTCCGACCACTGACTCGCCATCACCAGAAGAAACAAAGCAACCATCGGCACGATCTTTGAAGAAACGTTTGCTTAATCTCAAGAGAAGACACGACTCAGTCCTGCAAAATTACTACTCCTCTGGAACGTCATATTCCGAACCCATTTCGTCTTTAATTTACTCGCTGGCATCCGAGCTCGGACGAGATGATAACGACCTGCTATGGCTCGCGATTGTCGGTGTTTCTAGCTTGGAGCTCAGCGGTCGAACAATGACCGGAGTGGGAATTTCCAACACATCAGAATCGGGAGGTTCCGCGGGTTGGGGTGGACAACGTGGTGAACACATCCGCCAAATACTTCGCGATGAAGTGCACCGTTTAAATCCACCCGATCCTTTAGAGCGAGATCGTGATATCCGAGGAGAGATCAACGGTGTCATTCCAACAACCGCTCGATCACCAACTGATACGTCAATTCGCCTTTCCCCAGAGCCTCGGTTTCTTCTTGTCCGACATTGGTCATTGTACGAAAGTATGCTACACAGTCCCTACCTCGCTCCACGACTGCATGTCTGGACAGAAAATGGCCGCAAACGACTACACAAACTTCTGGCCAAGATGGGCATTAGTCTGACCCAATGTCACCAATACTATACCCACATGGACATGGAGTTGAAGCGCGTGTTACGGTCACGTTTGCTCAAGTACGCCCCTATGTATGGCCTAGATGGCCTTGTGCCCGCAGAGGGTGCTGGAAGTGCCAGTGCTCGTGAAGGCTGGGGCTTCGTACGTTGCTGGGGCTGGAAGGCGTGCCTGTCTGCCACGGACGTGGGTGTTATCGTGGGTGCAATGCTAGAGGTCGGGCCGCATGAGGCTTCCCCTTCTTGGGACTCCAGGCATCTTCCTCGAACCCGTGGAAACGACGATACCGAGAGCGGCGTAGCCTCGGCTGAATCCGATCTAACAAGCCTTCTTCCACGGTTCTGGAGCGCCTACGACGCCCTTTCATTAACATCCGAGTCGCCCACACTTCTCCTTGAATCTTTGCCACTGGCTCAGCATCTACACCGTGCCATCCTTCGCACTGGTACCTCCTTGCTCTCCAAGCATCAAATCCGCCACCTTCGCGCATTCCGTATTGCCGTGGTTAAAGATGGACCTGACGTCAAGCTGTTTACCAATCCCGGAGCCTTGACAAAATTGGCCCTATGGATAGCTGAGGCCATTCGGGTCCAAGAGAAAGAACGTGGTGATTCCGTTAAGATCGGTCGCAAGCGAGCAGCCGGGACACCTCTTGTCCTCGCTGGCCTCGATGAAGACCGCGATCTATATGTGGTTGTCGGCACTGGTGGAGGTGGTGGCGTTGTGGACTTCGCGGCCATGTCTAAACGTCGAGATGAACGAAAGAAGAAGAAGGAAGCCAAGGACAAGAAGCAGAAGGAGAAGGCGGACCGTCGGTCCAAGCGCGCAGCTGAGCGTGCCGAGAAAGAAGACGGCAGCGACGCCGAGGAAGAAGAATCAGAAGAGTCTGAATCCTCATCGGAATCCGAGTCTGAAGACGAAGAAGATCCCCGCGGCAAGAAGCATCTCCTTCGCAACAGATTCGGAATTGCCTTCCAAGAGGTAGTCCAGGAGACCAATGCCCGTGTTCGCATTGACAGCTTCGAACACTGCGTTGTCGAGGTTCAGAAGGATGATCTCGGCGGCTTCCTCGAGGCACTGAGTTTCCGCAGCGTGGTGGGCTAAAATCACCAACAATCATTCACGCAGTCTACGACCTGTCTTTGCATGGGATGAACTTAGGGGAATACGGGACAGTGAAATGGGCTTGTATCACTGCCATTGCATCTGTCTCCGGCGTTTTGTGGTTTTTGATGAAATGTCTGTTATCTAGAGTCCATACTCCATAGTTGCATCAATCTGTGCAATATTCGGCCTTCTCTCCGACTCTCCAACTCCCCGCATCCCCGCGTTCCGGTTAACCTTTCAACTCTTTAAATACCGATCCTACAGACTCAATTGCTTCCAACCCCATAATTTTATAGCAACCACCACAATGTCCCAACCTCGCGAATACCCAGTCCTCCCCCGCGAAACCACTCTCGCTAACCTCCCCGCCGAGTATCCCACCGACACCCAAGACCAAATCACCCAAATCCTCTCAACAACCCCAATAAACCGCTTAGTGGTCCTAGACGACGACCCAACAGGAACACAAACCTGCCACGACATCTCAGTCCTAACAGTCTGGGACCTCGCAACGCTAACAACGGAATTCCATAGCCCAAAACCAGGCTTCTTCATCCTAACAAACTCGCGCGCCCTCCCACCAAATGAAGCAGAATCCCTCATCCGCACAATCTGCACAAACATAGCCCAAGTCGCCAAAGCCACAAACCAAAAGGTTGACATCGTCCTACGCGGCGATAGCACCCTCCGCGGTCATTTCCCGCTTGAACCGGACGTCGCACAGTCTGTCTTTGGGCCCGCTGACGCGCTGGTACTTGCGCCGTTCTTTTTCCAGGGGGGTCGGTTCACTATTGATGATGTGCATTATGTTGCTGAGGGTGAGGATCTCGTTCCAGCCGGTGTGACGCAGTTTGCGAAGGATGCTACGTTTGGATATAAGAGTTCCAATTTGAGGGATTATGTGCTAGAGAAGGCTCCTGGCCGGTTTGATCCTGGTCAGCTGTGTTCGGTGTCTATTCAGGATATTCGATTTGGAGGGCCACAGGCTGTTTGTGAGAAATTGCTTGCGGCGCCTAGTGGTGGGGTGGTTATTGTTAATGCCGCTGCGGAGTCTGATATGCATGTCTTTGTGGCGGGATTGTTGATTGGTATGTTTGGAGATATCCCTGTTTCTGCCTAAACAGAAAAGCCAATGCGTGGAACAAGGTGACTGATATATTCTCTCACAGCCGAATCCAAGGGAAAACACTTCCTCTACCGCACAGGTGCAGCCTTCGTTTCAACCAGGCTGGGAATCCGCTCCAAGGCACCCATCACCGCAGTACAGCTGAACCTCCCCTCGCCACGACAAACTGGCGGGTTGATCATTGCGGGATCATATGTCCCCAAAACGACAGCCCAATTGAAAGTATTGACAGACCGCCGTGGCGCAACGGGCGAGCTAGCAATCATCGAGATGAAGGTTGACGAGCTAATTGCATCACCTGAGACTGCGTCACAGACTGTGCAGCGCGTTGTTCAGGAAACGGAGTCTTATCTGCGTGCTGGGAAAGACACTCTCGTTATGACAAGCCGGAAGCTTATTACTGGCGGTGATGAGTTGTCGTCGTTGAAGATTGGATCTGCTGTTGCTGAGGCGCTTGTTAGTGTTTTGCAGCGGATTGAGGTGCAGCCTCGGTATATTATTGCTAAGGTATGGTTCTGTCTGTCTTCTGCTTGGTTGTGAACTGGTGGTTTGACTGCGTGGAGTACTGACAATTGCCTAGGGAGGTATTACTTCTTCTGATGCTGCGACTAAGGGGTTGAATATCAAGCGTGCTACTATTGTTGGTCAGGCGGCACCTGGCGTGCCTCTGTGGCGGTGCGATGAGGAAACTAGTCGCCATCGAAGCGTGCCGTTTGTTGTTTTCCCTGGGAATGTGGGAGGGGAGGAGACTCTTTGTGAGTTGGTGGCGGGCTGGAGCTAGATGTATTTAGAGGACGTAGATGCGATCTCATAGATACAGCATCGAAGTACTACGAAGTCATTGAAGTCATTTGATGGGATATCATTTGCATATGTACATATGCTGTGCATGGAATCAATACGTTCATTCCGACATAACATATCGAAAGGGATCTCTTGATCTACCACATCAGCCCCACCAGAAGCTAACACTAATGCCAGCTCTCAACCCACGCACATAGTGCCACCATCCAACAGGAATGTACAGGCACTCGCCCGCATGGAGCACGGTTTCGACATAAGGCGCGTCCATAAAACCGGGCCACATCTCTTCCCACTGCTCGAACTCAGCAGGAGAAAGCTCAATAGAGGCTAGATCGACCTTCGAGGTATTGGACATATCAATGAGTTTCGTAGTCAGTGGTTGAGCCCCGGTTTCCGGATCTGGGTTCGCCGTTTCATCAACAGAGGTAACAGTTTCTTTGCCGCGTGGGTGAATCTGGGAGGCAGGCGTGTGTGGTGAGTACAGACGGATGTACTTAGTTCCCACGACCTGCGTGAGGATGTTGTGGTAGGGGTCATGGTGGAGAGGGGAGATAGTCCACGAGGGACCAATCCATGTGTTGATGATCGGGTCACTGGGCAGACCTAAGCATGAATCCGTATCCGAGTTGTCATCTTCTTGGTTATCTGGCAGTGAGCCTCGTCGAGCCCCTTGTTGATCAGAGTGTTTCCCTGATGCCTGTTCCTTGGCCTCCCTACGCTCACGCTCCTTCTTCTCATACACTGGCGTGCCAGGCTCTGGACCCGGTGGAGTGATATAGCAGTAATCAGGGATACTGATATCATTGCGTAAGGCAGGGATCTGAGAAAGCAAGTCGTGTTGCGCCATGTATCCCGTCTCGCCGCTCTGATCTTCGGTCTGGGACTGGCCATGGCCTTCCCGTACGCCAGTTGGGGTCGGCTTCCCCTGCCATACGTATTTATCCACGAACTCTCTGAATGGCATGATCTTCTGCCCCCAGTCCTCGTCGGTGTATGACCTTCCCACCTCAACGGGAACTAGTCTGCGACCCTCGAGGGTGCGTTTCCACCAGTAGTCTCGCGAAGCCCAAGGACGTCCTGACAGAGCTGGCCAATGGTCGAGCGCGTTTGTGATTATTAGCGGGGTGCGTATATCTTCGATATGGCGTTCGATGGAATCAAAAGAGGGTGCCGATAATCGCGGGATAGGGAACTCCAGGCGGGGTTCAGGGAGAGCATTTGGAGGGAAAAGAGGCGGCGAGAGCTTTCGGCGCTTGGCGTGAGAAGGTCTCATATCTTCGTCGCTGCCATTTTCGGCTTCTTGGGTTTCTGTCGCGACTTCCAGCGTGGACAGTAAAGATTCGATGAGCTTCTCGCGGCGGGGTGCACCGGTCATGATCAACGCGTTATCGAGGATTTCCACGACCTGCGATAGCCATGGCGCATGTAGACTGACTGTTAGCTCTGTTCCTGCATCTTTGAGTTTCTGTATCTGTTGTAACACGTTGAAATCTGGCTCTGAGCTGCCCTTGCTCAGGCCGGAGGCGATGACGCAGGCGTGAATGATGGACGCGTCGGTATAGAGCCGGCGCCAGCACTCTTGCACATTTTTGAATGGGAAGACGTGTAGTTTTGTGTTGGCAATGTCCTTCACCTTCTCGTAGTTCGTGAGCAGGAGGTCACGTAGCTCATCGCCGCATTGAAGAATGGGGTCGTCGGAGGTTGGCTTGGCGATGACGGACACCGCGTCGCTGAGAGCGGGTAGAAGACCCATCGGGAAGGAATTTGAAGAGAGCCCTGGCCTCTATGGCCATTGAAATAGAGTCGGGTCCATTTGCTCTTTTGGGTTTGATTTTTGCAGGTGTGTGCGTGGAAGTTGCCCAAATTCTCCCCTCGGGCCACCGATAGACATACACTCAATCTTCCACTTCGCATCACACTGGATCTTTTTGCCATTGGAGGCCTTATCATATTAATGGATATTGAATTTGTGATGGTTTCTCGAGGTATGTCAATATACTATGTTCTAGTAGGCCTGAAGCCTATAACATGGAAATATATATCTTAGTCCGAGGAAGTTTACGGCGATCCAAACTTAACACTCAATGTAAAGTTGACCGCTAGAATTCAAGAAATAAAATAAAATAAAAAATTACAAAACAAATCCGGGGATGGAGTCTAGAAGGCTCCCGGAGCTATGTATAAAGCGGCAGGTAGTTATATCATTTAGTACAGCATATCAAATTAGATTCCACAATTGAAAGACTAGCTAGCTCAAAACGCCGAAGTGAAGCCAAATGGATGTTACTAAAGGACTTCGGGAATATATAAATAAAATAGTATACTACAGGACGGCAAGCGGGGGTCCACAAACCGCTCCCCTGATATTATTAGCCTTCCACGAGCGTTTACATGTATTCGGGTAATTAAATTTTGAGCCATGGATCCTGCATCAGTTGCTTAGCGCGTAACAAACATATCAGGTTGCCTATGCACTTGTATGAATTTATGTTTGATCGACAATCATGCCTAATGAACCACTAGGACCAAAATAGATTGACGCAGTTTGATATTGCAACACCTTCATGTCTTGTTCGATAATGCAACCATATAAAACCTCGGCGTGTCAGCTATTACTCAGCCAATTGTCCACCTTGATCATGGACATCGCTTAACCTCCAAGACCTGAGCATATCAAGATCCCAGATCGCTGTGTGTTCAGCATCCGTGAACAAGATAATTGACTGCGTCTGGGTCTGATGCTAAGTTTTGGGTCTCCCAGATCAACCATGATATCTCCTCTGGCGTTCCAGAGCGAAGCTTAACAACCATTCGGTAGAGAGTGACACGGAAGGTTAAAAGACCAGAAGTAAGAGCCTTGTGCCTACGATCACGGGTTGGATCGTACAAGCACTGGTTCCACATGTTGTGCATGGGTTGCACTAGATCTGTTTATTTGAATTCCAGTCAGCTCCGGTTAGATAGATTGTGTATACAAGTGTTCGCTACCGGTAAATCTCCGCCCGCTTATGACATGAGCATTGCAGTATATAGCAAAACGAAACGCAAGAACACAGAAGCATGCTCACAAATAACCAATACAAACTTGGAAAGATCAATCATTCAGCAATCAACTAGAACTCACGCTCCCATAGGCTGCCGCTCGGGGTCCTCCTGGGCTACTGGAGTAGCCTTCACAAAGTCTTTTTCCAGCACAGCTGATATTCCCAAGGCTATAGTGATGACCATAGCAATAATCTCCTCCAGTACAGCCATGCACAGGTAGGCAGTGGCATTTCCATCAAGAGAAAAAGCTTTATACGTAGTGTAATCGCTGAGCGCCGAGTAGACCAGCCGGACTAACAAGAAGGGAGAAGAAAGGGCGATAGCAATGAACAACTTCTTCTGGAACCTCCGCAATGAGAAGCTAAGCTCATAGTGCAGCCAAACAGTAAGCAACATGAAGATGACAAATACGGCAAGGAAGATGCCCATGGCTGCTTTCGCGAGTGTGCCTGGCTGGTAACCACCCTGTTTGTCAGAGGAGCTGACTCCCGCAATACCGAGAATGAGGCCGATGAAGGTGACAAGAGTCAATAGTTTCATAGGCCTGGGAGGCATCGTTTCGCACACATCACTAGAAACACGTCTCTTAGTCCACGCCTATTGAGTTCAAGGGTTTCACCGTCGCCAACTCACATTTGTCTCAGCAGTCCGATAAAGGTTAGCAACAGGGGCGCAAGACCAATCAGCTGGCACACTGCCACGGCAACCAAGATATCGTGTGAGTTGTTACTGATAGACAACAATGAAGAAATACTGCCAGCAATCCGGATGAGAGAGAGAGTGACGGCATATCGCCAGATCTTGCTGCCGACCCTCCAGCCTGTCCGCTTCCAGATGAAAATGGCAGCAATGAGAATAATGGGAAATATAATGAGCTGGAGGATTGCAATGCCGTTCCAATAGGTCACGGTTCCCATTGTGGTGGCAATAGAGAGTAGTAGTAGAAGAAGAAGAAGAAGAAGAAGAAGAAGAAGAAGAAGAAGAAGAAGAAGAAGAAGAAGAAGAAGAAGAAGAAGAAGAGGAAGTAGTTGAGAGGAATGGAGAAGTAAGGTTGAAATTGAGGAAAACTTCTTGTTGTGTGCGATCTGTAAAGCAGAGAACTGGTCCTTTTATGTATTTCAGAGTATCCCATATTCTATTCTAATCTCAAAGCCATAGCCTTATTATGAACGTCATGAAAAGTAGCCAATTTTGTTGACACCTCAAGATGCCCGCGTTGACTGGCCGAGCATCTTAGTTACCTGAAGAGGACTAGCGTGGACGGGAGAGCAGCCGGGGCCAAACAGATGCTTGTGGGATACTCCTCTAGGTAATCCGGCGCAAAGCCTACCGTGTCGGTGGCTTGCGACTGTGACTGGGCTGAGCCAGGTGGGAAGCGGAGCCGTTGAGGCCATTTAGGCTTTCAGGGCGAAGCACTTCACCTTGTCCCAGAGTGTTTGTTTGTGTGGTGTAAAATAAGCAATTTGAGAAGCTGCAATGTGAGAGCTTGTTTCCAGGCTGATTTCAGCTGTCTTCAGCTATTTTCAGCTCGATTGATAAGCGACAGGTTTCAAAATCACAACACCTTTTCCCTTTCCCCTCCCACGGTTTCTCTCTTCTCGTTCCTGCCCAATCTGGTGACGCTATTCGATATGTCACCATGGATTTCGCGCAAGGACATCCAGGAATTGCGGTAACTGCAGAGCCATTAAGCGATGTGTGAGTATGTTCTTCCCATGTCGATGAGATCGGTACTAATAAACAGTTTAGTGCGACCAGCAGCTTCCCCAATGTGGACAATGTGTTCGGATGCGCGAATATTGCATTGGATACCGAGATGAATGGGAACTGATCTTCCGCGAGCAGACAAACCATACTATCAAGCGGTCCGAGAAAAAATCAGCGAAGGAGGTGGCCTCGACCGGGGTTGCCGAGGTTACCTACTCGCATCCACCTGCCCGTGGCTTGGGCCCAAGTCTGGACGAAATAGGCATAAACTATTTCCTCCAAAGCTTTGTCAGCGGTGGCCACTCTCCTTCACGTGAATATCTAAACTATATTCCGACTGCATACAGCGCCGATGTTGAGCATCCGATACTCGCCACTAGTATGGCGGCCGTTGGCCTCGTACGGTTGGCAAGTCAACAGCGCGACCTTGTCAGTCACGCGCGCGCCAAATATTCAGAGGCGATCCGCCATGTGAATTTTGCATTGGTATCCCCTGTTGAGGCTGTCAAGGACAGCACCTTGATGTCGGTGATCTCATTAGGGGTCTTCGAGCACGTCTCAAATTTCGAGTCGTGGGTTCGACACGTCAAGGGAGCCGCAGCATTGGTTATTGCTCGGGGCAAGTCTCAATTTTCTAGCCCGACTGCGATCCTTATGCCCACACCTGCGTGTCAGGCGGGTATATGCTGACCTGGAATCTCTACACGATCGGCAAATCTCCCGTCATAAATGATAAAACTCGGCAATGGATCATTAAGCAACTCAAGGGTATCAGCAAGAGCGCAGGTATCGCAATGGCACTGCAACTTGCCCAGGATATAGTCAAAATAGATCTGATGACCAACTGACGATCGGGTAGAGTTATGGGAATTTCCAAAGACTGAAATGGTATCGGTGTATCTATGTATGGCACAATTTCTGCCCAGAAGTAAAGATTGTTACTTGTCATTCTTTCTCAATAATCTTTTTTTTCTTTCTGAAGCTGAGTTATTTTCGCACCAGCTGTGAATTTGAATTACTAAATGTAACCTCATGGATTAGCAGCAGGCATCACTACCATTTAACTGGACATTGGAAATACCCAAATTTTCTCTTTTTTTTCTTGTCGAATCATCCACAGGGGCTAGCGCATGTATACGTATAAGTGATGCAATAGTTATCAGGTCGCAAAATCGATCATCAAAACCTCCATCGTTGTTGAGTCATGATCATGCGTTGATTGGTGCTGCATCTATATTGCCTAGATGGGACTAGCTCCACGGATCTAAAACCATCTAGTCTTTGCTATAAATGGTTTAACTAAGTTAGCTAGGCGCGGTTTATACCAGCTTTGGGGCCAAAAATGAACCGATCAACATTGGAGCCGTAAAGATCTAATAGACTATCTGAGTAACTAAAAATCACCTTTAAATTCGACACCTCGCACCTCGTGAAAGTGCCACAATTCCGTCCTTTCCTACCTAAGCACCTTAGTATAATTTCGACGCTCAAGTTTATCCAACCATGTTGCAAATCTCATGTGCTTCTATGGTGAACGCGGCATCCGCATTGGCGTTCCTGGCCCTATTCTTTCCCGCGTCAGCGACACCTTCGGGGTACAACTGTAACCCTGGGCAACATTGTTGGCCATCAAACAAGGAATGGGAGATCTTTAATAGCAGTCTATCCGGAAACCTATACCGTACAATTCCCTACGCCGCCAGCTGCTATTATAGTTCTCCATACTATGACCGTTCAACCTGTGATGTCATCGAAGGGAACTACACAACAAATCAGGCACGAACCGACGTATACGGCGCAACAACTGGACTAAATTGGGAATCATGTCTGTCTCAAACCTGTGCCTTGAACATTTATGCTCCTACTTCGTCTGTGGTTCTTTCCGATGAATGCTACCTTGGACGGCTCTCGTCATTGTATGTTGATGCCCGTGAAGCAAAACATGTTGTCATCGCCGTGAAATTCGCCCAAAAGCATAGTCTTCGAGTCACCATCAAGAACACAGGGCATGACTACTTTGGGCGCTCTACTAGTCCCAATACCCTTACAATCTGGACCCACAACATGAAAACCATGAAGTATCATGCGAACTTTACTGCGTCTAACTGCCCTGCCTCGAACGGTCAACATATCGGAGAGATAGGAGCCGGTGCTCAGGCGTTGGACGTCTATACCTACTTCCAGAGCGTCAACATGGATGTGACTGGTGGCAACGAAGGATCGGTTGGCCTGGCTGGCGGCTTTGGTCAAGGAGGTGGCCACGGTGTGTTTGGTCCTTCGTATGGTCTGATGGTGGACAACGCGGTCGAGTTTGATGTTGTCACTGCAGACGGCCAATTACGAACAATCAACCGTTGCAATGACCCTGGTCTCTTCTGGGCTATGCGAGGTGGAGGAGGAGGTTCGTTCGGCATTTTAACCAGCTACCGCTTCCAACTTCATCCAGCGGTAAAGATCAATGTGTACCAGTTCAAGGCCAACTTCACACTACATGGCAATGAAACTGCCAATTACGCTGTATTGGAACAGATTCTCACACAACACGCAACTTACCAACCCGTCTGGTCTCACATCAATATTTCAGGACATGCTTACTACTGGCCGAGCAAAGCTGAAATCTACCTTGTCCTGCCTTCGAATAATGAAACAGCTTTGAAAACTCTCACCAGTGAATTTTCTTCCTTTTTGACGAATCAAACGGGTATTTCTGTCACCACGAGCACCTACACTACCTATCCCAAATATACCAATTTTCTTCAGGTTACCAATACGATCGCTAGCCGCCTAACACCGGGCGGAATCTTCGAAGCTGTCGCAGGTCGGCTGATGCCGAACTCATTATTTGAAACCGACGCCACGATAAACGACTTAGTAGAGGCCGTCCTTCGAGGAATTCGCCTCAGCAATAAGCTGGTGCCCGATGATGCTTCTCTAACACAAGTCATAATGACTACGCCTGTGAATCACCAAAATGGCAACACGACAAGTGCTAATCCTGCCTGGCGCACGGCTCTCTGGCATGTTCTTATGACAGGTGGATGGACCAAAGAGCTTGGCGTCTCCAATGAGACAGCATTGCTCGAATCATGGTTGAATACCGTCCAGCCACTGAAAGATTTGACGCCCGGTGGAGGGTGCTACCTTAATGAAGGCCACTACTTGGAACCAGAATGGCAAGAGACATTTTTCGGATCGAATTATCCTGAACTGCTTGACATTAAGAAGAAGTACGATCCTACCCACTTCTTCGACTGTTGGAAGTGTGTTGGCTGGGAAGGACCGTCTGAGTAAGTTGAATACTTCTTTATCCGACGATCTCAAATTGCCTGAGTAAATCGGAGGCTAACCTTGAAGCCCGTACAGTGCCTACTACTGTTACAACTAGTCCAGACTTTGCTATATTTCCAGTATTTTGACGGAGTTTAAGCTTACGTCTTATAATCCTAGCGCAACTTAGCACTGTAAAGTTGCTGCTTACCCTCTCCTTCCTCCGGGTATTCTCACTCCCTCGATCAAAGGAGTCAAGCCCATAGCATATAGTCTAATCTGCCTCTTAATTAACCTTCGTACCGATCACTCAAATCTTGGCCCTAATCTTAGGAAATCTAACGTAAGCCACACCGTCTTCGGAAACCATTAAGATATACACTCGATTTGTCTATACCATCAAATATGTTTATTTCACAGCCTAAACATCTCCTCACACAATATGATCCTTAGCCACTATATAGCAAGACCAATTGCGGTTGATATAGGGACTAGTATAGGAATCATTGGCACGTTGTGTCCGACTTCCTAAGGCCTTAAAAAACTAAACCAAATATAATATCTAAGGGAGACCATATTGCTTAGAGTAGATAAAGAGTTCGGGGGAAACGAATCCGTATAATACCCCTTAGCCTTCCGTACTGCCTTCAAACGTCTTCCCATGCTCAATATTAGCGCATCTATCTTCGACTGATCTAATACGTTCCATGCTTCCACTAGGCATTTTTTTTAAAATAATGCTAGTCTACCTCCGACCTTCCTATGCTAAAATGCCCCGGAAATAATGTAAAAAGCTTCACTTTAACTAGCGCTATACCGGTTCAATCCTCGATGCATACTCCGTGAGTTTTAAACCACTCTTTCGTGTCTTTCGCTAGATGAATCCTCGCGTTATCTCACTAAAATACTAAATTAAGGGTGTAGATTGGCATCAGACCTTTTTCGAGCGTCGAAATATACGACTTCGCGGTATAACCCCTCCCCGAAGCCGAGTCTTCGTTTCTTTCTATAATAATTAGGTCTATCTGACCTCCGAGCCAAATTCTAGCCTCAACTATTTATGAAATATCTTTTTATGTGAGCCTTAGTATCCATAAGATCTTTTCGAAGGCCCTCCGAGGTCGTACGAAAGCACTATTGTGGTCTAACATTCGAAGTTCGCTGCACCGAACACTCGTCTGAGAAGATCCACGATTAGAAGCTTTCGCGTCGCCATTTTCGCGCAAATTTTAGCCGTTTCTTTGCAAGAGGAGGTTTAATTGGTGTTTTCTATTTCGATCGCTGTTTTCCAAGTCCGAATCGCTTTAAAATTCGACGTATAGTGGAGGATGACGGATGCTAAGCTATAGCAGCACTTAGCTGTTTATAGGTCTAAAACGGATGCCGACGTGCTTATAAATAGAGGTGAGAGCAAGCGCGCTCACTAATAATTACGAGACGGCCGCTTTTTTCACGATTTTCTAGCCTTTCGTCTTCTAAATAACGTTTTAGCGTATTATAAATTGTACGCCGAGAGCAGCCGAAGTCATTAGCTAATTTCATCTGCGAGATACCGCTCTTATAAGTAGATACAATAGCTGACCTTTGTATAGCAGTAAGCTGCGCCGTTTTGCTAATTTTTGCAGCAAGTTTCATTGCAATCGGAGCAACAGGGGAAGTGTAGGAAGAAAAGTAAAACGGTGGGTTGGTTGCCGGGTCAAATTGTAGTGGCACTGGGAAAGAACATTTGACTAGTATCTGTAGATAACATATTACGAAGAGGAGAAGTGAAGGACCGTTAATATCTAAATACATTAAAGGGGTGACTATATAAATCATACAACTTATACAAACCACAAAAATCATATAAACTATACAGAGTATTTAACCTATTTAAGCCATAACGAGAAGATTCTTCGTACACGGAGCGTGATACTTCTTAGTGTACGTATATATATTTATAATCAAACACGCGACTTGACCAGCCCTATCACTAAATTCTCAACGATGCTGTTTTTCTTTATCCTAAATGCGGCAGGCTCTACGCAGGGTCCGCTAAGGTTATTATATTTCTTGTGGGTTGGAGAGCCGTAATGCATATTGGTTTTGGTCCATAATACATACATTGCGTTTAGATTGTTGGGTGTGTTCTCGTTATGTTTCCTCTACATTTCAACAGGATAGCCTTATTCTTTCCAGTCATCAATCTGAGTATTTTATAGCCGATATACATCTCTCTCACTGTATCCCAGCGCCCCACCAAAAGCCACCAACTATATGGGATTGGGCCATCCTTCCGTCTATTTTGTATCATACCAGAAACAATCCAGGCCACGTGGTGTGACATCCAGTCAGAATCTAAGTAAAGTTAAAGAGACGTTAAATGTACTAGATGATGATTTTTATTTGAGGGGCGATGGTATATAGTACGTCTCGACACTGGTGCGACCACCTACACTTATCCCAGACCCTAATGCCAAGTCACTCTGTCTATATTAGGGGAGGCTCGGAATATTGATATTCATTACCAGTATCGATACACCAATTACTTTAATAACGTACAACTAGTACGAATTAGTAATCAGGGTTCGGGAAACAATTGGTTTGTCCGTATGACGTTCTTCCTCTGAGCTTCATCTTCCTCTCGTTGTTCCCTTTCTTTCTTCTTACTCTCTCCATGAGTTCTCTCTTCATCGATACAGCGCTAGCGAATGTATCGTAGCTCTGGCATTTATCAGGCCGCCTTCGGCTCGACCTAACATATCTCATTCTCAAAGTGATAACACACCTGTTCCCATGCATCTCGACCACAAAATCCCATGGAATACCGCTTCCTCCCACTTCGTTCTCGTCAAGTTGAACCCTCACTATACCCCCCGTCGCACCAACCTCTTCCCCCGGAATTCAGCCTCCCAAGCCAATGACTTGAACCACTTCGCACGCGTTCTCGTCAACACAATCCGGGAGTTTTCCACCACCGAACGGGCAAAGTATGCTGTAGATATGCATGCGACTCTGGCCGAACAAGAAAAGCTTTTTTCAGACGAGCTACTTACGTACCCAGAGCGCAAATTTGGCCTTGGACAGCACAGAAAAAACTCTGCACAACATAATCCTCTCTCAGCGGAGTACCAGCGCCTCGACTACTGGGTTAACCGGGCGGAGGTGCCTCATCCGGCACATTGGCGGGGTTACACGAATAGAGATGGGGATCTGGCGGATGCAGTAAAGATGCTGATAATAATCGCAGCGTTAGCAAGTGAGGATGGGCCGCCTGATGACGCTAGTAAACTTGAAAGAGAAGCAATGTCTGCCCTCATTCGCCTATCTCAACATCCGAAAATCCCACTACCCCACTTAAATTCGCTGTCGTGGGGCCACAGCTTTGGTGTTGAGCTTCTGGCCGTCTTTGCTCTCAAAGTCTATTTCCTAATTAATATCGTGGATGCGGTCTTGGCTCGCCAGCGATATACGAAAGCCGGCGGAACAAAGGATGCAACGGTGTCACTGCTTGAATTGAACAGCTTCGGTTCCTTTGCACGGAGCGCCCTTCCTGACGACGATTACGCAGCCCAAAATATTCCACATCGGGCTTTTTGGCATACACTCGGTGTGAACGAGGCTTGGGCAGCCCGGAACGCCCATACCGACCGGTTTCTCCAGCACGCATCTGCCTCTACGCTTACCCAGGACCAGGGTGTAACAGATCCGCTAGCGCATCGGGAAGGTGTTACAGCGGAGGTGAGAACAGGACTGAAAGAGTACTTGAAAATGTGCTTTGGGCTTATGTATAGGTATGATTTATTGCTAAGAGTGCGGTATGGGGAGAAAAATGCGGACCAGTGGTGGGAAGAGGAGGTTCTTGGATTATGGGGGCCGTGAAGGCTCTGGGGGCAGGGTGAAGGCTTGAAAATTTGGAGGTAAAATGGACAATGAATTAGAATGAGTCTAGTCTCTTTGGGTCTTGAGTATATACTGGCAGTATCTGGTAGCGTTGGCCCCGATGAAATTTAGATACTTGGACGGGAGTCACGCCGAGAGATGACCAACCAGTCCGCCTATATCCCACCCGTTTATCACATCCGGATTTATCAATAAAACTAGCTGATACGAACGAAACTCGGATAGTTTATGCTGATAAAAATGTCGCAGTTGCGGGTTCAGTTCTTTTGCTTTCTGCTAGGCTTTCTTTTTTGTCCAGTCAATTCGGGAAAGAGCACGTTTGACTCTAGATGATGGTAATATGTTAAACTCATCCTATAGAAAGATAGCTATCTCTTCGACATATAGGCCGGGCTTTTCAGCAAGATGGCCATAAAGGGCGTCTAGCATCACAGGAGTGATGTTTGGTGGTCGGTCGGCAGGGACTCGCGGGGACCTGGGAGAGTATTCGAAATCTATGTAGATATGGAGAGATATTTCGGCAGCACATACGGCCATATGGCGTCGAAACAGAGCTTTCCGGAAAAGGGATTTCCTAGCACTCAATCACATGGGTAGACGATGAAGATAGACCGCAGACTACCACTCCACGCACTCCACATGATATGCTTTTAGAAGTAGGTAGAATGGACTTGATGGAGAATCTGAGGTAGGAGAGAGCTTCTATGAGAATATCCTCTCCACAACTCTCATTCGTTGGCTTTTCTACATGTTTTTTTCTCGTTGAATATAGTCACTTAGTATTAGAGGCGACGGTGTACGGGTAGGCTACTAACCCTCTTTCTATTTTGCGGTTATACAACACCTAGTTAAAATTATCGCGTCCTCTTTATTATATAAGGTTCTTGTTGTGCAAACAAGAGCCATTTAATCAATCTAGTTAGATCCTTTGTGTTGCTCTGGGTCTTTCCACGGGAGAACAACCTCATCCAAGATCTCAGGATTATTCTGAAAACCACTACTCTTGATTGTCTCCTGCACGAATGACAAATCATGCTCGACAACAGTACCAGGGGTTCCTGGCTGCGGCTTAGACCCGTCAAAAACCCTTGCTAGAAATCGCATGAATGCAGATAGCACTGGAATCATGGCGTGATCAGTCTTATCCGCGGTGTTTTTGAGTGCACTGATCAGGAGTCCTGGGGCGTAGTACGGAATGATCGCAACTCCATCGTCTGTGCCATCCACATTGAGTCCGCTCACTAAATCCTGCTTGATTGATGGTGACAGCTGGCTGAACGCCCGCTTGAATTGTTCGGCCTGTTCTTTGGTGGTAACACGCCCCATGCAAAGCAGCCGAAGGAGCGCTCGCACCTCATCCGCTAGTGATGGGAGACTAAAGCCTTGCCGATTAAGGTCTTTCGCTCTCGTTTCAAGGATGCGATCGTAGCATGCGCGCGGAGAGAGTATCCGGCCATTGGCAAAATCATCTAAAGCTTCCATTGCCACGATATACCCTTGAAACACCGGTTCGGTCATCACAATGCAACCGCGAGTATCTGCGTGACCTCCTGCGCCAGCAACATCAAGGAAGGTCACCATGGCTCGCAGACTAAATCCTCGTCCTTGACCGAGGTGCTGTAGGATACTTAGGCTGGCAGGAGGACACTCGCCCTGTACAACCTGAGAGATATTCAGCGTTGATCCAATCTGAAGGCAGCAGAGAATATCATTCTGTAGACTGGTTGGGACCATCTTGAGCGCAGGAACAAGGCTCATTTGGGCTGCCTCGAACACCAGTTGTGAGTGGTCTGCACCGGCTGAGTCACCGGTTTGTTGTTTCATTTCCTCAGCGAGATGGGCATCCTTCCCTATGTCATCAACCACCATAGCAATCAACAGCGTATGGAGGTCGTCCGCCGTGGGCAGGCGATGGATATAGAAGTCTCGCAGCTGACAAAACGAGCTCTGTGTGAGTTTGAAGTCGTCTTTTTGGCCAGCGGTGAAGGTCAAATAGTCGTCTGAGAGGAGCCATTTGACCGCTAGCATACTGACAAGTGTACGGTTAACTTCCGCAAAGTTCTCTCCATAGAGGACCGTCGAGGGTGTTTCATTTTCACCCTCCCCCAAACGACCCTTCGGAGTCTCTGTGGTAGTCTCCACAGTAGGACTTGCATTCTTCAGGTGTGACAGCTCTGATGGAAAAGCCGCCCCAAACAAACCGGTCGCATCGATGTCTGACATCCGACCAAAGTCGTCCAGCCCGATGTCCAGCAGCGAAGCCATGTTGTAATATTTGCACGCAGAATAGACTGAACTATTGTATTGGAACCAGAGGGTATGAGAGACAAAAGAATAAAAAAGTGGTTGGAAAGTGGGAAGGAGGGGAACAGTCAGGAACAGCCTCACAGTGGCGTTAAGTACCCGTGTTTGTGGGTCACGATCTTCATCAGATCTAATGAAATCTACCGATGCTTTTCAGCTGATATGTGACCATACGGGCTAGCTGAGGGTTTTCAGCCGTAACCAAGTGAGCTTTGCATGTGAAAATGTGAGCTTGGTTGAGAGAATAAACCTAGCCCTAATTGTCATCCCTGAACGGAGGTGACGTGTGGTTTTTACGGTTTATCTACGGTTCTTACAAGGTCCTTATCAAGGTTCAGGTAGATACTGAAGTCCTAGTGGAATGAAAAACTAATCCACTACTAAGCCGAATTACAAGAAATGACTCTTTATATACCCTTTATCTACTCTTTGTAGTAAGTGGCTTCTCCCAGCGGCAATCAGAACATATGCACCTCGCGCCCGGCGTGAAACATGGACGGTAACAGCTTTCGGTTACGATCGAGATCCTTCACAGGCGTCCGTAACGGCACCGGGATGAGCTTCAAAGCGCACTTATCGATGCGCGAGTCAAGATAATCGGCCCAGGCCTCAGAACCGAGGCCGGTCACCACCATTCCTGTCGCTTTGCCCACGTTGGCAACCTTGTCCCACGAAACATTTTGCGCTACTTCCATTGCAAGCTCGAGAGGAGACTTCTCAGTATCTTTTGTGTCGCTTTTCCATGAATGCAGCAATTTCTGCACCTCGTCACTGGCGGAAGTCATCTGCTTCTTCCCGTAGAGAGCGATTTCAAGTGTATCGCAAGTGCGTGCTTTCTTCTCAGCAGTGAAGTGGTGCCAGTATTCCGTCAGACCTTGTTCAGGAGCGGCGTCTTCGAAGCTAAAAGCATCTGTGGGAATTCGCCGCCCATAGAAATCGTTTCCAGCCCCCAGTTCGAGGCGGCACAGGAACCACTTTGCCCCGGGAACACCTGTGAATCTGGACAGAACCCATTCACCGGCAATGCTGTGGAGATCAGGTCTCTGCACAAACGAAATCATGCGGGAGACCTTCTTCTGCTCGTGGCTCTTTTCCGGGTTGACTTGGCTCAAGAAACTATCTTTGCTTGACGGAGATTTGGAATTGCCCCTAGATTTAGCCTCTTGTTGAGCGCCTTGCTGGGAGTTTTGATGAGAGACTTTCTGCGCATCTTCGTTGGTTGCTGCAGTGTCCTTGTTGTCGGAGTCCTCGTTGTTCTTCTTCTTGGAGGCTTCAAAATTACGCTTGATGACATCCACCAGATCAAGCTGCTGCTCGAGCATGTCCCGCTCACACGAGAAAGCAACCAGAGTGACGGCGAATCCAGTGCTGATGGTACACCAACCATCAATATACTGGCCGCTGACAGCGTTTCGGATTCGGGAACGTAGTGTCTTGGGCTCAACCATATCGACAATGATTCGTTGGATATCAAAGATGCCTCGGATACCGGCAGTGCTCACTGTGACTGGGTTGGGACAAACCATTCTTCTGTTTTGGGATTGCGACTTCGCCCTGAGACTGGTTGTATTGTTCGTATCGTCGTTTGAGTTGTCCTTCTCTCGTGCCTCAGATGCGTGGTTGTATTTTGTTTTGGATGTCGTGTAGTAAGCCAGGACATCAAGAACATGCTGGATGTATGTGTCCAAAGGCTCGGTATGGTGCCCAAAGCCGGGGCACGGATCCTCTGTTTCTGGCGTAGGGAATTCTTTTTGCGTGGAAACCTCGTTTGGTGCATCTGTCTCGGTTGCCTGCGTACTCGGCCATTTTCTCCCAAATGGCAACTTGGGCACTTCGAGTGACTTGACGGACTTGGGCAATGGATTAATACGCCCCAAGCCAAATCTTCCTGGTTTTTCACTTGGTGTCTTTTCCTTGCTGTCCATTTTCTTCTCGGCGCTCTTCACTTCGTCTTTCGTCTTGATCTCTACCTGTTCATCCACAAGGGACGTAACGACCTTCCTCAAATTTCCGATACAGGGCTTGAGGGTATCAAAATTGGCAAGCCTGATTTTCCTAACTAGGAAAACCAGATCGCCAAACACCGGATGACAGTCCGGAATTTCCTTTGTGGCTTTCAGAATTTCGGTTAAGCATAAGTTCACATTCGTGGCAATTTCACTTTGCCGCACCCGCTGGTCCCTAAAGAGCTTGAGAATCTGCTGGTTGGTCTCCGCCTGCGATTTAAGCTTTGGATTGCTCACAGGATTCACAAACGCATCAATGGTCGCAGGATACAGCGATCGTCCGTGAAGGGGACTACCGTGGTGTTTCCCGGTCCAGTTGAATACCGAAACATCGTTATATGAAATTACCACTTCATCTAACAGCCGGGCCAGGGCTTTAGGCAATCCTTCTGCCGGGAAAGCTGGAAATCGCACACCGAGGATACCCATCAAAGAGTACGCCTGGTCAGTTGGGACCGTGGTCTGTCGTGACGAAGCGGTGACCAGAGAGGTACTTGCAGAGGAATCCAAGAGTCCGTCCCCAGTGATCCAGTTTGTCAAGTTCTCAACTTTGCTGAATTTTGAAATAGCCTTCCGATCCGCGATAATAGCCTCATCCGTCAGATCAACCAGACTAGCCAACATATGATTGAAGACGGCGATCCTTTCATTCAGATGACCTTCCTGGTCCATAAGATTTGATAAACAGGACCCATCGAAGTTTTTCTTATTCTCAACCAAGCCCTTTAGCAAACTGGGTAACTTGGTACTAGCAGTAAGTACCGCCTTGCCGATCTGGGCTTCAGCCATTTTCTCTTTCAAGTGTTTCGGCGGCGAAAATTCCAAGATATGAAGCATAAGGGAGAGTTTTCGTTCCCGAGGCATCTCCTTTTGAATAACCTCGGGGTCCAGCAACTCCTCAAGTTTTGCCATTTGCTCAGCGGGGATAGTTCTGAAATTCTGGACAAATGGGTGACGCCGATAGCGTTGAATGAAGGGACGGAGGTGGTAGAAGGGGCCAATGTGCTCGATGGGTCTGACCAAATTCTTCCAATGCGAATTGACATAGTAGGTGACCTTGCTCAGCACCAGCTCTTGCAATGTCCATCCTCGCGTTGCCCATTCCACCTGGTTATTAGCTTTGTCGGTCTCATCAGCCCCATCAAAGCCAATTCTCTCAAACTCCTCCATGTTGACTTCTATGGGCTCATAGGAAGCGACCTTCCAATGCTTCCATTCTTCAATCCATGAAGACTCCGAGCGGGGAGTGTCTAGGTGCACCAGACAGAAGTCGGCATTGGCATACCAGTCACCCATCAAAGCCAAAGACTCAGTCAACTCATAACTGTCAGCCTTGTTAATACAGCAAGTATCAAGCCACACGTATCTTTTTCCGCCTTTTGGGAAGTGCGTATCGAACAGCTTCTTCGCCTGGGTGATTGAGTGATCGATCTTGCGTGAGGACCGGATGTGTTGTAAGGAAACCAACAATTTCTCGATTCCGTAGCACAATTCACGATTATCGTCAAAAAACTTGATTGTGTCTTCCGCTTCATTTCTGGCTGTTGAAGCGGCCTGGAACTTCTCTTCCGCCTGTTTGTGCTGGATACATGCTCCTTCTTTCAGACGGTTAATTGCTAAGTGAACTTCCGTCTTTTCTGCTTCCTTCCTCTCTGCCCCCTTATCTTCGTCCTCTTTCTGTTCCTTCTCGGTCTTTTCTGCCTCCTCCTTTCCCGCAACAGCCTCAGAAACGAAAACCTTGGCTTGGGCACGATTGAGCTTTTTCCATAGATCTTCATAATAGTCTGCCTCGCGCTCGGCACTTGAAAGGTTTCCTGTGGCATCATGAAGCGCTTTTTGTGATCTCCCGAGATCATACTCGGCGCCATTGGCGTCGATAAACCATTGGAGAAGCGTTGCGATATCCGCAGGTCTTCGTCCATCTTTTCTGGCTTTGACGTAGGGGAGTGCGGCTTCAAGGCTTTCCTCCAACTGTTTGATATCAGATCTGCACCTTTCAATCACGTTGCTTAGGTCGTTCGAGTTTGACTTCGCCTCCTCGGGTTGCAAACCCTCAACCTGTGCGCCTTGGTCGCCGGCCTGAGAGTTTTTCTTAGGATCGAATGTTCTGGCATTGGCGAAGTATCCGTAGCCAATTTCAGACCCTTTCCAGCTGTGGGAAACGATACAGTACTGGTCATGCAGACCAAGGTTAAATGTGCTGACCATGTTTCTGGTCTCGACGTCGAACATGCGGAAAGGCATCTTCAAGTCTTGGTCCACCATGGCCAACCAGTCATCGGGGACACGATGATCATCGGGTGAAGTAGCGTCTTCATCATCAACAAAGATTGGCTTGATGCTGGGAGTGAGGAAGTGCTTTAGAATGTGGCGCAGCTTGTGGTTCTGGGTTTCGTCCAATGTGACTTCTTTCAGTCGCTGCATGCGATCGCCGGAGTATGTGGCAATATCTATGACCTCTTTCACCACTGGGTTGGCAGCAAACTTGTCTAGAACGGTGGACTTGATGGCATTCATTTTGAGAGTCCTGGGACAAGAGGAATGGAGGACTGGATGTGAGAAGACACTTTAGGGGACACCCCTCAACGTTGTATACGTAGCTGAGCCGACTAAAGCGGGTGCACGGCGCATTTCAGCTGACGGTGATGTAGCACTACTGTATGCATGACCCATCACTACGCAGCCATTAGCTCCGCTGAGACCCATCTAGCGCCCGATAACTTGGGTCAAAAACGCTGTACCTTCAGCTGCATGGCGAACCCCTTCGGAATTGCCACCAGTCTCATATGCCTGCGGAAATTCAACATCTGACTTATTACCATCTTAGACCCCCATATTCACTCTCAATACCTTATTGATTTACAATGGCTTCGTATCATCGAGTGCTGGAGACCTTTGGCAGATCCGTTCATGACAATACTCTGGAATGCGACACGTACGTGTAACTTCCAATTCTTTTCAGAAATTGCCTGCTAACAGCCCAGTGACGTTCACCCATGGGAAATCTCCATAGATGGAGAGCAATGGGCTGGCAAGATCCGACTGATCGGGTTTGTGGACGTATTCTTTCTATTCTCATACTCAGCCAATGCGCGGTTTGAGCATGGAATCATTGTCTACAGTCCGTTTTCCCATACACGCTTTATGGATTGAAGCTAATATCCGTGTAGAGGATAAATTGGATATCGAGGAACTGGAAAAGCATATGCCCAAGAAGACGGGCAGGCCTGAGCACAGATCCAACCCCCAGCCGAGCTCCGGCAAACAGGGCGATACAGAACCAAGTGAGTGTACAAACGCCATTGCAGATACATGTGCTCATAAACAGCAGGTCTGGAAGATATGTACCATGACCCGGATCAGCCAAACGAAGAAGCAAATACCACCAACGGACAAGGTAGCCAACCAGAGGGGCCGACTAAAGACACTGGCAAAACAGATGACCCCGCGGTGGCTGAATTCCGCAAAACCAGCGTCTTTTCAACGCGAAGTCTGGGCCACCCGGTTGGACTGCGGGTTTCGTATCCCAAATCCTCGATTCGCTTCTACAAGGTGGAGATCACCAAGCCTTGCAGTTGGGCACAGAGTAGTTAAGGCACCCATAACACTCAGACCCAAGACAAAATTCTGACCATGACAGAGCGCATTATGCGAGGATTGAAGCCCCACAGTATCTATGACCTGATGAGCGATGTTATACGCTGCGGCATTATCACACAGGGGCAGCTGGTGGGCCATGTCTTGGGGATTCTCCTCGCAGGTACCCGTCTAGATGATATGACGAAGAAGTATGTCGACGGCTTGACTTCTGGTAATGATGCTGGGCGGCAGGCATTGTCGAACGAGAAGATCTAGTTCGCCTAGTTCGGAATAGAGCGAATTCTTGGCCGTGTCAGTGGGTCTGCGGAGGTACACTATATCTGTATCTACAGCTCAAGATAGTTATGATTAGCGGGTTTGCGAGAGATGTGGAGCAGATGCGCGATCTTCGGTTCTTCGTTTTCTGTCATCTACGGTGATCTGTGAATAATTTCGATGCTTATCCCTTCCCAGCCACCTTTAATTCATCCCAGTATATCGATACTCCACCCTCCGATCGTGCCATGCACGAAGTGTAGTGCACTATCCCCTACCTCCATTCCCGAGGGTTTGGGCCTATGAGTCTTCACTTTTCAGCTGCCCCACGACTCATCCCAAGCAGAAATGGACACTCCGTGCAGAATAATATGCACACACCCATTCTGTTTTATCATCGCTGAGTCGGGACCAATCAGGGGAATTCTTACTAGCATGCATGTATGCAGGCTATCGCTACCCATATAGTCAAATTCCGAAGTTGCTTTTTAAACCCCCGGTCAACGTGGCTGGCTGAAGGTCGCTCGTCGCCTTTTTTCAGCCTATCTTTCCTTTCAGTGCCCACTTTGCCCTCAATTCCGTTCCGCTGATCATCCCTTATATCTAAGTGGGTCACTGCATGTAGAAACCCCTAAGGCCGTCTGGCCTACAGCACTAGTAGTGCCGTGCAGTAATACTGGTGTCTTCATCGATACTTATTGATCTTCTTTTTGCGGTTGTAAACTCTTCCCTTTCATTCCTCGGAAATCTCTCACAAAGGACAAACAAGATGGGCTGGTTTCCGCTCGCAGTCAACACTGACAAACCCACTTGGAGTTTCGATATCGTCGGCTTGCTCGCGGTGGTCGGAGGGTCCTCAATCGAAAAACATGCGCAGGCTATCACAGCATCGCCCTTTGGAGGCTTTCCCCGTCTGCTCCCCGCCCCTGAGACAATGCTGGACACCGACCGACCAGCTCGACTGCCTGCCGTCAAGGATGTGACTGTTTTGGGTGTTCATTCCGGCAATCATTTTACCGAGCTCAACTTTTTCGCGGAAGTGATCCATCGCATTGATTCACTTGAACCCTTCGAGTTCCAGTCCTTCAAGATCAGCCACAAGAAAGAAGCTATTCAGCGAGATAATCTCCAGAAGGAAGCTGAGTCGAGAGCCGCAATAGATGTTGAAAAGGGGAGCGAGAAGGATAGCAAGAAGCCAAAGATCCCATCCAAGGCCAGCATTCCGCTGCATAAATTTTGCCCACTGAATATTGTGACGCTGGGCTCGATCCTGATCACAATCGCGTTATTTGTTTGGGCTGGCGTCAACCACGACGCCGTTGCTTTGATCGGCCTGGCAACCATGTCGCTATCCACCAGCACTGCTTGTCTGTCCTCACAGTGGCGGCCGAGACTCACGATCCGCACGTCGAACGCTTCTGTCATCCCTTCAGGAGATGTTATTATCCGCACGCGGTCAGGGGCATTCGTGTTTGTCGAGTGTGACGAGAATGTCTCGCGAGAGCTTTACGGTGGTACCGAGGTCTGCGACTATGTCTTTAAGGGAGTGGTGTATCAAATTCTTCTCGGAACCAGTACGATTCTTTTGATGGCCTCAATCATTTTTTTCAGTAACAGCGGCTGGAAAATGCAGATCGCCGTCGGGCTCGCATATGTTATCCTCAACATCGCATACTGGGCCATGGCGCTTCTGACTGAACCGCATCATACCTGGAATATGAAGGAACGATATTATATCAAGAGGACCAACGAAAAAACGATCAGAGGAAATTTCACTGTCGTTATGTGGGATACAATTCAGGCAACAAAAGAGATCGACTGGATCAAGAAGGCCAAAGTAGCGCCGGCAACGAAGAACTGGGACGGGTGGTTGCGAGACGCGAAGAAGAACTGTGATAATCCGCGTTGGGATGCTGAGGGCAAGCGTAATGAGTGGATGGCGAGGAAGGACCTGTGAGAGGTCCATAAAAATGAGTGACGCTGAACAAACTCAGACTGTCACATTTATCATATGTCTAATGTTTCATGGAGAACTATACGGATTCCAAAAAGGCATAATCTGCATTACTTTGGGTCTTTCTATCAACGCGTCTGGGAATAGGAGAGCTCGGAATACATGTACAGTCGGATGGTCTTATGGCTAGAATTTCTCTGCTAGCTCGCATACAGAGAAGTGCAAAAGCAGCTTCACCAATTCGCACTCTTTCATTATTTCTGGCCCCCACTGCCAAGTCGCTAGCCCAGAAATTGAGTGCAGATCAGTGGGCTCTGGCGCCCAACATGCCAGCATAAAGGCCTGGCGGGCATCTGCATCAGTAAACCCTGAAAGTATGATGTCCTAATGAAGCGGGAGTATACCGGAAGTGCAAAATCAGATTCACCATCTTCTCCATCTTCTATTCGCGAATTAGTCCTGGCCCCCACGGCTAAGATGCCAGCCTAAAAACTAAGTGCATTTCAGTTGACCATATGATGCTTCCACCCACTGTTTCTTGCGACATTAATACTCAGAATCGAGAGACAATATACAAGCAAGGAGATTCAGTGAGCATTCTGGCAAATGAGCTTGTAAGCTACCTCTGCAATGGGCGTAGAATGACTTGATATTTATCGTTAAAAGCTCTTGTCAAATTGGCCATCACATAGGTCGATTGCAATGCGACTGGACACTGTACCTGGATATCTACACAAATATAAGGTGTCTTGGTTCAATATTTCTGGTTGCAACGTCCGCTGAACATAAACTAAATCGAGAATTTCCCAGCCCATTTTGAAAGAGACACAAAAAGGTATATCAGAGAAAGACAGGAACTTCCGAGGCCAATAGTTACATGGAAATCGTGATAAAAGAAACGCTCCCCGATGAATTCCCAAGGACAAGAATGCCATCTCTCACTGCCCAGCAGTTAGGCCGATACGTAGGAGGAAGCCATAGCAACTTTTTACCTCGGAAATAGACCCAATGAAAACTTTGTACAAACAATCCAGCATCAATTAGTGATGCCTGGGAGCTATACTTATACCATTGCTGGATGTTAACAGGTCCCAAAGTTGTCTCCAGATATGGACCAATTGTAGAAAAGGCGAGTTCATAAGGTCTGCCTTGAACAGCCAGAGTCACTTGCAGCGAACCAGTGGCGGTATCCCAGAGTTTAACAGTCTTGTCACCAGAGCCTGAAGCCAGCAGTTGGCCAGCTGGTGAGAAAGCCAGAGAAGATACCGCAGATGAATGGTCTTTGAGTGTCTGCTGCAGGTCGCCTGTGGTGGGATCCCAGAGCTTGACGGTCATATCACCAGATCCCGAGGCTAGCAGTCGGCCATCCGGTGAGAAGGCCACAGAGTTAATGCCACCTGAATGGCCCTCGAGGGCCTGTAACTCTGTGCTCCAGGTTTCGGCAACATCTGGAAACAATATCCAATTGGGGAGCTCTTCTTCGAATAACTTTCGAATTATCGACCTCCTTGGTGTAAATCCAAGTCCTGAGCAGTAAAGTTGGAGAGGCGCTTCATCGGCTATTTTGCGGTTTTTAAGAATAAAGCGCTTCGCATCATGCAGGAAGCCGGAAATTGTGGAATGGTTATTATCCTATATCCATTAGTTCAAACCACATATAAATATCCAAAGGACTCACTGGTAGAACCGCCTGCAGAGCACTAATAATCCCTACTACTTCTGATATAAGACCTTGTAGACTCATAGCTTCCACCCAGTGCAGGAAATGCCTCTGCAAAAACAAGAGAGCATCATGCATCACACCATTTAAGTCTGCGAATTGCACCAGATGACGAGCCCAATATTGACAGGCATATTGTAATTCCGGAGGGATACAGCGATCGATAGTTTGCCAATCGATCTCTGCACGTTGGGTTCAATAACTTGGCAGCTCACATATATTTCTTCCTAGATTTTGGCACACAAGCAGGCATTGTATAGCTAGCTTACGGTGCATTTCTTCCCCATCCACCCCAAAGGGAGTCTTTTCGCGGGTTTCCGGATCAAGAAGAAAGTCCCGAAATGATAGATGAAAGAGCCGAACCGGGAAAGTCTCATTATCTGGTACACTAAAAACTGAGTGCAGTAGATTCAGTCTCAGATAGATAAGCCTTTTTGGGATGCCTAGAAGTCTTGAAAGTGAGATAACTGAGAGTGGGTTCTCTAGTATCACTATTGGACCCACTACTTGGTGAAATTCTTGAACCAGTCGCGCTTTTTGTTTCTCACTTTGTCGGTTAAGTAGGCGATTAAGCACGGGAAGGTATGTTCCGTCTAATTTAGATTCGTCGTTTTGACGTTCGAGGATCGCAGCGAGACTATCCATAGGATCCCAAAGAGGGTCCTCGAGGATACGGCAAATAGTAGCAGCAAAAACAAACAGTGGAACAGACAATTTTACTAGATTGTGGAGATCTGTAGCTCCAGGCCAGTCGAGAGGTAGGGGAGGTTCTCGCTCTTGCCTAATATCAGAAAGTCGGTCTTTCAAGAATATTAGTAAATCATGCTCAATAACTTCCTCGGGGATTTCATGGAGAGCCAAGTCTTTATGATCACGGTTTGCAATCTTTTTGAATCCTAGGCGGATTGGTAATTCAGGCCTGCTAGTCAAGAAAACTCGCAGACGTACAGAATTTAGCTTCTGTAGCTGTGGTAGAAGTTGGAGTATAAGTCGCATGTCATCGTCCACGTCACATTCGTCCAGTGCGTCAATCACGATGACCATATTTAGGATTGGGATAGCTGATAAATTCAAGTCCAGCAGTGGTTGAAGGAGTAAAATATCAAATTGTTCTCTCATTCCTTTAGTTCCAACGTCATAGTTGTTACGGATTGCGTTTTGGACACCAGGGGTCAGTTGGGGAATACGCTTCGCCAATTGTCTTATGATCGTCGGAAAAAGCTTCATCGCATTTCCTCTATCCCCCTCGCCCCTCTAAAAGAAGAAGCTTGCTCCAAGGATCTTCTCTTGTTTGAAGCGTTTTGCCACAGTGCGAGAAATTGTCGATTTCCCTGTCCCAGCCATCCCATTTAACCAGAAAATATACTTCCCGTGCTGTGAAACAGCCCATTCTGCGATCTCGTTGAGAAGCTCGGTCCTAGTGCCTGGGAGACATTCATCTTCATGCCGATCCGTGTAAGAGTCAAACGCGGCCCCATTCGCAATCGGTAGCTTATCCAGAGGGTCTTCATTTGGTCAATCAAGTTCCTCTGACTTTGTACCTTTCACAATTTACCTGTATGAAGATTGAACTGAGCATTTATTGTGCCATTATTAATGCCTGTTTGCATTCCAGAATTGGGATTCTGAAAAGATATTGTGGAATTCATTGTCCTAATGGTAGCATAGCACAAGGAGTTTTAGAAGTCGGGAAGAAAACGCCTGCAGGGTATGCGGAGGGGCTATGCGTCGCTTAAGTGAAAGCGTGTCAGCCCGTAACCGTCATGTGATATTCCATTCGCTATTTGTCAACGAAGATGAATGACCTCAAAAGTACGCGCTAGCGCCGAGCTCAGTATTTTTCTAGAGATATATACATTCACTTCTGCAATCGCTAGACGCATTATATCGGTAGTGTGTCAGTTCCAAAATTTGAAGGGAATGGGGGTCTCGGGAAAAGTGTGGGATCTATTATCAACTGTCGGCTCGTTTTTCGGCCCGAGGGGGATCAATTTGCTAATTGTTCATTGAAGATAACGTTATAAGTTATGTTAGATTTGGTGGAGAAATGGAGAAACGCCCCACTGCAGCCAAGGCATCCGTTCAGCTGACGTTGCCAAGATTTGAGTATATTGCCGATCTTAGTCTCGAATATCACACAGTGCTGATGGATTATCGTTTCATGTACGGAGTACGGTACACTGTAAGACCTTCTAGTAATAGAGGAGTGCAAAGTGCTTGGGTATCTCTTCTCTTTAGCATTAGGATTATGGAGCCTCGGTGATTTTCGGTGCATTCGCGCCCCTTATAGAGAGACTGGAGATGCCATATCCTGCTAGTCTTACAACCACTGCAATTAGAAAGCCAGCCATCCCATGGGGATTGTTACCTCCTGGGAAGGAGTCAGACGGGGTTGAATTAGGAGGCTGATTGGCGTTTCGTCTTGTATGGTTACTGAATTGCGCACGGCCGGAAGTATACCTAACTGTCTGCGCCCACCGCGATCGTTGGATCATAATGTTCTTTAACCCGCGCATTATGTGAAGTAGCCTGCTGCTGGATCCAAATGTATCATTTGTATCCGGGTATGCGTTGTCATTTTATTCTCTAGCGTGATGAATGACGACGACCTGAGGCGATAAGAGTAAATAGAACGTGGGGACACTTCCTGGTTCCGTGAAAGGAATAGAAGGAAGTTGTCAGCGACGCAGGCAGGCTACGGTTTTCCATTTGGGTGGACCGGAAGACTGTCCACATCATTCTTGATCAACTCCTAATTCGGAATTCCCTGTTAGATATGCCAGTAGGGTAGTCTTAACAGATGAAAGGGAACTATGACAATGCACTCACGTATGAAAAGAGCTATATTGAATATTGTGGTCTTTTCTCATGTTAACATAAGACAGGCCCCGGTATTTTCTACAATGCTACACCAACTAGGCTGTATATTCCGACTTATCGTAGGACCCTGCCTCCAAACTTCATGTAAAACTTGAATCCCAGTCCTCACAGACTCCATTCCGTACACTTCAGCACGTTTGTACCACTGCCGGAACCGCTCCTGCTGTCGCGCCTCGAATGCCTCCGTGGCACCTATGAAAGCAGGCCAGAAGAGTGGGGCAGCCAGTAACTTGGTCTCAGCTTTCAGTTCTTCGATTGCTTCAATGCTTTCAAGGATGTTCTGCACATATTGTCTCAGATATCGATGGTTTAATAGCCTGATGCTCTGGGAGAAGTATATGATGAGAGCGTTGAGGAACGCTCGGGTTTGGTGATAGATAATGTTGGCGTTGATCCCATATTTGGCCTCCTTGCATCGCTTGAGACGCTCTTCAATTGGCCAATCCATAATCTCTTGCTCAAGCACGTCGCAAATATGGTTTAGGTAATCCGGTATGTATGAGTTTCCACCTCCTGCACGGTGGTGGTTCACTTCGTCGATGACTTCGATGGATTGTTTGAGTAGAAGAAGGAGGCTCTCAGGGATACCATAGATACATTCATATGCAGAAATTCTGGCGGAGGGTGTTTGAAGTGGTGCGGTGCACTCCATAGGCAGCATGGACAGAGGGGTGTCTTCATCTTCGATGAAAGGATTGATGCTTGGGAGTATTGGGTGCGGTCCGACCGTCTTTGCTGAACCCAACCAGGACGCGAACCGAGAGCCCGAAGTACTTTGTCGTCTGATAGACGTGCTCTCATATATCACTCGTAAATAAAGATAAATCCGATGAAGGGACTGCGCTTTCCTGGAGAATGAGGACTTTTGGGTGGCCATATGGGTGATGAGTTTTTCTGCTCCATCTAGATGCACACTGCAAGTCCGTGTGTCTCCTGACATGACCTGTAGGAACTGACTTAGCAAGGTATACTCCGTTTTTCCTACTGGTAGAGGCATGATATACATTAATCGTGATCATAGACAGCATCGTAGCAAGAAATTCTTTATATCTCGGCTTTTCCTCAGCATAGAGATCAATCTCAACGGCATATTTGAGGAGGCCGATAGCATCGCAGCGATATCTCGAAGCGATTGTGCCCCAATTCTCGGCCTCTTCATTGCGGCGGTTAGCTCGAAGATCATTCGAAAAATAAAAGGCGCTGATTGACAGCAATGAGTTTCGCAACGCGTTGCGAATTCTCGTTGTAGTGCCTCCAAAGCTGAGTTCACCGGCACACTGGAGAACACTTGGGAGGTGGATCGTCTTCCATGGACTTTTCGCATTGTCAATTACGCAAAATATATTCACAACCCTGTTCCGATAGTGCCCCATCAAGAATCGCTCTTGTGAGGGGACTACCAGATCTTCCAAGGTGTTGGGTACGGACTGAACTGGCGGTGTCATCACCCGAGGGCGATTATTGGCATATTTTAAGCCTGCCAGCGTATATATTTCCTCAAACCCGACAGACGGCAACAGAACGGTATCGGTTGGAAGGGTCTGGGTCACTTTTGGAAGAGCCTGTATTACAGGATCAACCGCATGGGGAAATTCCAAAGCAAAATCATGACCCTGAAGTTTGCATAGATCCCATGCTACCTCGGGTTCAGAATAATCGTTCGTACCAGCAGAATCAAGAGAGATGACCTCTGGGTCCGCCACGAATTCATATTCACCCGGTCGCCTGACTGGCTTGACTGTGGGAGTATTCGTATGGCTGAGCTCTTGAACAGAGTCCAACAAGGAGTTCTGTTGGAGACTGAAGACACCAAAATTCTGGATGTTGGCACTGACATCTTCACTACGGGTGTTGACCACAGACTCCAGGGAATCAATGTAGCGAAGGATCCCATCGACTTGATTCCATCCCAAGACAGGTTGAACCGGTTCTAATTTTTCTGGGCATTAGCGGATAGTTCCATATTAACAGAACGACTACCCCGGTCACAAATGTCAAATTACTCACCTACTGGCATGAGACGTCTTGTGTTCTGGCCAAGCGGAAGTCCCTGCGCCTCATCCGCGCAATGGTCATTCGTGCCAGTGACTGGTGTGAGCCATTGCAGGCGGCCAGTGTAGCCCTCGCAGCTGAGGCCCTTCTCAAAGCATTGGTGGCAACAGGGCTTGGACTCATCGCACTTGATCTTGCGCGTGCGACATGTCCAACACCCTGTGAATGTCTTCGTGCGCTTCCGAGGTTGCCTTCGGTTTTGCGAAGGCATGGGATTCCGGCCATTACCCACTATACACTGTCCACGTTGTCCAAATGTGATGCGCAAGGGCAAATAGCGAATCGTAGTTCAAAAAAATATAATCTGAAGAGGGAAAGAGGAAGAATCAAGAAGGTAGTTCTCAGCGGAGGCGGGGAGGTACCCACGCTTATCTTGGAGTGGAGCGGAACTCCTAAATGTGCGCGGAGACTTGCCTCAACTTCCATTCTTGGCAACTGTCTCCTTGATGATCATCCAAGCGCCAAAATGAGCAAACCCGAAGGCTATGATGTGACTGCCATACTCAACTTGATATCTTAATGCGAAACATCTTCGGGGGTTTTCCGGTCGCTCGCTGTAACCTGAAATTGTTGTAATCAACACGACGTGAGCCCAAAATTGTTTCAAATACACCATCCGATAATCGAAATCTCCAATCGACAAGTATGTCTACTACTCAGACCATCGATGTTAGTCAATCTGTTGTGCCCACTGTGGCCGACTCAGAGCAAGATACAAGCGCCCATGCCGCCCTCGCAACAGGCGGATATGAGTTCCCAGGCATCCCAAAGATCGATGACCCTTACAAGAAGCGCCAGTGGCAGCTCGAGCACATGGCTGGCGCATTCCGCGTTTTTGCCCGCAAGGGCTTCACAGAGGGAACAAGTGGTCACATCAGCGTGCGCGACCCAGTAGACCCAACGACCTTCTGGATTAACCCGTAAGATGAAAGCCCTCGTACTTAGTTTTGACTCCGGCTAACACAATCCGTGAGATTCCAGGATGGGGATACACTTTGGCATGTTGAAGGCCAGCGACATGGTCCAGATCGATGCGAACGGTCAGGTCATCGGCGGCAATAAAACCGCCGTGAATGCAGCTGGCTTCATGATCCATAGCGCGATCCATCGTGCCCGACCGGATATCCATGCTGCATGTCACACCCATTCACCGGCTGGTAAGGCATGGTCGACCTTTGGCAGACCGCTCGATATCATCAGCCAGGACACTTGTATCCTCTGGGGTACGCAAGCGGTCTACAAGGCCTTCGGTGGTGTTGTCCTAGGGGCAGAGGAAGGCGTGCGAATTGCCGAGGCGATGGGTGACAAGGCGCGAATGATTGTGCTGCAGAACCACGGCCTTTTGACTGCCGGTGGAACCGTCGATGAGGCAGCGTATTTGTTCACGCTTGCGGAGCGCTCTTGTGAGATTCAGATTATGGTGGAGAGTACTGGTCTTCCCAAGAATTTTGTGGGCGAGGAAGAAGCTGAGCTCACTGCGAAAGTTAATGCTGACCCTGTAAGTGATCGGTCTGTGTGAGGCTCCGAATATTGGAAAAAAATGATTTGCTAACGATCTTCAATGCAGGAAACCCTCTACACTGAATTCCAGCCCGACTTCGAGTACGAGGTCTGGAAGTCGAACGGAGAGTTGTGCAAGGCTTAGTAGAGAAACGCAATTTCGAGGTCTTCTAGATGACCGTTTGCTATGAATCGATCTTTGGGTGATTCAAACACAATCTTTCGCGCTGTTATGTTCTACTGCATTTACAAGCCAAGAAACAAGCCACAGTACATTGTATGATTTCCTTTTTCTGTTAAAAACCATCCACCTTTTATGTTTTTGGCGTAGTAAATTGTACTGTAAGTTTCTATAACCAGAAGTAATTTCTTTGATAATGTGAAAGTCTCGTCAGGCTCCCTGTGCCTGTAATACCAGCTTGGATAGCGAATTTTCAAATTTTTAGCTCAACCAAATGATATGGTTAAACCTTGTTAATATAACTCAATGCAAAAGCATCTTCGGCACTCCTTCCAAAAATTAGTAAACGGTGCGTGTAGTGAGAGTTGATTCTCAAGTGCAGGTGAGAAGTATATTGTGTCCGGGTGCATGTTAAAGACTTCAAAAAATCCAACGCACAACGAAATTAAACATAATGTCAAAATGAAACCGGAACTACGTGCTCAAGTTACCATCAAATCACTTATTTAGTAATAAAAATATAGTCCGAAGCTAATGATCTCCGGGGAAATGCCAAGTCTCAGTTCTCGGGGAATAGGAAGGTTATAGCGGAATATCCACTTATGACATTCGAGCTCTATCTCGGACTTCGTCGACACAATTACCATTTATTCCATCTTAAACGTGTCTCAACTACTGCTCTCTACCCTCTAGCTTTTGATCTGCTTCACAATGGCCAACCGCCAAAGAACCCTCGACCAGCAGGTCTACTGCATCAAAGACTTGGAACGCCTCGGCTCCGAGAAATTGGAAAAGGCCTATCGCGGTAAGTGCTACACTTCCAAAAATCAGATCAAAGAGGATGCTGATATACTTCGCAGAGTATTATAATGAGGGCGCCATGGATCTCATCACGTAGGCTTACACCTCATCCTCACCCCGCGGGCATTTCGCTCTGACTGATTTATCGCACAGATTGCGGTTGAATGAATCGGCATACGACCGCTACATGATCCGCCCCCGAGTGCTGCGAAACCTCTCAGGCCTGGATGCCAGCACTCACATCTTCGACACAAAGGTTAAATTTCCCTTCGGATTTTCGCCAACGGCCATGCAGACGCTGGCGCATCCCGACGGCGAGATCGGCACGTCCAAAGCTTGTGCTGCTAACAATACATTGATGGGATTATCAAATTACTCCTGTATCGAGCTGGAAAAGGTAATTGCACAAGGCACTGGTAATCCCTATGTTATTCAGATGAGTCTTCTCAAGAATAAGGCCGCGATGATCCAGATGATCAAGCGAGCGGAGGGTGAGTTCATTTCCTTATCTGACACACAAGTACTATGATATATCGCTGACTCTTACTTCTAGCTGCGGGCTTCAAGGCACTCTTTGTCACTCTCGACGTTCCCTATCTTGGTCGCAGACTGAATGAATTCCGTAACAAGTTTGCGGTGCCCAAGGGCATGGAATACCCTAATCTGTTCCCTGGTGTCGATGTCACCAACCTCGAGGATGGCGATGAAGTGATGGCTTATGGTAATTGTCTTTGGGGTAATATCAGGAATTGTCCCGATTGACCAACATGTCTAAATGATAGATGACACTCTTGAATGGCCTGACATGATACCCTTCTTCCGCAAGCACACCAACATGCAGATCTGGGGCAAGGGAAGTAAGCAATAAACATCTACACCTAGGAAAGCCTTGCTACTTAAGGAAGCTAACGTCTTTCGCTTTTTTTCCTGTGCAGTTTATACCGCAGCTGATGCTGAGCTCGCGATTAAGCACGGTTTTGATGGAATCATCATCTCAAACCACGGTGGACGCCAGCTTGATAGTGTTCCTTCTTCTCTTGACGTCCTCCGTGAAGTTGTTCCCGTCGCAAAGGGCAAAATACCTATTGCCGTCGACGGCGGTATCCGTCGTGGTACTGATATTTTCAAGGCATTGGCTCTTGGAGCCGACTTCTGTCTTGCCGGACGACCGGCAATATGGGGCTTGGCTGTGAGTTCCCCGTCTCTCTTGTGGTTAAACTAAAATATTGTTTACTGAAATTCAACCACGTGAAGTATGATGGCCAAAAGGGTGTTGAACTGGCTCTCAACTTGCTTTACGATGAATTCAGAACTTGCATGGCGTTGGCTGGGTAAGTTTTAAATCTTATAATTTTAGGCTTTGCTTTAACGTTGCTAACATCACTGCAGTTGCCGAAACGTCTCTGAGATTAAGAGAGTCTCCATTTCGCTTTTGCAGTCTGATGGTCGCCTGCTGAAGTTGTAAATTAGCGCTTTTGCTTTTAGGTTAACGAACTGTTCAGTTAGAACGGATGGACATAATTTGAATAGACGATTGGGCATAAGTTCGCATCAATTTAGCTATCATAACATATCATCTGGCAATTATTTCATGTATCATATATTTCCTTTTGACATGGCAAAGCTAATCTGCACTTATTCAACTCGGCGTAATTTACGAAGGCACTTCAAAGCCCATGAGCAGAAGAGGGCAGAATGACTCAGTCCTCTCCAAACAGGCCACTGGCCCAGACAATCGGGTTATATTAACCAAGTGTATACGCGAGTAACATATATTTAGCTCTCGTTTCTTGTGCGCTGATTCACCCAAAGACTATATCAAAATCTATGAATAATATCAAAGTTCTATACATTGGCATGGCATTTACTCTAAGTTCAAACCCAAAATAACCTATTTGTAAGGGTTATCACGAGTAAACTTAGGCTCCCAAAGCCCCTTACCCTCCTTAACCTGAAGCTGCAACCCCTTAAGAATACCGTAAACAGTGCGAAGAGTAGGCATAGCAACACCATGAGTCTCCCCCTCACGCAAAGGCTCACCGACAATATTCTCCAGCTCGAACAGATTCCCCTTCTCAATATCCTGACACATAGACGGCTTAAACTCAAACTGCATGTCGTCATTGAAGATAACCTTGCCAGGAAGATCATCCGTAAGTTCCGTCACGCCACAAGCGCGCGCAGCAGCAAGCACCTCGAACATAATGGGAAGAACCAGGTCATCGATAACATGTTGGCTCATGCGCATACGTCGGGTATCCATGCGCAGAATGGTAGCGATTGGATTGAAGGAGCCGTTATAGAGGAGTTTACGCCAGCGGGCGCGCTGGACATCGGCGTCGTAGACTACCTCTAATTTTCCATCCGGGTTGTAAATATTGATGTAGCTCTTTGCTGCGTCTTCCGCGATTTGTTGGGGAACAGATTGGTTTTGGAATGGGCCGATCTTTTGCGCGTCTGGGTCGTCGTGGAAGACGTCGGCGTATGCGCGCTCTGTTGCGCCGACGGTGGATACGCTGCTAATGACTGGGTTGTTAGGGAAGCGGGGGATAATTGGCTTTTCAATGTTGAGGCCGTTCTGTGAGAGCACGATGGCTGTCTTGCCGGGTGTCACGGCTGGCTCGATGATGTCTGCTACTGTTGGCGACACGTCTGGGATGTTCTTGGTTGTTACTAGGATGAAGTCGAATGGCTTGAGGCCTTCTTTTGCGACGTTGGGGACACTCTTGACGACTGAGGGTGTGGTCAGTCTTTGCTATAAAGTGCTGTGGTTTGTACGGCCGCTTATCGGAGCTTACTAGTTGTTGGGCGGAATCCCTTAATCTCATGTCCGTACTGGATGGAATCAATGCTGATTCCGTTCTTCACGGCGGCATCGTAATTTGATCGCATCACTGCTGTGACGTCGGCCTTGCCAGCTTGCATCAGCGCATAGGCAGACATAGTGCCGACACCTCCAGTGCCGACAATGAGGACTCGAGCTTTTTCCTGTGCCATTGGTGCGATTTGGAGAATACAATGTTTGTGGGGACTGTAAAATTCTTTGAAGGGAGAGAGGCGAGATGAAGTGGCTGCTATAAGGATTTGCAGGATGATTGCAATTATCTTCCCCTCTTCATGTTTACGGCATCGAATGCCTTAAAATGAAAAGTGTAGATAGCGGAGGGGGAAGACGCCGAGAATATGGAGCACATCGAGAAAGGAAAGTCACAGCGGAGCCAATTAGATGCTCCATAATGAGGATCAACATAGAGGGGCAACTTGACTTCATGTATTTTATGCTCTCTATAGGTGATTTTCACTTGAATACTATCTAGTTTAGGAACAGAATTAGGAGACATATTTGTGCTTTTACTTTCATCGGAACTTCAATATTGTTAGGTTTCACGCGGTTCATAGATCCAGCAAATGTTATGTTTATTTGTAGCGAAACTTCTACGGTTTCATTTTCGCAATTGGTAAAAGGATATATCTGACTGGACTAAACTTACAGGCGAGCAATAATACCAGTTTGCAAGCTCTTGATAACCTCGGCAGCGGCTCTCTCACCACTCCGAATAGCACCCTCCATATAGCCCTTCCACTCACCCGCAGTCTCCGTGCCAGCAAAGTGCAAGCTTCCACAGCTTTCACGTAGAGCATCGCCACCAAGATTAGCAATGACACCCGGAGTGAGCGCTGTGCATGGGCAGCCCCAGCCAGCCCACTCATCATGCACCCATTCGTAGGTTGTCATTTGCACAAACTCTCGCTGTAATCCGCCATCTGCGAAGAGCTTCTCAAGTTGTTTCAGAAGACTGCGCTCACGCTCTGGAGTAGAAAGTGCTGCCCAGGCCCGTCCGGGATCGCCAGACAGGAAGCATGTAAGGACGTACTTCCGATCCTCGGGACTACAGGTCTCCCGAACCACGCTGGCCGGGCCAATAAATGATTGCGCAAGACCGCAGAAGCCCTTCTTCTCCCAAAAGGGAGAGCGGAACTCCATCATGGCTTTAGTGTAGTATCCATACGTGGTCGACTCGGCCCAGACCTGCTTTGCGGGGGGCAACTTAGGGTGGAAAGCAATACTCTTCAAAGCAGGGCTGGGGACAGTGGTGATAACCTTCCGAGCAGCATATACTGCGCCGCCTGCTTGCACCTTGATCGACTGGTCGCCGCTCTGTACAACTGAGTGCACAGGGGCGGAGAGCTTTATGATACCCTCGGGTAGCGAAGAGGCTAATCCTAGGGAGAAAGCCTGGGTACCTTGGCGGATTCGCAGGTACTGACCTCCATGCTTGCGATCGGATCTCATCTGCAGCAGACCTCCGCCAGACTTGCAGTAGTTCAAAAAGTAAAGAGCGGAGATATCGCGAGGGTCCTGGCCCAGCATGGCCCGTGTCCAGACTATGGCCGTAGCAAGTGCAACTTCGCTAGCACCCCGGGACCGCAAGTAAGCCTCAAATGTGAGAGAATCCAGAGAACTGTCATCGGGTCTCCATGTGTCAAGGGCCTGGCAATCTGCCTCGCACATGTCGCGAATCTGTGCCAAATGTTGCCGAGTGTTTTCATCAAACTGTCTCTCAAAGTCAGAAACTAGAACATCAAACTGGGCTCTGGTGCATCCTTACGTTTGGAAGTTCTCCATAGGCAAAGGCTGTGCATTTACCATGAAAGTCTTCTAGAACGGCATTTCCCCGCGTATTCTGCTCAATGACCTCTGCGCCGTAACGCTTCGCAAGGGCATAGACCTTGCTCTGGTTTGTGTCATTGATCCAAGCAGCTCCAAGATCAATAGTACCGCCGTCCCTAAGTGGTACGCTCCACGTCTTGCCACCAACACGGTCCCGCGCCTCAAGAATGACGCAGGATAGACCGCCACGCAGGATATCATGCGCAGCGGTCAGACCAGCCAGGCCGGCACCAATGATGACAACGTCCACGGTCTGATTTACATTGGGCAGTGCAGGAGGAAGCGATGGCTCCGGGAGTGCAACAATAGCATCGATTTCGAACAGCCACGATGGTACTGCAAGCTGTGGCACAGGGACAAGAGTGATTGCTGGTCGGTGGCCTCTCAAGAAGCTCTGGATATGGCGTGTATGCTTTCGGTTGGCGGCGTCATAGTTCACAATGAAAAGATTCAGTTTCACAATATTCTCAGTAGAAGATCCTGCGGCAACGATAATCTTGCGAAGGTTGAGCAGAGCCAGGTGAATCTGCGACTCATAGTTGCTGGGGATTGATCCATCCTTCAAGCTTCCCGGTTGACCGGCAACATGAATAAGTTTGCCTGCCGGAGCGACAGTCGCCGGGGCGTAGTAGGCGCTTGCGGTGTTTGACAGGTCGACTGTGGTGACAGTTCTCGACATCGTGAAGTATGTGATGTTGTGGGGAGAAAGAGCCAAAGCCCGATTGATGACAAGCTATATAGGATGACAGCTCTATGGGATTGAAGAATGGAAAGGTGTTTAAGGGGTGACTCCCAGTCAAAGAGTAGACGCGGCCCTTTTGATTCTGAGGCGGCCCCTCCTTCCTTTCCCTATCGCGACGCCATGCACGAGATACCGACTACTGTTAGGTTCGCCAAGTCATGTCATCAAAGCAACAAAGGCTATTGGGTCATGCAATGATGTTATCTTGTTCCATACAACGTGGGATCTTCACTTTTAGAGTGGAGAAGTCGGGAGATGTGGTTGCGCTGTGGCTTACCTTCTCCGCTGTGACTTACCCTGCATCTATGAATCTCGGGATGATCACCGAAGTGAACAGCCAAACATCAAACACCGTCGGAAAAGCCTTCCATGTGTTATGATTGTTATGATACATTTGGTTCACGCAGCTGACTGTCTAAAATAATATACAGACGCTTCACTCTAGAAGCTCCATCACCAACTTGGGAATGCGAGATACACCTTCGCCTCTTCTGGCACTAACGGGAACAGCACAAATCTTTTCCTTCCATGCCTTATCATGGCCAGATGGATGCTCAACCAATCCATTTTGTACAGCCGACAGATATTCCTGTAGAGCTCGGTATTGATCCTGGGTGTTTTCCAAGTCTGCTTTGGTAGCCACCACAAACCAGGGCTTGAGGTGAAGAGGCGTCATCATCAATCGAGGCAGAGAGCCATCAGGATTGGTGTTTAATGTCACACTGCTAGGCTCTCTGAATGGATTCTTTGCAGGTTCCGGATCCTCGTTGCTAAAAGGATTCCAGTCAATCACGCTGTCATCTTCAGCAGAGTTGGGATCCATATCGCGCACTCGCTCGTACTCTCCAAGCTCGTGCCACAGCTTCTTCAGTTCCTGCACGGGGTCACCATGGCTGAGATCGACCACAAAGGCTAGAATACCAGCGCGGTCAATATGACGAAGGAATCCAAGGCCAAGTCCTCGGTCAAGATGAGCGTCTTCCACCAAGCCGGGAATATCGGCAATAGTAAAGTGGGTCCGACGAGCCTTTGACTCGACAAGTGGACGGCC